TGTGGTTGAAACGCGTCGTGTTTGAAATAAAAGTTTGATGTGACGGGGTAAATTGTGTTTTTATTTATAATCACACCAAGGTTGATTAAATTTGAAACATGCATAAGTGTGTATAATTGGTTACATAACTTACTTTTAAAATTTCTTGATCGGGGACCGTAACGAGATCACTTTGGGCCCTAAACGAGTGTATATCTTCCCCATTTTGCTCAAAATATACAACATAATGTGGAATCCCATCAACGTAAACAGTCGGAAATTCAATCATTAAGTACATGTATTCCGAACAACTTTTTTCCTCGTTATTTATTAAACCTAACTCTCTGAAAGTTAACCTGTCTAACCAATCTACCTATAAAAATTTACTACAAAATTTATATTGTTTTAACTGTGCATACTTTTGTCATGTGTCCATTTCGGTGTTTTTTTGTTAATTTAGTTAGTCTTTGCATTTGTTCCTTTCCTTGGTCTTTGGCTTTACCTGGCGTTTGTGTTGGGTAATTCCCATCGGCTTCTCTATTAGGAAAAACTCTTAAGTCTACCATGCCCTGAAATTCACATTTTTGTTATTTTTCCACGCAATTTCGTCACACAACCTGTCTGAAAAGTCCATGTTTGCTAAACAGTGAAATTGTTGTGCCCCCCACTGGCCAGAGTTTGTTAGGCCCAACGCAGTCGTAGATTGTTAGAGCTAATTGAGCAGTTCTCGGAAGGTCGTTAAATTGAACTGGCAAAGTGAGCCATTCATTCCAGCTAAAAATTGAGATTTTTAAGTGACAAAACGCGAATGGGGGCTCACCTCCAGCGCGATGTGAATGCTTTGTAGGAAGTTGACACAGGAAGAGCGAGAGGTTGATTCTGGTCATATATTTGGCACACCACCATTAAATCTGAACAACCATCTTCACACAACCCCGAGTATTTTAAAATTGGGTCGGATAAAAGCGTGTCGTATTCAGGTTTTTGGCGTTTGCCTTCCAACGTCCCACTAAAAACCGTATTGTGACAGGTGGAAACCAAGGGGGCTACTTACATTTTGATTTGAATACGGTTAGAAATCGAGGAACTGTACACGTAGTAAAATTTATCATTGAGTTCTTCCATTTTAACCGCTTAATGCCCCCATCTACGCGAATTATTTAGTTTTTATCATTTTTGTTTTGGAATAATAAAAACTAAAAAGTTATTTTTGTCAATTTGACAGATCGTTGCCAACAATTCCAATCAAAAAACCCTACTCGATGTGAAGTTGACATTACAATTTTTGCTAGAAAATAATTTGTTTTGATTAAAATTTATGTAATTATTTAATTAGAAACGTTGCAAATCCGTGCTGTGACTCCACTTGTGTCATTTTTTTAATTTTTGTTGATAAAAGGTGAGTTTTGTAGGTTAGAGGGCCCTGCCCATTTTTTTAAGGTTATGTTCAAGCTTTGTCATTTTTTAGCGAATTGAAGTAAAAAATGTCATCGGGCCGCCCTATTAAATGTGTAGTCGTAGGTGACGGCACTGTAGGTAAAACCTGCATGCTCATATCTTACACCACTGATAGTTTTCCCGGAGAATATGTCCCAACAGTGTTAGTAAAAAAAAAGCTATTTTGAGTGATAAAAGCTCTAGCGTTTTGTTTTTAGTTTTGATAATTATTCCGCCCCAATGGTAGTCGACGGGATTTCAGTTAGTTTAGGTTTGTGGGATACTGCAGGTCAAGAAGATTACGACAGACTGAGGCCCCTGTCTTATCCCCAAACAGACGTTTTTCTCATTTGCTTTAGTGTAGCGTCGCCGTCGTCGTTCGAAAACGTTACTTCCAAATGGTATCCTGAGATCAAACATCACTGTCCTGACGCCCCCATGATTCTAGTTGGTACCAAAATAGACTTAAGGGATGATAGGGAGACTCTGACTGCTTTGGCAGATCAAGGCTTGAGCCCCATCAAGCGCGAACAAGGCCAGAAGTTGGCCAATAAAATCAGGGCTGTTAAGTATATGGAATGCTCGGCTTTAACGCAAAGGGGGCTCAAACAAGTGTTTGATGAAGCGGTCAGAGCTGTCCTAAGACCTGAACCGCAGAAAAGGCGACAACGCAAGTGTCTTCTTATGTAATTCCCAGCAACGACCGAACTGATTTTTATCTCAATCTAATGAATAAATAGTTCAGGGCATTTAAAGTCAATAAGGACTTAAGTATAAGGATTAGATAGCATACTCATTTTTAATGCTTGTTTTTTTTACAAAAACTCAATTTTTTTGTTTCTGTGGAATCTCAATTTTGACTGAATTTTCCAACACCACTGCCCTTCTGTTAGTTGCACTCTTGTAGACAAAAGGCAGCACTGATTCCGACCCAAAAATCCTAAACTGTGCCATTTTTTTCACGAAATTAAAAATACTCACCCATGACATTACTTAAGGCACGTACTTTGTACGTTTATTGTTTTGTTACAGCGATTTAAAAATTGTGAAAGTTGTTTCAATGAGCAGCTAATTTTTATTATTAAGACTTTTATATAACGTATGTTTAGTTTTTATTTATTTTCTAACAATCAGTGTATTTTTTAATTTCAAAAGTGACTTGTTAAAAACCAAAGTAATGTAAGTTCTAGTCACATATTTTCATTACTCAGTGTTTTACAATATTATGTTAGTTGCATTTATAGGTATACAATACGTCTTGAAATAAAAACGTAATTTAATACTTACCTATTTAAAACTAAAACCTATCTTCCTTGATTTGAGGCTAAAAAATTAAACAAGTCTTGGTTTTCACATTTTGTATGTAATAAGTGTATAAAACAGCTATAACTTGGTAAAAAAATCCCACTACTTGGTGTGTGCCCCACTAAAGGGGCTTGTAATATTTCCTACATTTTTCATGGAAGACTTTGGCAGTTCTTTGCTGGACCATATCTTCAACAGTTAATTCCACTTGTAACATTCTCAACTGAAAAAAAAAAGTAAAACCTAAACCTTTGCCTAAACACTCATCTCACTTTCGTTTGTTCTGATCTTAAAGCTTTTGTTAATGAAATATCCACAGCATTTGTACCTCTTTCTTCTTTCAGTTCTTTTAGTCTATTAGCAGTCACAGTTATACAATTTTTTATAACATTAGTTCTCTGATTATTCCCTTCTTCTAACTTCTTGTACAAGTCTTTGCAAGCCGACTCCCCATCTGCATGGAAGGAATCTGTCGGTATGGCCGTATTTAATGTACTTATTATAAGATCATCTATTTTTCGCATATTTTTTATCGCTTCCTATAAAAATTGATCACGTTACTGATGACCTAACCTAAAAAAAAATGGGACTCACCTGAAACGCACTGTAATCTCCACATTCTGTAATGACAAGAGACATTATTATTTCAAATCCTAAAATTAATTTCACTAGCGATTTGAAACAACTACAAGTTTTTAATTAGTTTTCCAATGTGGAATTATTATGTCGGCGTTCCATAGGTTATTTTCGTTATTTTTGACAGTCACTAGTACAGAAATCTGTAATTTTTTAAACATAACAAAGGGGAACAAACAGTCTCAAAACTCTCAAATACTTGATCTTTATTCACGAACATGTCACATAATACTACAAAAAATAATTCGAGACAGTTACAATGCTTTTTGCAAACTTAAAGTATCTCGTAATAATCTGTTCCTCAATGCCCATAATGCTGACACGACATTGTCTTGTTGATCGGCTTTTTTGCCCAACCAGGTCGTTACGTTTTGTAACTTATCTAAATCCGGTGTCGGAATGTTTTCTTGAGTGGCACATAATGTTTTTTCCCAGTTTGTAATGTGTTTATTATCGGCTTGAAGTCCCTCAATGTATCTAAAAATATTTTCTATGAAAATCGTTTCAATTAGGTCAAAATCATACTTTATGTAAGCCTCCGAATGTAAGACTCGTTGGGGCCTTGGTGGCACAGTTATAAACATCGGCTCTTGTTTCTGGGCCGGCGCAGACGCTGAGTTTGAATTTGCTGTTTTAAAACACTCGTTTAATTATTTGTTGCTTTGCAAAGTAGTAAAGGATGATAATGAATAGATGAATGATTACCTGAGTTACTCGTAGTTGAGTGTTGTCCAGCAGTTGAATTAAAGGTGTTACTAGCAGCTATTCCGACGAAAAATGAATTTAAAAAAATTTAAAAAATGATCGTTATTTTTAACTCAAAAACATGCTAATACAAACTGCTACCACCACCTACTATAACTCATGATATGAATGGAAAAAAATTGAAAATAAAATAAAAACTCACGAGGATTAGGAGTAGCAGTGGGGGTCGGGCGTGAAACAGCCGCAGGCTTACTGGAAGGCTTGAAGTTCCTACCACATCAAAAATCAAAAATGCAGTACACTACACACTATAAGACAATAAAAATTCATTTTTCCCAACCGACGAAGGAACAAGGTTTTCTTCTCATGCAAAAAACGAGCATTTCAAAGCATCTTAAGCCAAATCTTCGATTATCATCGGTTCGTATTACGAAATAAAAATAATCTAAGAGTAACAAACATGACCTAAACACTTTTTTCATTCATGCAATGGCAAAATTCAGACAAACCGGCAATTATTTCGGACGCTGTCGATACGCAAGGTTGCAAAACTGGCATGACGCGGTTACCAATGAAGTTCCTGATAAATTTCGATTCGAAAAATAAAATTCGTTTCATCAATTAGCCACGAAAAACAACTGTTTGTTGTTTATCATGGCCAACGCAAACATACTTGCTGCGATCTCCTTGGGGAATCACCCGTCCCTTCACTTTGTTTATATGCATATCGCGGACATGGCGCACCAATCGCGCTAAATTCGGAAACGGCTGGATATTTTTCTTGTTGTTTCTCAAACAACCCTTCCATTGACAGTGCAATTCGGCGTCGGGATTCGCCTGGAAATAACTCTGGACATGCCCTTGAGACTCCTTACTGTCCTTAATACAGTGATCCATGCAATCTTGCAATTCCTCGAACTGGAAATCGCAACTATCCCACATACATTCATAAACCTGCAAAAACAATCAAACTAATGAAACACTAAGTTAGGGGAATTACCGTATCGGGATTAGGCGGAGCGGGGCTTGCACACTGCTCGTCCAATAAGAGCATAGCTTTTGTCTCCTCGTTCAATTTCGATGCTCGTTCCTCCCACGCTTGCTTCTCATTGGCCGGAAGCGATCGCCATTCGTTACCCACAATTCTGCTAATTTCGCCAAAATTCGAATCAGGGTTGTTTTGCACGACTTGTTTACGTACTTCACGCGAATACAAAATATAACCGGTCACAACTTTGTTTTTGTTAGGTTTCTGGAAAAGATAAAATGTAAGAGATGCTTTTTTGTTGTTTTGGTTACCTTTTTGGTTGAAACCGGGGTAGTTAATGAAGTACCAGGCGTCGCTGTGATTACCGGTATTTCCCCTGAACCTACCGAAGGTGGCCCTCCATCTAGCGAGTCGTCCATTAATATATCCATGTCGTTCATCTTCGTAAGTTGAGGTGAGGCCTCCTGTAAAAAAAATTACTATGTAGTGAAAAATCAAACAAAGTGTTTAAATTCGGATTAAGTGAAGCGTAAGAGCGGCATTTACATAAAGCAGTCAAGACAAGAAAAAACTACTCACTACTTCCATATGTATTGGTGTGTTCTGAGATTTGACAATATCTGGTTGAACTTGACTCATGTCAATGCCTACCTGTAATAATTTTAAAATAGTCAATTTGGGACGTGATAACGATCTGATAATTATTTTCAGAATGTTTACTTTGTCTACACCTATCAAATATTTAGAAAAATTGAAATTTTCAAACATATGATAAGATAATTTAGCAGACCTGTAAATTTATTCATGTACGCTTCTTATTTAAACAAAAAATGACAGTTTTTATTTACCCATCAACTTACTTTTGGCGCATTTATTAGTTTGGGAAAATAGTAAATTTCATCTTCCGTAACCAAAGAACTGTGATAATATTTTTTTATACCTTCGACCGGTAATTTACTAATTTGGCGATTAATCTCATCGTAGAGTGAATTACAAATAAAAATATCACTTTCGGGTATTTCAGTCGGACGACCTGCAACATAAAAATTACAACTCGGGTAAAATTAAGTCCGAGGCGAAGCCGAGACAACACTCACACGAAATATACTCATTAAATTCAAGCACCGCACACTTTCCCATGATGCTCACAAGCGGATTCGTGTCTTCCATCGACGACAAAAACACTTCCTGTTTATAAAATAATCGATTATGTGAATGCGGAATTTCATTCGGCGTGACGAACCACGGCCCACGGAAATAACACTTCCCACTGGAAAAAAAACTGTAACAAAAATCACCAAATCGGGGAAAAACCTACTCTTTCGTGTCCCAAATACTGTCAATTTGTGCAATCATTTGTCTCCCACCATCAGCAGCAACGTAAACAAAATCACCAGTTTTCACAACTCCGCTACAAATCGTATTGTACTGCTCGTAATAAGTGTTACCATCGTCAATTTCCAAATTTGTATAGAGCACAACATTCTAAAAAAACTCACTAATACCAAGCTATCACATTTAAAAACTTACAGGTTTGTCTTTCTCAACTAGTTTTTCTTGTTCTTGTAATTCGGCGAGTTCGTCTTTGTGTTTCTCGATTCGTTCCCGGAAAACGGAAACGACTCGTTTCGGTTCGAGGGGAACCTCCCTCTGGATTAGTTTCAGTGAGGGATTTTCCGGGAACATTTTAATTTTTTTGAAACTACGACTCCGAGTGCTGTAACGAGACTCACAAACATAAACGTCTTTCTCGTCGTAACCTAAAAACCAAGTTTGGATTTTTCTAAATTATTTCGGCTTTATTCACCTTCGGGTTTCATAGTGAAGTATTGTTTGATGCTGAGGACACAACAGCGCTCTTTGACCTCTTCCAAAGGCACGGCAATGTGTGTGTCAGACTTGAAAACTTCTTTTTCGAGAAATTTTCGTGTAGTCACGTGAAAAGTTTCCGCAGGTCTTAAATAATAATTCCCGTAGAGCATTTGTTGGCCGTTATTTGTCCACAAACGCTCGATTAGTAAAATGTGAGGGTCGCAACCTTTTTCTTTCGAATCCAAATAAACGAATTCACCAACTTTGAAAGTCTGTTGATTGCAAGTCAACGATTCCCCGACATTTATATTAGTTTCTTTGATAATCGAATCATCGGAACTCCTAGTCTCTGTTTCCTCCTCCAATGACTCCTCTAGTAATTTACTCTGTCTCAGAGACTCCACAGCTGAGGTTAAATCCATAAGAGTGTAATTTAAAGCCGGCGATTGTAACAATTCCCCACTTTTACACAACTCGTCTCTTTGTTTAATAAAATAAGACTGCAATTCGATAGAATCTTCAAAAACTTGTGAATCCGAGCGTGACAATCGCCTTGCTCGATCCAAACACGCAAAAACATCGTCTTGAAACGTGTCTAACCTTTTATACAAACCGCGATCAAGCCGTCTCTTGATCAAATCCAAAGACACCGCTCGGACCCTAAAGCCGAAAATAATTACTTAACGTCTTCAAGTCGCAAAAATATTACTTTTTTCCATCGATTTCGTCGTGTTCGGGTAAGTCAGCCAACGAATCTGAATAGCAACGTTCCTCCGCGTCTTGATGGTTGTAAACGTTGGTGAAAAGGTTCAAAAGAATGTCTTGAACGGCGGCGGAGACGTCAGGCACCGTATCATCGTCTTCTTTGAGTTGGAGTTTGGTTTGAAGACAGACGGTTTGAAGGACTAAAGCGTCTTTGTAAATTTGCGAATCGGGTTCGTTGTATTTGCACGCGTTATCAAACATTAGGATAAAATCGGAGACCATGTCGTCGAGGGTCTCGTAAGAGTTACTTTTTAGCTTTTGTGAGATTTTTTCCATATCGATGGGGTTTTTGATCACTTCGTAATAGTCGGGGTAGTCCTGCAAAAGCGAGTTTGAATCGGAGCCAAACAGGTTCGGCCGTAAAGTAAAAAAAATCAAAGGAAATAAGGAATTTTCAACTTTACGACTAAACTTTAAAAAAAATTAATTACTATTTTTGATGGCAACTTCATAAAGATCAGTGATAACTGTCTGTTGGCTTTGGGTTCCCGATAATCCCTGATTGCGTCATATAAAGTGCGTAAATTTTTTTCAATCGGTGAAAGAATTTTCCGCGGTTTAACACTGTAAACAAACTATTAATCCTTTACATTTTTCTTGTCATAATCGTACACTCGGACTACAGTTTTTTCTTTCTTTTCCGGTGTTACACTATGACCAACTTTATCCATGAGATACTTTTCCAAAACGAGCGAATCTTCGTAAATTGGTGAATTTTCCTCGTTAAATTGTCGACAATTCGAAAACATCAATTTAAAATCTTTGACTAAGTCACTTTCGGAACTGTACTGATCTGCGCGTATTTTTTGCTCAATTTCAAGGAAATCGATCGGTTCCGAAATGACTTCGTAATATTCCGAATATAATTTTTTCGAGGGTTTTTCCATGAAGCCGAGCATCGGCTTTCGGCCGTCTTCACACTGAAAAATTGCCTAGTAGAAAAAAAAATTGAAAAATAATTAAGACTGACAGTATAGTCGAGCATATATTTCGCTAAAGCATGTAAACGTTTTTTTAGAGGGATTGGATCTCGAGGTGGACGACCTCTTTGAGGCGTGTTTCCACTCGATTGTGTACTTTTTGGTTTAGGTCCTGGCTTTTTGCGTATAACGACTTCAGAGTCTGCCTCACTGTCTGTATCCTGAAGAGTGAAAAACACACAAATTTAAACAAATATCATTATTTAAAAAAATTATTAATTAGGAAAATAAGTGAAACAAGCCGACTGATGTTAGCAACGTAAGCGCGCTACACCCACAAAACAAATGAATAATTCCCGAGTTAATGTGATAAAATGCAATGAAGACATAAGCAGTGCAGTAGCATACCTTTCGGTTTTTGTTAGTGACTCTGTATGTTACCTGATCAATGTCAAGTAGTTCTTGTACTTTCATTTGCATGACCTTTTGCAACTTGACAGCGTCCTAGAACAAACTCACTCAAATTTCACCCTCAAAACATTATAAAACTCACTTTATACAACCTTGATGACGGTAAGTTATATTTTTTGGCATTCTCAAACATTATGGTCATGTCACCGGCCACTTCACTTATCGTGCCATAGGCGTGTTTGGTCAATTTTCGTTTGATTTGAGTCAAAGAAACAGGATTTTTGATTTCGCGGTAATAATCGGGATAGAAACGTTTCGAGGGCAACTTCCAAAAGGGTTCGCTCAACGAAACCCCGTTATTGCTTGTTACTGATCTTACAGCTTCAAATAATTGCCATTGAGGATCCTCGACGTCGAGAGGGTCGGCTATTGACTGAAATTGACTCATTAATAAAACAATTTTGTAAATTTTTTACGGTACATCATCATCCATTTGTTCCTCTGGTTCAACCTCAGCGTCCGACTCGTCATCCCTAAGGGCTGCAGTGACCGCAGATAACGATGTACTACACTTCAATCTCTTATTCCTAATCCGTTCGCTACTTTTCCCCAAATTAATTTTAATATGTTCCAATTCGGCTTTTTTACTTTGAATTATCTACAAAATTGTGTATTTATTTCACTCGTGCAAAAAATCGAAACACCCACCTTTTTTAGCGCTTTCGCGTTTTTGTAAATTTGCGATCCTGGTTCATTAAAGAGACAGGCGTTTTTGCACATTAATAACAAATCTTTCTCGAGCTCTGCCAAGCTGCAATAATCGTTATTTTGTATTTTTGTTGCAATCATTTTCAGATCAATCGGTTGTTCGATTACTTCGTAATATTCGGGATATTTTTTCTTTGAGGGAATTAACTGGAAAGAAGTGTGAAGTGGTCGATTTTCATTGTCAGTAGCTGTCATGACACAACTGAATAACTCCTCGTATAAATTAACATCGTCGTCGAAATTTGAACTCTCTGAAGTATCCTCAGAGTGATCAAGTTCTTTGGTTTCCACCGGAGTGCCGGCTTTTTTGCTCGGTCTTCCGACTTTTAATACGATTTTTCCCTTACTTTCAGAATCATCGTCTTTGGTATTGAGCAATCTAAATAACGCAAAAATTAAAGTGGGATAAATTAACCATGTGACTCACTTATGCTTATTGGTGAGGAACAGATCCCACAAATCTATGGCATCCCTATACTCCTGTGAATTCTTTTTATAGAAAGCTTTAGTATTACTGACAATCAACTCGATATCGTTTTGCAAATCCTCGATATCTTCATATTCTTCAGTTTTCAGTTTTTGTTGTACTTTTAACAAGTCAATCGGATTTGACACAACCTCATAATAACCCGGTTCTTGTCTACGTTTCGGTACTCGAATAAAAGAGTCACAAAGAAGAGTCCCATCGTCTTTTTTATGAGTACGAATTGAGTCATACAACTGTTGACAAAGCTCCATCTAAAAATAGAAAAGGTCACAAAATGGAACAATACTACAATTATCTTCTTACAGGATCTAATTTTTTGCTGCGTTTTCGCATCGTAGGTCCTGTACTAGTCGAAGCCTCTAGACTATCCAAAGAATCGTCTTCTTGGCCCCTACTGGCTATAGAACTCGTTCGTCTCCTTTTACTCATTATGCTGAAAAGTTTTTCAACCAAGGCTACATTTAACTAAAGTGAATCGTACAGAAATCAAATTACAGATGCCTTAATTCAAATGAGCGCCAATTGTTATGTCAAATGACGTCAGAAACAAACGCCAAACGGCAGACCACGGTTGTCGGTAATAATCACAAACTCGCGCCAGAAATCGCCTATTGACAATGTAAGATTGTCAAATCTCGTTATTAACTTTTTAATTAATAAAAATCACCAAAATCACAATTAATGGCCACAATTTCTCACTGTTACAAACAAATGAAATAGGGTCATGGCCAGCCTATTATTAACTAATTGGACAAAAATCCTAATAAATGACAATTATTCGTTGCAATTAATTGTACAAACCTGGCTTTAGTCGATCATCACGCAATTTGAAGTTCACAGTGATGAAAAACACCAATGTTTTTGCAAATAAACCTTGCACTTCACATTTGTGTACAAATTATAAATCGATAACAAAAACCGGCATCACTCGTCAACAAAATGGCCGTTGGTTGACAAATCTGCTGGTGAATTTTCATGTTTGTTTTGGCAGATCTGGGGAATTTTCGTGTTTACGCCAGATATTTTGAGGTTATCGGCTCGAATGTGAGGTTAATAATTTAATATAAAAATAAGTTAGTTAAGCAAGATTTGTGATATTTATTGCAGCATTCTAATTTTTAAGGTTTTTTTTTACATTCGGTGCGTCAGATAAGTCATTAAAACTTTCTTTTTAGTCTGTTTCAAAATGAATGCCTGTTTGTATGTTTTGTCATGTTTGTTCATTATTTTGAACAGTTTTTCTAATAGTGGTGCAATAAAATCAATTCAGGATGATGATCTCATGAACTTAATCAGAAGCGAAACTTATGTGGTTGCGTTATTTTGTAAGTTTTTACTTTGCGTCTATTATTATAGATGACATATTGCAGCTGCAAAAAATTGCGAACTTTGTGATAATTTTGAAAACGTTTTGACTAATCTAAAGGAAGAGTTTTTGAAATCATTTGAAGGACCAACTGTTAAAGTTGTTAATAGCCAATTAACAAGACTGTATAGCCCCACAAAGGAGCCGGTTTTAGTGTTTTTTAGACATGGAATCCCTTTACTTTATAATGGTATTTCAATTATGGTTTTAGTCAATTTTATTATTTCTGTTTTAATTGTAGATGTTCCTTCAGAAGAACTGATACTTCACACATTCCTCAACAATAAAGAACCGGTGGTAAAAGAGCTAAATGATGAAACTTTTGAACATTTAACTCAGGCCTCAACTGGGGCTACTACAGGTGATTGGTTTGTGATGTTGTAAGTAGTTTTTAAGTCTTGATGCATTTGTGATTTCATTTTTTTAAAGTTATGCCCCGGACTGTGTTGATTGTCACCGCCTTCAAGCCCGGTGGGAGACAGTCGGGGCACAATTAAAAACACGAATGAATGTCGCACGGGTCAATAAAGCCACAGATGGGGCCGCAACAGCAGCACGATTTGGAGTTTCCCAAGCCCCAACTTTTATTCTGTAAATTGATTTTTTCAAGTTTTGTCCCAATTTTCACCAAATTTTTCAGCTTCAGACAAGGCAAAATGTACAAATATCAAATCCAAAAGTATGACATTGCGTCTTTCACTTCTTTCGCTCAGGAGTGGTACAAAAACGTGACTCCTCTTCGAGTACCCTCACCCAAAACACCGTTGTATGAAATAACAATTGAGTTTTTTGTGTAATAACAGTTCTTTGTAGTGATAACATTGTTGAAAATATTGTACTTAATTTGCAAGAAAGTACGATGATTTGGAAAATATGTTTAGCGGCGACTTTTGTTGGACTCTTGTTAATAATTTTAATGAAGTGTCGTAAGACTGAAAAACCTCAAAAACCGGCAAGCAAGAAAGGGGATAAAGACAAATAAAAATCCAATTTTTAACACTAACATTTTTTATTAAAATAAATTGGTGGCTGATTTCATGCTTCATTTACAAATTATTTACACATGTTATTAATGAGGGGCTGGGGTATGTCCGTCAACGTAAAAATTCCTTGTTGCTTTGGGTAATTCTAATTCTAACCCTTCTAAATCCTTGGTTAAGATAATCTGGCACCCTAATCTGGAATTTTCTTTAAGAAAAGGCGCCATATCTAACAGATCCTCTTCTTTCTCTTCTGGAGGTGTAAGTTCGTGGTCACTTTTCACATAAATGTGACAAGTAGTGCATGCTAGGGAGGCTTCACATGCCCCTTCCATTGGAATTTTATATCTATGAGCCAAATATAAGACATTATCACCTACTTTGCCTTTAACAGGAACTTTTTCACCGTCTTTTGTAACAAAAGTTATGTTAACACTAAAAAAAAAAACGTGTATTTTACGTAATTTAGCCGCGTGAATTGTTACACTTCATCGGGAGATTTGGGGTCCTGCCATTCGTATTCTCCGTGATTTAACTCTAATTAAAAATATGGTTAATTTTTAGTTATAACTTCCAATGGTACTCACTCGCTGTTGTGTAAAAATTACGAAATAAAGTTTTTAATGAAATCCTCGACTTTGCATAACCTAAAAGCCCCACAAAAGCTGTCATTTTGACAGTAACACTCAAATATCACTAGAAACAATCAAGTTGTGTCGTGATTGGTCAATATTTTATGTTCCACCAATCGCAGCGTTTGAATTATTTCACAGGGATTTTATTGCCTGTCATCCTTTCTGCAGTGTTGCAAATAGGTTCCGAATGCCAGAATTTTCATTTTCACGATTCTATTTCCAGTTATCGCAATTGAATTCCTGATTCTTCGCCGTAAAACTATCAAATGTGTGTTTCTGCCTGAGTGAGAGAAAAATCGTCGGACATTGCAAAAGGTAATTTACGAAACTTCCAGGTGTTAGTTGCCAAAAGCCTTGGCTAGGTTAAACCCTCACTCACATATTTCCCCTTTTCGATCTCTCCCTGTCACGAATCTCTCCGCGTAAACCCCAAAAGATCAATATCTTTTGCGTAAAAAATCAATAATTTTTCATTTGTTGACTCATCACTTAGATGTCGGGCTCCGCTCACAAACACCGCTACAAAAACGCGGCGCTGGACAGTGTCGAATTGCGACGACGGCGAGAGGAAGAAGGAGTCCAATTAAGGAAACAGAAACGAGAACAGCAGTTAAACAAACGGCGGAATGTTAACGTCAACCAACTCGCCGAAGACAATGACCATCTGCAAGTGGATAGCGAGATTCTGTCTCCTGCCTCGCCCATGATCACCCCCGAAATGGTCCAGGCTTTATACAGCCCCGATGTGGAGCAGCAAATCAGCGCCACGCAAAAATTCAGACAACTGCTGAGCTACGAACCCAACCCACCCATCGATGAAGTGGTCCAGACGGGGATCATCCCACGATTTGTAGAATTCTTGCAAAATTCAAACAATTGTAGTCTTCAGGTATTTAAAAATCGTATTTAAATTCATTTTTAATGGTTGGTAAAGTTTGAAGCAGCATGGGCTTTGACCAACGTCGCCTCTGGCACCTCTCAACAAACCAGAATGGTCATAGAAGCAGGCGCTGTTCCTATTTTTATACGGTTGTTGAGCAGTCAATATGAGGATGTGCAGGTAGGTTGGCGAAATTTAGGGAATTTGGGTTCAAAGTTGGTTGCAGGAACAAGCCGTTTGGGCGTTAGGAAATATAGCAGGGGATTCACCCGAATGTAGGGACCACGTCCTGGATTCGGGCATTTTAGTCCCACTACTGCAGTAAGTACACTGAATTTTGATAATCTGGTGAATTTAAGTTATCAAAGTTGTACCAAATGAGTCAACTTATGTTCTAAAACGCCTCTTTCTACATAAACAAAAATACCAACTTGACAAAAATAATCAAGAACGTCAAGTATTTTGTTTTATGCGAAAACGATCACATTTAAATATTATCATTGTCTCCGATTTTTGTAAATTTAAGATATATTAGAGAACGCGTAAAAATAAAAAACACGGTTTTTACCGTTTTTTTATGTATGTGGGCAAACAGGCTTGAACAATACCTATTTAGGATTTCAAAGTAATACAATATTATATCTCCAAAACAAAACAATTTTTTTAATAATCCATATGAATAGACACTTTACGGACCTTAATTATAAGTGTTCTAAAATTTAAATTTTGTTATTAACAAATAGTTTAAAAAGATATAGTTTAAACAAAAAAATAAACAATTACGTAGCTTTTTAACATTCTCAAAAAATTCATGTAAAAACTGTTTTCTATGTATTGAAGTATTGAAAAAAGCAATGACGTAAATAACTTTTTCATAGAAATTAAATACCGGCTGTTCCGGTTTTTTCCAAATTTTGTTTATAGCCATAATCGGTTAGGTTGTGCTCAATTTTCACGATAGCGGCATTTCCGATTACATTGGGTATCATACGTAAAAAAGTGCCCGTAAAATGTCTTTATTTCAAATCTGTATCTTCTATAATAACAAAGATATGTTTTAAAATATCGACTTTTTTCTATAAGTCGAAAACAAAAGAGGATATCGGAATGCGGTTTTAACCAATATTATTTTCTCAAAAAATGAGCCCTAAAATGTATTACTCGTTTTTGGCTAAACCTATTAGTTTTGGAAATCCCTATTCGTCCAAAATGCAACACCCTGTACATAATTTCTTATTCATAATTATTCTTTTTAAAATATCATATTTTTTTTAAATGCTTTATTTTATCTTCTAATATTAAGATATTAATGACGTAGATTTAAAATTCCTGTAATTGTCTTCGCTAAACCAAAATGATGATAAAAGAAATTTCAGATATTTTTAAAACGTCCCGTCCTGAATGTACTAAAAAAAAGAAGTCAAAAATAAGAGTGATAAGAGAGATTTTCCGAACTTAACCGAAGTGGTCGTTTCATGCATTTGGTCGTTGGAAAGCTTTGGGGTGGTTCAGGATGGATGAAAAAATCCAATAAGAACTCATTTTCTTCTATTTTTAGTCCACCCGAAACCACCCCAAAATACCTGACATATTCAAATACATGAAACGACCACTTCGGTTAAATTCGGAAAATCTTCCTGATGAGCTCAGAACGCAACTTTAAGAATCCATTAAAAAAAACTACTAATTTAGTTATTTATTTTGTACTCAATGTTAAAGAGTGCTTTTATCAACTAATTTCAATAGATAAAATAGTCTTTTACCGTCTAGTGAAATAAAGTAATTTTTATCCACTGTGTATATTTCATCAATTAATTTTACTAGATAAAGTAGTGTTTTATCGTCTAGTGAAATAAAGTAATAAAATATTATACACAACGATAAAGATTATTTATCTACTCGTGACTTCGTCACTCGTAAACTTAACCTTTTCACTCGTAGATTTACAATTTCTTCATTGTCTTGTGTAACAAATAACTATTATTATACAAAACGATAAAGAAATTAGGTATCTATACCTATTCGAAAAATAAAATTTTCTCTCAATTGCAAATTGTTTTATTATCGGGTACCGGTTTCGGCCAATTTGGCCTTCATCAGACCTACCTACAAAAAATTATGTACATAGTCCGGTCACTTCATTATTTTACTCAACTAATTTACTTCACGAATATTTAAAGTATTTGTGAAGTAGTTAGTTACGTTTGGTTCCATACGTTTTATTCACCGTCTATGTAAATATTACTAATAAAATTAGTGTAAAATAAATGAAACAGCTAATAATGTAATTATTCAGACTCCTTAGTAAATCTACTCGTTTGTCAATGACTCGCAACGCCGTGTGGGCGCTGTCCAACCTCTGCCGGGGCAAGAACCCCCCGCCCGACTTCGCGAAAGTGTCCCCAGCTCTACCCGTGCTCGCACGTCTCTTGTTTCACTCCGATCCGGATGTCCTTTCCGACACTTGCTGGGCCTTAAGCTACTTATCTGACGGTCCTAATGAGAAAATCCAGGCGGTTATAGACGCCGGCGTGTGTCGCAAACTGGTCGAATTGCTGATGCACCAACAGCCCAATGTTGTGTCGGCAGCCCTACGCGCGGTCGGTAATATAGTGACCGGTGACGATGTCCAAACCCAGGTCATACTCAACTGCTCGGCCTTGCACTGCTTGCACCATTTGTTGTCGTCATCGAAGGAGTCGGTAAGGAAGGAAGCGTGTTGGACGATTAGTAACATCACAGCGGGGAATCGGCAACAAATTCAGGCGGTCATCGACGCGAACATTTTCCCGGTTTTGATCGAGATTTTAAGCAAAGCGGAGTTCAAGACGAGGAAAGAGGCGGCGTGGGCCATAACGAACGCCACGAGTGGGGGCACACCTGACCAGATTAGGTATTTAGTGAATCAGAATTGTATCGGGCCGCTTTGTGATCTTTTGACCGTCATGGATGCGAAAATTGTGCAAGTCGCCCTCAATGGCTTGGAGAATATTTTGAGATTAGGAGAGCAAGACGCGAAGAATCACTCCGGGACTAATCCTTATGCCGTTCTAATCGAGCAGTGTTATGGTAATTATTTTATTGTGGTTGAACCAGGATTGTAATAAAAGGGTTACAGGATTGGATAAAATCGAGTTTTTGCAATCGCATGTCAATATGGAGATTTATCAGAAGGCCTTCGACATTATTGAACATTTTTTCGGGACGGAAGAGGAGGATACGACAGTAGCGCCTTCGGTGAATCCCGATCAACAGCAGTACCATTTCAGCTCGGATCAGTCGGTGCCGATGGGGGGATTCCATTTTTAAAAAAAGTTTTAGATTATTTTAAGGACTTGATCACGCCAAAGGATAACCTTCAAGATATCCGATATTTAGTTTGAATCAAGTGATAGTGTTACTTCATTGTAACAGAATTTTATGCATGTATGACGGAAAGATCGGATGTTGACAGCAAGAATTACGATTAAATTTTCTTGTTTTCGGAGATAAGTGTAAATTCATTAATCTCGAAATTCGGTTTTGTAACTTTGCTTCGAGTTATTTAGATATGATTATTGTGTAAGTGAGCTTTAATATATGCTATTTATTTTATACAGAGGCCAGCTTTTGTCTTCATTGGTTTAGATTTTGTAACAGCTATGTACATATTTACGTAAAGTGTGAAACATACATGTATAAATATTCCTAACAGCATATTTGTTTATAGTTTTTATTGTAAAATAAACTAACATTTAAGTAAATATTGCTTTTTAACAATCAATACAAAGTACTATTAAATAAAAATTAAGAGAAGAAAAAAAAATTAAAAGGCAATCCCACAGTGAAATAAGCTTAGTAGAGTATGAAATGTTACTTCTGGGCCAGGACATTTGGCGTCTTAAAAAACAAAGCAGAATCTTACAAATTTAGCTGTTTGCTCAAAAGCAAACAACCGAAAAAGGTTTAAAACCCTTCAAAAAGCATTAATTTTTATCCACGCCAAAAGTATTCAAATACAGGGTGCGCCAGAACTCGCGCCCCAGAGAAAATTTTCAAGTAAGGTAAGATACCAGGAACATGAAAAAAATGTTTAAAAAATTCTATTTGTCAAAAAAATTTGACATTTGACATTTTTTTATATCTATTTAATGATACTGATGATCTTGTTATGTTTTTTTACAATTATTTAGTAAAGGGACCAAAATTTTGCCAATAAAAGCCACAAATAACATTGAACAGAGTTACAATTTAGGATACAGCTTCCTTGCTTCCTCTTTTAATAGCCTATAGCAAAAAAACTTGGAAAATTATTTTTCCAACAGAAATAAATAGAATCCAAGGGCAAACTTTAAACCCTCATAACTTCGAAATTTTTATAGATAATTTTTCTTTTTTCTTCTTCTTTCTCTTTCTGGTATCTTATTTTTGTTCTCTGGGGCGCGAGTTCACCACCAAAAATTGGGCACACGAAAAAACCGTTAAAATATCCCAAAATAATGGAAAATTACCTGAAAAACGCCCTAAAAAACTAACAAAATATATACCTTGTTTTCACACACCTCAAAATAGCTTTTTACTTCTGGACCAGGGCATGTGGCGTCTTAAACAACAAGACAGATTCCAACAAATTTAGCTGTTGTATCCCAAAAGTAAACAACCGAAAAAGGCCTAAAACCCTTCAAAAAACATTAATTTTTATTCACCCCAAAAGTACCCAAATATCTGTAGACCACTAAAAATTGGGCACACGAAAAAACAGGGTAGAATCTTATAAATTTAGTGTTTTCCCAAAGGTAAACATCCGAAAAAGACCTAAAAACCTACAGAAAGCATTAATTTTTATCCACCCCAAAAGTACTCAAATATCCGTAGATCACCAAAAATTGGGCATATGAAAAAACCGTTGAAAATCACCCGAAATCATGCAAAATTATCCAAAAAGCACTCTAAAAACTTACAACATACCGTGTTTTTAGACACTCCAAAATGGCTTTTTACTTCTGGACCAGACCAATTGGCGCATACAAAAAAGAGGTATATTTGGCGCCTTACAAAATTAGGAGAAAAAATTAATCTTTAATGCGCCCAAAAAAATACTCGGAAATCAATAGACCACCACTGTATAAAAAAATTTTAAATAATAAATAATATAAACTTATTTCTTGCATAAAAAATACCTTTACCACAAAATATTTCGAATTAAAAGTACATTTTGATATCTTCTTTAATATTAATTTGTATAAAACATGTGAGTGAGAAAGAAGCAGCCAAATAATTTGACAAAAAAATATTACGGACATTGAAATTTTGAAAATTTTCTCGGAAAACTAATAGAAAAGGAGAAATAAGATATAAAACAAATGGTTTTAAGTTTTAATAAATAATTTTTTGAAATGAAAAAGGTCATAAACAATTACCTAAAAATGTCTGTTGCGTAAATTAATTATTTTAAAAAATAAAAGAAAATTGATTATAATTAAATAGCTACTGAATAAATGAAATTAGAAAATAGTACTGACGATATTTGATATTCTCTCTTTAATCACAACCAATTACATCACTTTTGCTTATTCATACTTTAATTACATAATTTTTATCGCAGAAACGCAATTACCATTTTTACAGGAAACGAAAACAAAACAACTTCACCATTATAATTATTTATTTTCTCAAACTTGACACAATATAAAACATTTGACGGGAATGTAATCATAAATTATTTCTTGGGAGACGCTTTCAATTGCGTTTTGATGGTATTTTCCAGCTTGATGCAATCGGCTGCAAAATTCCTAATCCCTTCGGACAGCTTATCAGTGGCCATTTTGTCCTCATTTAGCATCCACCTGAAGGCCGATTCCGTCAAGGCGATCTTCTCCAGTGGCTGTTTGGCGGCATTTTCGGGCGATAACTTCCTGGGGACGGGGTCATTCGACGCCTCCAACTCCCCCAGAAGCTTCGGACTGATCGTCAACAAATCACACCCAGCCAACGACTTGATTTCCTCTAAATTAAATTACAAAAAATTCCAATAGGACAAATAAAACCCACCAATATTCCTGAACGACGCCCCCATGACCACAGTCTTGTACCCAAACTTCTTGTAATAATTATAAATCTTGGTGACGGACACCACCCCCGGGTCCTCATCTCCCGTGTAGGATTTCTTCTCAGTGTTGGCGATATTCCAGTCGAGGATACGCCCCACGAAGGGCGAAATTAGCGTCACTCCGGCTTCAGCACAAGCCACAGCTTGCGCAAAATTGAACAAGAGAGTGAGATTGCAGTGAATTCCGTGTTTTTGCTCCAGTTCTTTCGCCGCTTGGATGCCTTCCCAAGTCGAGGCTAGTTTGATCAAAACGCGTTCTTTGCCAATTCCGTGGTCGGCGTAGAGTTGGATCAGTTTTTTTGCCTTGGCGATGCTTGCATCCTTATCGAATGATAATCTGTCAAGAGGGGGTTTAACAGGGTTAAATTGTGGAAAATGGGGGATTTACCGAGCATCGACTTCAGTCGAGACCCGTCCAGGGACGATTTTCAAAATTTCGACACCGAAAAGCACACAGAGGAGGTCCATTGCATTTTCCAGTTTCTCTTCAGTTGTTTGGCCCACTTTGTTGCCATACTGGACGGCTTTTTGGACCAGGTGTTTGTATTGGGGGAGGTTGGAGGCGGCCAGGATCAAAGAAGGGTTGGTGGTGGCATCGGTCGGTTTGTAGGTTTTCATAGCTTGAAGACAAAATAGGGACAAATTAATTACTTGTTAATTGCCCATTAGTGTCCTAAGGTCACCTTGGACTTGTCCTATCCCACTAAATCCCTAATCCCTACCTTCGAAATCCCCGGTGTCGGCCACCACCGTGGTCAAAGCTTTCAACTGTTCCAAAGAGCTGGTCATCTTGCTTCTTTTACACTGAGGCTCTGACATCTTCGTCTTTGAGTTAAAAATTAGAAAATTATCGCCCGCGACCTCGCTGTCCAACGATGATTATGTGTTTTTCCGAGTGGTGGGAAGGGAAAAGCTGTGCGGCGTGCTGAGGTTATCACTTTCACCTTGAAGACTGCGATAGTCCAATAACCGGCTTTTATTCAACAGGGAAAGTTTAAATCGACCAATAGGGGGATTTGGGGGCTCAGGATGCAAGTGCATTATGTAATAACTCGTAATAACATTTATTATAAACGTAAATAACATGGAAACATGATATAAATAGAAATGCAAGTGACGTAATTAATTGATCAGATTCGATTGTGAGATTAAAATCGACGGTGTAATAGTCGACAAAAGACTGAAGCCCCCGTGCAAGACACACACTTTACTCACACAACATTTGAGCAAGAATTTGGGGAACTAAAACCAATAATCAATTCTTATCAAACTTCTTATCAACCTACCAATTCCAAATCGGTTTCTTCGTTACCCACAACTACAATTATTTTGTTTCCGCTATTTTTTATTGTTGTGCTGTGTTGACCCACATTTTCAAGACTGGGTTCGCCGAAAGTTACACTGGAAAACGGAATATTTACGCTATTGACGACTGAAGAGCGATTAAATCTGAAATAAGGAGCAAAAAATTCGACGCAATTTTTTTAAATTGACTCATACTGTATTGGATTCCGGATGTCAATTATTAGGATTTTTTCCGGGTCGAGTCTGACCAAATCGACAAAATCGGAAGCACTGATTCGCGGACACCTTTCCCGGTTTAACTCCTGCAAACTGACATTGCTTATATCCTAAAAATTTTGGTCAAAATAGGAAAAAAACAAATCGTGATAATCACAAGTTCATTCCTGGGGTGATATTTCCCGTTTTGGTGTTCCCTCGCTGTTATACTTTTAGGAGTCGATTGAAACGTCGCAGTTGAGTAGGAGACACATTTTTCGATATCGACTTCCGGTAAATCCGAAAACAGCAAAATGCATTCATTGAACCCTGAATTGAGTAACCGGTCCCTCAACTGTGTCAAAACCGACAGTCCGATATGTAACGGAAAGGAAGAGTCCCCCAGTAGTAGTTTATCCCACAAATGTAGTATTTTGTAGAGTGGAAAAACGTCTAAAATTACTTGTTTGATTAATTTTCGCAAAATGAGACAACTTACGTGAAAATACGGTCAAAAACCACGGAATTGCGAACAATTCCGGATAGAAATTGATTTCGTGGAGATGATTGGCGAGACGGGGGTCATGAAACGCGATCAGTTGCGAGAATTTAGCTAAATACTCCTGAATCACCATCGAGTTGTCTTTGAGGAAAAACTTGTGCAAATATTTGGGGATGAAAGCTGACAAACATGTAAAAGCTTTAGCTTCGTTGTTGAAGTTCAAGTAGAGAAAGGGGGCAGTGAGGGAATCCAAGCCTTGCCAATAGACGTAATTTGAGTTTTGGTAAACCCAAGCTTTGAGAATCCGTTTTAATTTCTTGTGGCCTTCGGCCGACGAGAGCAGTTCGTTGTATTGGTGACAACGCGGAATATCCACTTCGATCTGCAATTTTAATTTATTTTATTTCAACTTCATTTGTTTTAATTACTTGACGGTCTGTTGTAGTTGATGTTTCTTTATCAATCCTCAAATATTGGCGTTCGTAGTCGCCTTTGATGTTAAGCAAAGCGGCCCAAATCTCCCCCCTGAGTAGTGGAGGAATGTCATTCGAGGCCTCCTTCAAGATCATGTTTTTCGTATGGGGGTACCCCTGAAACTCTGCGTGATTAAAGCCTCAATGCTCCCCAGTCTTACGTGTAAAAGCCTCCGGAAGAGAATAACTCTGTGAAACTGGTACTCGGGGTCCCTTTCTCTGATTACTAGAGGCAAACCTGTCGCATCATAAGCCGGGGGAACCCCACTTTCGATTATTTTCGAAGTGCTGTGAATCAGGGGGTAAAAACAATTCAATGGAATGTGGGCGAAGCGTTGGTAGAGTGTGTCGAGGGGCATTTGTACGATTCGGGGGTCGTAAAGTGTAGCAGGGTTGCGTTCTTGGCCCAACGTTGTGCCCTCTATTGTCACTAAACTAAAATTTCATCTTGATTAGCTGTTTTCAAGGGGTACACGGCGTACTTTGGGAGTGACAAAATAGGGGGGCTTGAACGTATCAATCCTTGCTTTCTCAATTCTTGGAAAACGTCACCTCCGGCTAACTGCCACCAGTGGTACAATTCACAAATTGTGAATATTTCGAAAGGGTCGCAAACTTGACTCTTGTTGACCGGTTTTTCGGATTTAAATGACTGGAAAGTGGGGTTGGCGAGTAATTCGCAACATGTTGGACGGTTTTGGGGGTAAATATTGAGACAGGCTTCTACAATTTCCCTCAAATCGTTGGGGACACTCTAATAAAAAAAATAATTGACTTTTTACTCATTGAATTTTTGTACCTCGTATTTGTCGTAACAGTTGTGTTCGCGCGCAATTCGCTCAAAAACTGAAGTGTTGCACTGAACAAGACTCAAAATTTTTCGGATTCTTTGTCCCAACTTCAAAGATTGCCACAAGACTTTGTTTAAAATTAATTCAATTAAAACAATTCCAACCGACCAAACATCGGCCTTAGGGTCAGTATGCGTGCTAGTGGGGCTATCGAGGTATATTTCAGGGGCACTGTATAAAATTTGCCTGAAAAAAAATTATAAAAAAAAGTTTGACCCCGACGTGATTTGAACACGCAACCTTCTGATCTGGAGTCAGACGCGCTACCGTTGCGCCACGGAGTCATGTATTGGAATTGACATGAAGGTGAAATATTAATAAGGTTATTGTACTTTATTTATCGACTTACATTATTGGAAATGAAACTAATTGTCCACATCCAGTCATGTGAAAAAGGCCGTAATTGAATAATTTAATGTCTTTGTTTTTCTGTAGTAAAATGTTTTCCGTGCTTAAATTTCGATGCACGATTTTGCGTTCATGTAAATAATTCAAAGCGGTCAAAATTTGATACGCGAACCTTCTAATATCGTCGTAATCAAACGGTTCTTTTGTGATATAATCGGACAATGGGGTACCACAATACTGGGACACGACAACTGTCCGTTCTAAAAAAAACTTGTAACTCAATAAAAAAGCGATAATAATAAAAAAAAACTCACCGTGTTTGCCCCTCACTATATCTAAATATTGGCACAAATACGGATTTTTGATTGTTTTAAGAATTTGTGCCCTCCCAATTATAATTATAGAGTTTGGAGTTAGAGGAAGACCGTTACTTCCGCAAGTATCACCTTTGTGTTGTTTTGCAAAAAATGTGATGGCCCCAAATTGCATCTGAGAGTCTTTTAAAAGGGGCACCGGCATATTCACCGATTTTGGGGCGTCTGTGTGCTAGAGATGAGCAAAATGTAAGGTTATGTGAACTGTCAGATGTGAGCTTATTTTAATTTAAATTATATACATGAAAGGCAAATGAGGTAACAGACAATTTCGATTACATTTAGGAGGCTTTTAAAAGGAGTCCGGGCATTTTTAGCTAGTTTTAGAGTGTTTATTCAATAAATGACGAAAAAGTAGGGTTAATTAAATCTGTCATTTTTACTGATTTGGATTTATGAATAAAACTCAGTTTTTGTTTAAGGATTTTTATTACTTTAATAATACAAAACCTCCCAAATAAAATTAATATAAACAGAAATTAATCCTTTTCGGCGATCGCTGTCAAATGTCTATCAATCTCAGCTTCAGTCAACTTCCTGAATTTAGGTTCATTTTTGGACACAACTCCTACTTCAATTTCAGTCGGCTTAAAATCAACCGAGAGGACGCTTGAAAGACAAGAAATAGCCAACTGGATAGCATCATCAAATTGCAACTCTTGTTTCTTCTTTAACTTTTTCTCCAAATAGCTATTAGCTTCCGTTTGTTTTGCCCCCACACTTATAGCTCTATACCCACAATAATACCCCGCAGGGTCCGCCTTATACACACACGGCCCAATTTCTGGGTCATACCCAATGAGCACCATAGAGCACCCCAAAGGCCTCATTTCCGCATTCTGGGTATAGACTTGCGAGATATCCGCCACTCTCCGACACAGGGAATCAATGGGCATCTCATACCCATATTTGTACTTGAATTGGGCCGCCTCATAGCGCGCTCGTTGCACTTGAGACTTGCTATCAGCAATCATCCCTGTCATAACACACCCTGAACTTTCCGTTAATTGAAACAAATGCGTGATGGTGGAGGCGTCGATGAGCTTGTCAGGGATCTTCCTCTGAGTCACACACACGGCAGAATCAACCCCCTTGAGAGCCACGGAGGTCAACCCGGCTTGATTGATAGCTTTGAAGGCATACTCGACTTGGTAGAGCCGCCCCTCGGGGGAGAAAATGGTAATGTGGCGGTCGAATCCGGCACTGCTACCGCGAGACATCGTGAAAGAATTTTGCAAAAGTTAATTCAAAACTTAACGTGACTTGCGGTTGTTTGGACTGTCAAAACGAACTGTCATCGCTGTCAAAAATAGAACCATAAGTGCCAATAACGGGCGGGAAGCGAGAAAGTCTCTATAAAAATTGAATTTTGAATTTAATGCTATTAGAAATTACGAATTTATTTTAATTATCTGATAATGGTTAGTGTTGTAACGGCAGAGTAGTTTACATAAAAGTTTTCAAAGTTTTGTTTTAAAAAATGTATTTTTCTTATTTAATTTTATTATCAAAATGTATATTTAAATAATAATAATCCCTTGTGAAGGAAAACACAAGAGTGACTAAGCTGAGTAATCCACTCACAGTGTATTTTTAAATATAGGCAAAGATAAAGTAAAAAAATTCTCTTATCTTAGGTAACCCAGAGATAAATGTATAGATATTAGTGAGTACCATTCTATTAACAATGCTTTCACAGTTTTCTTTCGTGTTAGCAATTTTATTTATTGGTGTACGATCAGAAGAACCATTTGCTAGACAACAAATACGTAAGTATTGAACTATAAGTACTTTTTTGTTCTTTTTATGATATTATGCAATGATATGAAACACAAAACTTTATAAAGTAAGTGGTTATAATTAATTTTATCACATAAACATAGTAAGTGTTAGATATTTAAAAATTTTCCTTGTTTCCAGAATCTTATGTCTCATGTCGCACCGATGCAGACTGCAAGAAGAATTCTTTCTGTTATGGAAATGATGATGACAAATATGGAAAATGCAAATGTAATAGCGGATACGAATTGAATAACCGAAATGCCTCATTTTATGAATGTTTGCCAAGTACGTGTATATTTTTTTATTTCAAAGTTTGCTTTATTAACTCTAATCAGGAGGTATATCGTATTTATCACTATCAAAATTTCGAAATTTTTGCGATTATTAATGATTGTCGATTTATATTGACTAATTTTATCAGGAGTGTATCTGGGGGACGCCTGCGAGGAAGACTTCCAATGCCAACTGGTGGCAAGCAACCTGGCAGTATGCAACCAATTCAAAATATGTGATTGTAGCCCCGAAAGCCACAAGTCTGACAAAATGTGTTTCGCCGATATCAGTACGTAGCCCTCTCAAAAAATACCAAAATTTTACAAGAAAAATTCTCAGAGTTGGGAGAAGTCTGTATGGTTGACCAAAACTGTCTTTTAAGTGACGGCCAATACGCTTTTTGCGTCGCCGGAATTTGTACATGTCGTAAAGATGAGACACCGTCACCGGACAGGACTCTGTGTCTCGGCTCAAGAAATCTGGGGGAGCCTTGCAAATCAGACAAGGAATGTCTCTCGGTTCCCAACACGAGGTGCTTGGAAAAATGTGTGTGCGATACGACGTACACTTTATCAAGAAATGAGACTGAGTGCGTGAAAGGTAAGTTACAGTTCTTGGGATGTGGAAACTTCATTTTTTGGTATTGTTTTTAGCCGCGACGAAATTCGGAGATCCGTGTGATTTTGATGGTCAATGTTCGAAATTTTTAACAGACAGTGTTTGCAATAATGGGGCTTGTGGGTGCTTGTCTCATTTACATGAATATGGCAGTAGATGTGTCAGAACGAAACAGATTGGTCAGTCCTGTGAAAAAAATGAAGAGTGTATTTATAAAAAGGAAATGAATGGGAATGTCAGGTGTGAGAATAAAAAATGTATGTGTTTGTTTGGGAGCAACGCGAGTGGTGATTGTAATATCGAAAAAATACTTGACGATAATGGAAAAAGTGTAGCCAGTGGCCTAATCACCACAAAAAGTTTGTTGTTTGGGGTAAATATCTTGCTGTGTGTCATTTATTTTTCACAATAAAATTAATTTTTTATCTTATTTATTTTTTAGACTTTTTATAACGTGAACAAATTTTTGTATAAATAATTTAGGAAAGTTTTAACACATAAAATAAAAGAATTGCAATTACGTAAATACGGGGTGCATCATTTACTACTTGCTTAGATCCTGGAAAAAACATTTTTACTGAACTCCATCTTTTTTAATAATTTTGGTCACATTACTAGAACATGCGAGGCCATTTTCCGATGGGTACAGCTCGTCTTTACACTCGCATTTCATTTGAAACTCACAGAAAGCCCCCTCGATGCAATGTTCATCATATCGACACCTTTGCCCAACTCCTGAAACCACGTGTTCATTTATTTTGTTTTGATTTTATAAAAGTGTACCTCCAACACATTTATCACCATAACTATTAAGAATATAATTACGGTCACATCGACACGTTTGGTTTTGTCCACAAATATAGCCAAAAGCTGCCCCACAGTCGTACTTATTGACGCAAGCTCGTGAAAGAATAGGACCTAGAAACTAATTTTAGAAAATATGATTTGAAAGTGTAGAAAAAAATCACTTTTTTGACCGACAATAAAATCAGTGAGAAAAGTGAGAAAAAGGTAAGTGCAGAAATTTGGAGTCTTCATTGTATTAAAATTTGAATTTTATGCCCAGGTGCGAAGGTAAAGTTTGATCGATAACTTATATCTTTTGTGTTTGCTTTTCTTTTGTTAGAATTATGATAAAACGGAGGGTGAAAGGGGGAACTAAAGGAAATTGATAGTAAAAGATATGTTTATAGTAATTCACGAAAAGAATATAAATTGGGTCAGAAAAAAGACACATTCGCGAAAAAATTGTTATTTAATCGCCGTTGTCATACAAATGTATACATTTTGCGTTAATTTTTCTTGTAACAGTAAATTCAAATTTTTGCCTCCTATTTTAGGGTATTCACTAGTTGTTTAGTTTCTTTTTTCTTTAATGTTGGTGTCAAGACTGACAAGTGGAAAGAAACCCCAAACGCTATCGTCGGTTGATGAATGGTGATTCTTCTTATTCTATAGTGATTATCAGAAAGAGCTGAATTGCAACGCTATTTCAGTTTTTAGTTCACTTTTATCCCTGTAAACCACCCTTAAACTCTAGAAAATGGAGGATTTATATGAGTAAGTGAAAGTGCATTCAGTTTTTTCCCATCACATTTTTTGTTTCTCAATAACTAATTTTCAGTCCCGAAGAAAAAATCTTATGCCCATACAACAAGTCACACCACATCAGAAGATGCAAAATGGCCTTTCATTTGGTTAAATGCAAGAAAAATTACGGGGAGCAGAAAATGGTTCCTTGCGATTTTAACGCTACCCATATGATTCCAGAACCCGAATTACGCGTAATTAACAATTTTAAGAATTATGTAAATGAACTAAACATCTTTTTAGTATCATCATCAAATTTGTTCTGACCGGAAATCCGTAGAGGCCCCAATCGTGGCGACCCAGAAGAGGACAGACCGATTCCCCATTCCGAAAATCGACGTGGCTGTGGAAGAAAGTTGGGATGATGTGAGTTTAGGGAGTTTTTGTCCCATCATGTTGGTGCCAAATTTGAAATTAAAAAATGATTTTTAGTTGGATGTGCCCACGTATGACCCAAAAGCGTATACAGAGAAAAGTAACGTGCTTCGTCACCTTGATGTTGAGTCGAGTGCGAAAAGAAGAGAATTTCGTCTCAATGAACGTGCAAGACTTAATCAATTAGATGATAATACTCCAACTCAATCTCAAACGGTATTAATTCTTAACACTGAAATTACAATAATATCGGTTTTTATTTACAGTACTCTGTGCCGCTACCACAGCATCGCCCTGCCACCAACATTACAGAAAATAGAAGAATCAACATCCAAGAGAGAATTAGTGCCCAAGGAAAAAAACCGTTTCTGCAATTTACTAAAAACGAGTAATTTTTACCCTTGAAATTTGCAGTGTTTAGGGTTTATATTTTTTATATCTATTAGACATAAGACATAAGATTTTTATATCTGTTTTATTTTTAAGACTAATTTAAGGTTTGAAAAAAAAAAGTGTACTTTTAGGGATTTTTGTTACCCGCACGTTGTTACCACCACCACTTGTCATATATTTTCTTGAGTTGTTTTTTATTTGTGTTCAATTTGTTTTTATAATTTGTTTAATTTCTTGTTTTTTTGTGAAAAAATGGAAGATTTGTACGAGTAAGTATTCGTTTACTAATGTTTCCAAGTGTCATTAAACGATTAAATTGATCAAATGGGTTTTTCTAGCCCCGAGGAAAAAATTACCTGCCCATATAACAGCTCTCATCATATTCGCCGCTGCAAAATGCATTTTCATTTAGTGAAATGCAAAAAAAATTACGGCGAGCAGAAAATGGTCACTTGTGACTTCAATTCTACTCATTTGATCCCCAAACTTGAATTGCGCGTAATTTCCCCAACCCTCACATAACCTCATTATTCACCCTATTTTTTAGTACCATCACCAGATTTGTAGCGACCGCAAAAAAATCGAAGCCCCCATTGTGTTGTCACAAACCAAATCAAAAAACAAATTTCCAATACCCAACATTCAGATCGCTAGTGAAGAAAGTTGGGATGATGTAAGTTTAAATTGTTTCGGACAGTTTTTATTCAGTGTTTTTAGATAAATGTGTCGACCTACGACCCGAAAAAATACGTCGAAAATAGTGCGGTTTTGCGCCATATTGATGTCGAGTCGGCAGGAAAAAGACGGGAATTCCGGCTTAGCGAACGCCGGAGACACAATGAGTTGAGTGGGGCCACTAACACGGCCCCGTCTGCACCAGAAACGGTACAAATGTTAAAAAAAAAACGTTTTTTGGACTTGATGTTTTACAGAGCTCGGTCAAACTGCCGTCACATCGCACTGTCGCCAACGTTGAAGAAGTTGAAGAACTCCATTCAGCGGTGAATTTGGGAAAACAAGCCATGAAGACGTATATCCAAGACAAACATTAATTGAACATTCACTGACTTTGAATTCTATTTATGTTGTTTCGTGTTACAAATAAGTTGATTTGAGTTGTTTTGTAAGAAGTTAAGTTGCTTTGTTAAGAATAAATTTATTTTTGTACGTTTAACTTCTATTGGTGTGGTTTGTCAAGTCATAAATTACATTCTCTTTGCATCAATGGGTTTTGGGTCAAAGAGTGGAACTACGGTTCAGTTCCCAACTAAACAGCTGCGGCGCACCTGGTAACAATATCTTTTAATAGCTGTTTATATGTATTTCACATAAATTGGGAAGAATTTGTGTCGAGAAGTTCAAAAAATTTAAATTTATTGCCAACCTAATGACAACAAATTATTGTCACGACACATCTGGAAGTGGATAATGTAACGTGCATTTATTATTTTGCATCTGTGACAGATGAGTCAGTTTTTGATCAGCAGTGTGGAAGTGAGTGTTATTTTCAACGTGGGATTTGAATTTGAAATAAAAAAATAAAGTAAGGCGTTATTTAAAATCTATTTATAAATTTAACTGCAGCCAATGATTGCGACCGGAAGCCGATAATAAATTCCAAAGTGCTCTTGATCAAACAAATTATTTTTAGAAAGTTACACGCCTTATTAACATTTTTATTTGTTGCAGTCTGTTATTGAACTATTTCGAGTGTAATCAAAGATAAAAAACGTTACATAAACTTGTCTCATAAATTAAAAAGTTACATCAATGTACCAACCGGTACCATACACAAAAAATTGATCTTTTACTCCCTTACACCCATTTCTTCTTAAATTCGTATTAATAGCTTGTGAGTCATTTATTATGATCCCATCATTAGAAAGTATCGGCTGGTGTCATTAAAAAACATCATTTCAGGAAAATGGACTCGACTCAAGAACAAGTTGTAATGACTCCGAAATGCAAAACTGCCAATTCAACGACTCTCATAATCGAAAGACGGGCTGTGAATAAAACCAATGAAAAGATGCATGTGGCTGGGGGTGAACATACCGGAATTATAATAAATAAAGAGACCACGAATGGTAACAAACCACAATTTGTCAAACCCCCAAAACACTGAATTTGTTTCAGAAAACGGCGTTTCTGCCCCAGCCGAACTCTCGCTCGAATTTCGCGTTTTTTTAGTCAGTGCTCAGACGGGGAAACACACCCAGGAATCGCGAACTTTGAGGTTCTGGTTTCGGGAACAGGAAGGGGACAAGGCTGCTGTGGCACAGGATTTCTTCAAGGAATTGGTTAGCCCTCAAGAATTCCCCAGAGGTACTATCTCAACTCTATTACACTATCAAGTGAACAAATTTTTACAGATTATGTCGGATTTATTAAAAAAATCATGAAACTAATGCAACACAATTATAAGAGTATCACTAAACTGGAGGTCGAATTAACGCAGTTGCAGGAAGCAGAAGTCCCGACAAGGCCACGTAAGTGCCCCCATCACAGGGGTGTCGGACGCCCAGAGTGGGCCAAGGTTGCGAGTCATACGTTGCCGATAACTATACTTGGATGCGATTAAAGTTACGTCCAAATAACCGACATTTAAAAAAAACTGAAAAATTCTATTGAAATACATTCGCATCCATATTTAGTTCCCCATATCGTATATTTCGCAATTTGGACCGGGTTTATGAGATAAATGATTAAAACATCCCACATTTTGCTCCCAAAAGTTTCAGATTATGAATCAATGAATAATAATTTGTTCATTTTGACATTGTCCCACTCATCTGTATATAGTATTTTGGATAAGCCCATTTACAGCGAAATAATTTTTTTTTGATGTTTAATCATTTATTTTCTGTACTTAAAAAATATTTGAAATTCTTTCTGGTTTTGTAGCTCGACCTGGTTATCTCCAATTCGAGCTAGCACCTGTTTGTATGTCAGGTTCGAGGTTGCAAATCGTAGTTCTTTTGTTTTGTTTGCAATTTAACGAAACAATTAACTAAAAATGCATTAACTAGTTTTTTAACCCGAATAATATGTAACAATAATTGAATTACAGTAGAATGAATTATTTATGTGTTGACTTTCACAATTGTTTTATTATGTCAATACATAGTTTCCATATATTGTCCCAGGAAGCACTATTTGTGGCATTCTGACGTCATAATCATTACGCTCGATTGTTTTTTAGCACCATTCATTTAATTATTATATCAAGGACGTTAAATTATGGAAACTATAACATAATTTCGGTATTTTCATATGTGATTTTTTTTTAGTGTCAGCCGACGAAAATTCTTTAGGAAATGTTGTGTTATTGACGCGTGAAAAAGTCTTAGAAATAATTGAATCATCGTATCCGAATCCTGTCACAATTCAGGACATTGCAAAGTGAGTCATTTGCGTTTGATTTTTTCTCAATTAAAAAAAAAAAACAAATTAGGGAAAATGGTTGGGATGAGGAAGAAGTCGCCCATCACATTGCTGATCTGCAATCAAGCAACATAGTTAAAGCCATGGAACATGGCGCATTTACCCGCCAACAATCCCACGACACTCAAGTAATCATCGTGAAACAAATGCCGACGATGGTCAGTTCGAAACAACCGACAATCGCCATAATCACAGCCCAATACTGTGAGAAATTGGCCGTAGATGCGATGATCGAAAATAAGGAAACTTTCGTTAGATATACAACAGTAGGTGAGTTAATAATTTATTGACAGTAAAATTATTCAGATTCGGTCGAGCTATCGTCACTCGAACTATCACTAAAATCGTCCGAATCCTCGTCTCTGATTCTCAAATTGTTCAAATCGAAATTTTGACAAACGTCGTCTTCAATCTCTTGTAGATTCAATCCGAGGTCGCTTTTCTCAATCGTCACTTGTTTAATTTGGTCAACGACTTCTCTCCATTTCGTCCTGTCCCATTTCATGATGTAAATAATGTAATCCTTGATAAATAAATTGTTGAGGATGTAGCGACAACAATCGCCGGTTAAGAAAATGTGATACATTTCAATCAAACACTTGATTATGTGTTTTTCGCCCAAATCGAGCAATTTTCTCAAATCGGTTAAAACGGTTTGATTGAGTTGGAAATTCCGGTAAAGTGGGTAAATGACACTTCGCCTAAAAGCACTAACTAGGGCATCTTTGGGCGTTTTGAAAACATCAAGCCAGCAAAAAGTCGCGGCTAATTTCACAATGGTCCAACCCGATTCAGAAGTTCCCTCAAATTGAGTTGTCCGCCGGTCATAACAATAGGCGTATAAAATATCAACGAGACAACAATGACAATAGGTGACTTGTGTCTCGCTCAAATTGTACGTTTTGTTGGGCAAGTCTTTAAGAAAGTCCAATTCCTGGTCACTGAACTGAATTTCATCCACTTTTAACTTATCATAAGGGGATTCCTGCGAGATTAATTCCAAAATTTCCTCGTTTTCGATGTAATCACTTAAGTAATGATCGATATTGAATTTGCCTTGCTCGAATTGCACCCGCATTTTGTGTCTTTGCCCCAAATTGACTTCCCGGGGGTCCACCTCGAACACGTCCTTGAATTCCGATGAGACATGGTTGAAATTTTCCTTACCACAAAGTGCGAACCCGAATTCTTCATCTAGCTCGTCTTGCGACTTCTCAGAAGCCTCATTTGCCACTATTGTGATTTTCCGGTTGTCTTCATTGATTTCAATTTTGGGGGTCAATAATTTCGTTATCAGATCCAAATCTGGGAAGTGTTCCCCATCTATAGCCTTCTTTATCGTGAAACTAAACTGTCCTGACTCCGAATCGAAGGAACTTTGGGTGAAATCATCCTCGACTAGACGCCCAGGTAGATGTAAACGCAGGTAATAGGGGCTGGTGTAGAAAATGAAGATGTTTTCATCCACGGTCACTTCCAACTCACGTAAATTACAATAAGGGGCTCGTATTTGTATTGTGACATTGGATGCGGTTTGTGTGAGCTTAAATCGTGGCGTTATCATGTTGAAAATACACCAAACTGTCACTTTTGAGGTTAGGTATGTTTGACAATTGACATTTAACCGCGGCAAATTTAAACAAACAATATTTTACTAGCAATTTAAAAAAAATATTGTCGTATTAAACAGGTCCCAGTAGTCCTACGGGTGAAAAACCGAGGGCCCGCTTTGGTAAGATAATTAAAAATTCTGGGGGAATCACTTGTGATGTCACCATTTTTTTTTTGTTTGTACATAGATCACGAAAATCACTTGTGAATGTCGCATTTGTATGCAAAATGCTTTCCACTGTTCACTAACACTGTAAATCACTGGGTGATAGCCACAATTTTGACGCAATATTAATTGTTTGATTTTTCAGGGGAATCGAATGTTTACACTTTGGGGAACATTGGGGCCCACCGTATAGTTTGTACAAAGTTGCCATCAGTGGGTCATACTAGAGAAGCAATGACCGCTGCTGGGAACACAACGACGAGACTTTTGGGGACTTTCCAGAAAGTCGATTATGTGTTTTTGGTCGGCGTGGGTGGGGGAGTCCCCCATTATACGGATTACAATAAGCATGTCCGATTAGGAGACGTCGTAATTTCGCATCCCGTGAATAATAATAAGTGAGTCATTTCGTGCGAAAAATGGTGGTGACAGTAATTAAATTTCAGAGACGTTTATGTTTATTGCGAGACGGCCAAAATTAGCGATAAGGGTTACGATTTTGAAGTTAAACATTATCGCCCTAATAATTTCATTTTGCAAGAAATTTCCGCACAGTTAAAATCGTCCGATTCGGGTGATAATGGGACCATTTCACCATGGGCGAAATATCTCAAAGACGGCTTAAATATTCTCACTACTCAAATCGAGACTGATTTTAAACCCCCGAGTGTCGAAACTGACAAATTATACATGGCCATAGGTGAAAGAGATTTAATTGAAGTCGCTCATCCTGTGCCGCAAGATAAAAACATTAAAAGGTTCGTATTTTGTTTAATTAAGTATTTATTTGAATTTAATTGTGTGAAATAGTCATAAAAAGCCGGAAATTAGGAGAAAACCGGTCATTACGCCAAGAAAAACAGCTTTGAGTCGTACTAGAACGATTAAGAGAAAAATTCTTAGGTGGGTGGTGGTAGAACTGCACCGTTTTGTAGTCACAATTGTGTCACATTTAGTTAGTTAAATAAAACAAAAGTCACTGAATAATTAGTTCTACACGACTCACTTTCTCCCGATTTGTTTTTATTTTGTGGTTTTTCGAATGTTTGAATTTTAGGCAGGAGGGTTGCCCCCGGATCCACTTATCGACGATAGCTTCGGGTCGTCAAATCGTCCGCGATGACCGATTGAGACAAAAGTTTGCGTCCGAAATGGGCGCTTTGGCCTTTGATTGCGAGTTTGACGCCGTCATAGAGTCCGTCCTCGGCAATTGCAAGGACAGTTTTATCATAATTCGGGGAATTTCTGATTATAAAGATGGCACTAGACGTAAAGAATGGCAACCGTATGCGTCTCTAGCAGCGGCTAGTGTCATGAAATCGATTATTTGCGGCCTAGAGCCACCAACTAATGTCTAATTAATTATGTAACTTAGGTACAAAGACTTGCATGGGACTAATTTTTAGATCTGTTTTTTTGACAAATTTTATTTTATTATTTACTTTAGTTTTTTCGGTAGGTGGTTAACGTTATATAGTCTATGAGGTTACCAATTTAGAATATTTAAGATTAAATTGTTGCTCTTATGGTGAGTATAGTTAACGAATTTCATGAGACTGTCTAGGGTTTCGTCACGAATCATAGAATAGGTCACGACTGCCAATTAATCAAATTGTTGTTCAAATTGTGATTAGGTGATATTTTAGTTTTTTTCCCCAAAATTCCAATTTTTAGTCGCTCATGTGAGAATACTTCCAAATTGCATTTAAATTTAGGATAGCACCAAAGTAGACATTTGACATTAATTCCATTAGTGTGTTTTTTGTACAAGAGATTTTTACTTGCCATGTTTTAGTCACAGAGCATATTTAATTTATTAATGTTTTTATTTACAATGAGTTTATTTAAATTATTTTGTATATCTCAATAAAGAATTTTAAATCAAGTTTTTAGGTTTTATTTGCACAAAACGGCGCTGTTTTTTTGCTCAGGATTTATCGACGTGTTTTGAAAGTTGAGACTCGAACAGTCACGGAAAATACCATTGTTGCTAAAAAATCATTAAAACAGAATTAACACATTGTTGGTGTTACCTGCATAAATATTTTGCAATGTCGTCAATTCCTTTTAAATAGTCATTTAGCAGATATTGCACGTCCATGTAATTTGAATAAATCTGGCAAATTTCTCTTAATCTGAAAATAAAAATTGAGACGAAATTTTGTGATTTTGTACCCACTTTTCGGTCCATTTCCCGTCCATTTTTGTACGGACATGAGTGCTACATGAGAAATCGTCAGTTACTATTTGATATTGTTTAAATTTTCTCAAGTCGTAGCTAAAATATTAAATAAAAAATAACGTATATGTAACACAAGTTTGTGTAAAAACTTTTCAAATCCATTTGAACATAATGAGTCAATACTGTTTGTAATTTCGTCAACAATTCCTGACTGTTTTTTGCCTTTGTTTGCATTAGATAATTCTCTGAAAATAGTGTCAAACTATTTTTTTTTAAGAAAAAGCAACGCAAGTCATCACTCACCTCTTTCGCAACGGCGAGACACATGCTGCATTTCAAGCAAATTGAACCAAAAGGCTTCGATTGCACGTAATTGTGAATATCATTTTTATACGGGTTTATCACTTTTTTCGGATTTGTCATTAAAAAATTGCACTTGAGCCGCTCATCCTCTCGTGCGTCTTGCTCTCTACTTACGGATTTACGCAAAGCTTTGTAATTCGGGCACTGGTGCAGAACAGCACCGGTTGTGAAAAATAAACAAAATATGAGGAAAAAAAACATGACATTGACAAGAATTTAAATTTGGCGCGCCTGTCTTTCCACATGCGTCACCCGTCAAGCTTCAGTCGCCATCTTGATGGGAAATAACAGTGCTTGTGCTTGTGTTTACGTCCCAAATTTTCGAATTTTTGCTTGTTATGGAAAAAATCTTAACAATTCGACCAAAAACCCCTTCATTTACGCCCATAGTGACTTAATACAGTAAAAGTTGTAAAGGTAAAGCACCCTCGGGGGAAGTTCCCTCGAAAACGCGTTTCGGCGCCAACGCGCTTGTGTACGGTATCGTTGAAATGTGAATAATTTCAGGAATTGTGCGTGAATATAAAACGGGAAGATGTTTTACGCGCACTTTGTCTTGGCCAAAAAGGGGCCGCTGGCCAGAATTTGGCTTGCGGCTCATTGGGACAAAAAACTGACCAAAGCTCACGTCTTTGAGACCAATATAGAGAAGTCGGTCGACGGGATTTTGCAGCCTAAGGTGAAAATGGCTTTGAGGACTTCGGGGCATTTGCTGCTGGGGGTTGTGAGGATTTATTCGCGTAAGGCGAAATATTTGCTAGCGGACTGCAATGAGGCCTTTGTCAAAATTAAAATGGCATTCAGGCCGGGGATGGTCGATCTGCCCGAGGAACACAGAGAGGCGGCGGTAAATGCCATCACTCTTCCAGAAGTGTTTCACGATTTTGATACAACAATGCCGGAATTAAAGTAAAATGGTTGTGCAAATTGTGGATAGGGTTACACATGAAATTTTTTCTAGTGACGTCGATATTGAAGCCCAGTTTAGTTTAAACCAGTCACGTGCTGAAGAAATTACAATGAGGGAGGACTATGGCAACATATCACTAGACACAAACGACGATGGTTTTGGTGATATGGGATTTGACACCGACGCTCCTGATTTAATGAGACATACGGCGGGCCTAGAACCATCCATGGAACAAGTCAGTGAAAAAATAAAAATCTCTAAAAATTTAACACACTGTTTTAGAGCAATCTATTATTTAGCGATGGTGCAGTCTTGGATGGCGTTGGATTAGATAAGGACCGCGAACCTGTCCCATCCACTTCCGGTACCCAACACCACACACCCATGGAAATGGATTCAGCGGTTCGCGATGATGGTTTTGGTTCAAATTTAGACCAAAATATAATTTGTATGTGTATTTAAAATTATAAATCACAAACTGACAAGTTTTTTTAGCTGGCGGTTTATTTGAGGGTGGCTTATTTGACGACGCCCCCATGGGGGATGTTCCACCTGTAGATCACCCGATACAAGACGCACAAAACTTGCCCCAAGCTCCTGATAGTGATGACGACGATATGGACCATTTTGGCGGCCCGCCCTCTGTTGGTGGTCACAGGTACTACAACGAATTTTCTGAGTTTATTCAAATTTGATCATAGTTTTGGTAGTTCTGACGATTCGAGACCGACTTCTGCGATAGGTGGAGCCCCTACGATGCCTTCACCGGCTCATGCAGCCCCACAACATCCGGAACAACAAGCAGAACAACCCGAAGAGGCTACTAATGTCCCCTTGGAACAAACTACTTTGGTTCATAATGAAGAAGAGAGTTTTGCGTTGGCACCAGTGGATGCGTCGGCTCTTAAAGGTGTGTTTTTTCACTCACTGATCGATTTTTTTTCTAATAAATTGTTATTTAGGTTTTACCAAAACTAAGCGTAAACGAAAATTGATCGTCGACGAAGTTAAGAATATATCAGGGGAAGAAATGAAAAATCAATTGTCTGACACTAGTGATATTGTGACGACATTGGATTTGGCTCCGCCCACAAAAAGGTTGATGCATTGGAAAGAAACAGGAGGCGTTGAGAAATTGTTTGCACTTCCGGCGAGACCTATACCGGCCAGAACTTTATTCAAGGTTTGATTTGGATGGTTTGAAGGTACCTGAATAACAATTGTTTTGACAGAATTATCAGCGCCATCTAACGTTGCGTGCGATTGGGACTGAAGACTTTGCCATGTTAGGAGACGCCGATTCTTTGGCGTTGGATCAAATGAGAGACTTTGATGAACCTTTAGCCGAGCTTCCGACGCCGGCCAAACGTGGCCGGAAACGAAAAATCCAAGAGGACCCGGTAGGCTACTTATTTCGTGTTTTTATTTTTATTACATTGGTTACACAGAGTCGGACACCGATGCATGCCCTGGATCAGGAAGCGCACCTCCCTCAGGACGACCATTTAGCTTCCATGATGCCTTCGTTGCCGCCTCCATCTCCCATGCGGCCCCAGCAAGCTCCCACTCCTCTTATGATGAGTCAAGATGACGCCCAACACGTGTCAATGCCGCCTCCGTCGACCCCTGCCAGTGTGCTGTACCCACAGACCCCCCAAATGGGGTATCCGGGTACTCCAGCGCCGTCTACTTTAGGTTTCCCCAGTACTCCAGCCCCACCAACGCCTTTGCATCACATGGAAGAGATGCCCCATCTAGCGCCTGACCAAGTACACTCGATTTTGCATGAACAGGAGAGTATAGGGGGGCTGGTACCGCCAATGACGCCGGCGTCTGACGATATGTTGTCGCATGGTATGGGGGCTCCAACGACGCCACATCATGGACAATTGGATCCGAATTTGCCGTTGGAACAACTGGATAATTTGGGACATCATTTGCCTCAGATGGAGAATATGGGATACGATCAGGTAGGCATTTAGGGGAAATTGAAAGGTTTTAATGATTTTTTTTTTTTGATAGAATCAGATGCAAATGGCCAATATGGGGTATGATGAACATATGCCAGCGCAAACTCCGGCTGGAGGTATGTCAGAGAGGGTGCACTCGCCATGGCAAGGGGATTATGATTTCCCGCCATCTGCCGGTCCGGTGAGTAATCAAAGGACTTGTAAGTCGTGAATAATATTTATGTTTGTTTAGGTTGAAGAACAGCAACAGGATGAAACGGATGAACAGTTTGAAGAAAGAGTATTAAATAAGCGAGCCTATCAGATGTTTACAGTTGTTAGATCGAAACTCGATACAACCAATCAAATTACGTTAACGGAGATGTGTCATAGAAACACTAAGAAACAAGTGAGTGACGTGGTGCGTAGGTTTTTTATGTATTGATGTTTTTCTTTTGTTACAGGCGGCTCAAAAATTTTACAGTTTGTTAGTACTAAAAAAATTCCAAGTCTTGGAATTGGAACAAACAGGTCCTTATGATGAAATATTTGTTTTGCGAGGACCGAAATTCGATAATCCTGTACTGTAACTTTATTCTTATTTTTTTATTACTTTTTGTGTGACGACACAATGAGGGAACAAATTTGAGTTTTTACACCAAAGTATTTCTTTACGATTTACACATTGACTTTTTACAACTGTTGTACAATTTGTTTGTTTTATGCCTCTTAGAATTTTCATAAAAGAAACAAATTCTAGTCTGTTTTGTTAAATCTTACTTGTTTTAAATGTGACCTCATTTGCGTTTTGTTAAGTCTTTGAAATTATGTAGTCTGTGATATTAACTCTACATTTTATAAAAACATCATTTTCAGCTATTAGTTGGCAATAATCCATTCTGTTTCATTAAAGATTAAGAGAAAATGTGGTTAGTGAAGGGGGCGTAATAGAATAGTTATATTTTTATTAAAAAATGTACATAATGTATTATTCTATTATTCCCTTTAGGCGTTAATATTTTTAACAAGTAAGATATCCTTGAACTTAATTGTTTTAAGACAAAAATCACTTTGTATAAAAAATGTTATTTATTTACAAATAAGATATGAAAAAATGTGGAGTAATAAGATAATTGCTTCACTTTATCTCTCTTTTTCTAAATTCATTGATAGCTTTTTAGGCTTAGAGACTATGTATAAGGTAAATTTATTAAATAAAGTAATGTTTAATACTGTTATTATACTCATTTTTTACCCCCTCCCTCATTCTAAACTTCCAAAATTTGTGTTTGAAATTACAGTGGACTGTAAATATGTAATATAATTAAATTAATCAAAAACACCTCAAAAACTTAATTTTGTGTTAAGATTTGTTACAAAAAGTGATCGATATTAAAAATTGAATTCAAGTATTTGTTGGTTCTTTTATGATTATTTGGTTGGCAAGAAAAATCCGTCATCTGTCAAATTTAGCCGATTTTTCAGTGCGGTGTGGTTTATTATTCACATGGTATAAAAATGTCGATTTTTGCGAGTCCTTTGTCTGTTGCTGGCACCAGAACTTCAGGAGCCCCTGTACGAACTCAAAATGGCAAGTTTCTTGTATTTTTACAGCCCAAAAACGTTGTATTTTTCACTCATCAAAACCCAAGTCATGTGCTACCGGTTCCCGACTAACAAAGCTCCCATTTACAGTCATGGCAGCATCCTCCATCGCCAATATCGTCAAAAGCTCCCTCGGTCCCGTGGGACTCGACAAAATGTTGGTGGACGATATTGGCGACGTCACTGTTACAAACGATGGGGCCACGATTTTGCGTCTTTTGGAGGTGGAGCACCCCGCTGCTAAGGTTTTAGTCGAATTAGCACAACTGCAAGACGAGGAAGTGGGCGATGGGACTACTTCCGTTGTTATAATCGCCGCTGAATTGTTGAAAGTAAGTTTTCATTGTTGCAACATAATTGAAAAAATATTAATATAATTTCATAGAACGCCGACGAGCTTGTTAAACAAAAAATTCACCCGACTTCCATCATCAGTGGCTACCGTTTAGCGTGTAAAGAAGCTTGTCGTTACATCCAAGACAATCTCACAATCCCCGTTGAAGAACTAACCCGTCAATGCGTAATCAACGTTGCAAAAACCGCAATGAGCTCTAAAATAATCGGCGCCGATGCTGACTTATTCGCGACAATGGTTGTAGATGCAGCAAACGCAATAAAAGTCGTGGATTCATCGAAAAATACGATTTACCCCATCAAAGCTGTGAACATTCTCAAAGCGCATGGACGTAGCGCCAGGGAGAGTATCCTAGTTCAAGGTTACGCTTTAAACTGCACAGTTGCGAGTCAAGCAATGCCGAAAAAAATCGTCCATGCAAAAATCGCATGTTTGGACTTTTCACTACAGAAGGCTAAGATGAAGATGGGGGTCCAAGTTTTGATCAACGATCCAGATAAGTTGGAGGGAATACGTGCTCGAGAATTGGATATTACCAAAGAACGGATTCAGAAGATTTTAGCAACGGGAGTGAACGTTATTCTTGTTAGTGGAGGAATTGATGATCTGTGTTTGAAGTATTTTGTGGAAAATGGGGCGATGGGAGTTAGGAGAGTCAAGAAGGCGGATTTGAAACGCATTGCGAAGGCCACGGGGGCGACTTTTCTGACCTCTTTGACTAACATGGACGGTAGGATTGAACCAATCAGGAATTTTAAATTTATTTTTGTTTGTTTTTCTAGGGGAGGAGACTTTTGATTCAAGTATGGTAGGGGAGGCGGCCGAAGTTGTCCAAGAACGCATCTCCGATGATGAACTTATTTTGATCAAGGGGTATGAAGAAAAAAAACATTGAATTTTTGTCACTCTTATTATTTTTGCAGCCCTAAAGCCAGGACTGCAGCTTCAATAATCCTCCGTGGGCCTAATGACTTCTACTGCGATGAAATGGAACGTTCAGTTCATGACGCTCTCTGTGCTGTTAAAAGAGTAATGGAATCAAAGAGTGTAGTCGCTGGTGGAGGGTCAGTAGAAGCGGCGCTTTCGATTTATTTGGAAAATTTCGCCACGACTTTGAGTTCTCGCGAACAATTGGCTATTGCAGAGTTTGCTAAAAGTCTTCTTGTGATTCCGAAAACCCTCGCGGTGAATGCGGCCCAAGATGCAACCGATTTAGTCGCCAAATTGCGAGCGTATCAAAACACGAGTCAAACCAAGGCCGACTTGGCTAATTTAAAATGGGTGGGATTGGATCTGATTGAAGGGACTGTCAAGGATAATAAGAAAGCCGGAGTTCTGGAACCGACCATTTCGAAAATCAAGTCGTTGAAGTTTGCGACTGAAGCCGCGATTACGATTTTGCGAATTGATGACATGATCAAGTTGGACCCCGAACAGAAGGGGGATAAGAGTTATAAGCACGCGATGGAGAGTGGGGAGTTGTATGACTAGAGTTTGAGTATTAATTTTGTATTTTACGTCATTAACACATTACTACTTAAAAAAAAAAACTCGAAATAAAAATTTCACCTACTATATTTTTATTGTGGTTAAAACCCTGAACTAATTGAGTAAAAATTCAGAGACAATTTTGTTAAATTCGGGGGCATATCTTAAATGAATATTATGTTTGCCATCTGGAAACCGGTATAGTCTGAAAATCGGCCAATCAGGTGCAAGTTTAAAGTCACGTGGTACAGACCTGGCTCCCGCGATGTGTGATTCTAAATAGCTTGGGTGCTCGGACGCAACCATTGGGTCTTTATCTCCGTGTAAAATCAAAGTGGGGCATTTTATTTGACCGAGGATTTCTTTACAAATATTTCCTTGATTTTTTACATACATTTCTGTCACAGCGTCACACCAGTCGTTCCACATTTTCTGTAAACCTGCCTCTGTGTATAATTTTACAAGTGGAGCTTTCATTTTATCCGACCATTTGCTAACATCACGAATTTCTTTAATAAAACTTTTTACAACCAATCAAACGAACTGAAAAATTTATTACTTTCGTAAGACTCTATCTCCTCTGGTATTACATAAGAGTTTGCACCCCATATCACAAGCTTTTCCACCGATTCGGGGTACTTCGCCGCCAGAATCATACTAGAAATCCCCCCGTCGCTCCACCCCAACAGCGAAAATTTCTTAACGCCCAAGTGCTACAACTTTGTCATTAACACCCTCACGCTCCCCTCTAACTTACTTGCATAAAATCATGAGCCGTATCAGCATCATTTTCGTAGAATTTTTGACAAAAATTTCGCTCAGGGGGGCGACTAAACCCATACCCAGGAGGGTCCCACGCAATCACTGTGAATTTCTCATTAGCAAGGTCATTTATTTGCGGTTTAAAATCGCTCCAAATTGTCCCTAAAGCCCCAGGAAAACACAAAATATTCCGATTCCCCTGTCCAGTTTTTACGTAATTTGTAGTCTGACCCTTGACTTTGGTCACTTGTGCCTGCAATAGTCCAAAAAAATAAATATCATCACGTAAAACAACAATACCTGAACTGTTGTGCTATAGGTTTTTGAAAAATTGAGCACAGTTTTTAATAAAGGTTTCTTTTTTATCGTTTTCAGTAGCATTTTGCTAAGTAATTGTGTTATCAGGTGGAATAAATAAGCATGTTTTGTAACCTTAAAATGTGATGCAACCATTAATACTGCGTTAGCAAAGTCAAATGGTTTCTTGATATGAAAATATTTGTGATAAAAGTATTGACACACTTTTTGAGAAAATAAGAATTAATGCCAGTTCAGACACCTTTGGGTATAGAAATCGAGTTTATAGTTTGAAAAGAGGTAATCACAATAATAATAATATAAAAAATAAAAATCTGTAATTCCCCTGAACAATAGTAGTCTTTTTTGACTTTTGTTTTTTTCCATGGTTTCCACACTTCCCAACTAAAAATCACCAACTACTAAATAATGTAACCACAATCACCAAACTTCAAAAATAAATTTAAGATTTATTAATCAGTAAATATAATTTGAAATATGCGTTTGAGGCGTTTTCAATTATCGATAACGATTAATTTTCTTTTTACAAATCACAGAATTGAATTCCACTTTTTACTCGACATTTGTGTATGGTTGGTCCTCGATGATAAGTCTTGATAACAATTTATTGGTCCATTTGGACTAAATTAAAATGAATTATTATGACTCATGGGTCAACAAATCTGCGGGCGCTTATTAATTTTGACTCAATTAGAGATTTATAAGCAGCTTCAATGTGTTTTGATTGAATTTTCGTAGTGAGCCTCTACTTCAAAGTTAATTTTTTTTTTGAATTTTGTTGAGTTATTGTTCGTCTCTGGCAGTTATAACCGGTGGTAACTGCAAATATTCACCTGGTAACCCTTTTGGCATAGGGATTTTGTTTTTTATTGATTGCAAGCGTATAATCTGACAAGTGACGTTTAAAATCCATGAGGTTATAAGCGAACTGTTTATTATTTTCAGTAGTGTTGCGAATAACATGGCGAGAGTGCCATGTCTTGTAACAGCAAATATTCTTCTTGTTTTAAGTGTATATTTAAGCACAAGCTTTGTCAATAGTGAAGACCAGTTCGCTCCTTATTTCGAGACGTTATTACAATCAAAAAATATCACGAAAAATGAAAACTTTACAAAAGTGCAGTTTGAAGTGCGCGGTAGGAATATTTACTCCGATTTGCAAATTAAAACAACGAAAGAGAAAGCCGCGAAGGGTGCCCTATGTACCGAAGACCTGAAATTCCCTATCGTGGATATTGTCACGCGAAAAGAATCGGCCCTTTATGAAATTCAAGTGCCGAGAGGTATCGGTGGTGACTTTTACTTGTGTTTGCCGCATAAAAATCCCGATTATAGGGAAAATGCGAACAAAATGCCGCCGAATGTGCTACACGGGGGCCCGTATAACTGGTACCACCAAGGACCAGAGGTTGTCATCAGGGTGCCCCTTGACAATATTGAGTAAGTGGACATTTCTCGTTGCAACCGCGGTTTCCGGTGAATTGGAACGGTTTTTTTGAGTTGAGGAATGCGTCCCTTTCTGGTTTTAGCCGGATCATCCACTGCACCTTTGCGGTAAAACACGCGAATTGTATGAGGAAGCTATTTATAAAGAAAGCATCGCTCTTAGTGATTAGTACATCCCAAACAAGATTATCACGATTTATTCGTGCAATTAGCGCAATTAAAAGCATTACGTAAAAGTTATTAATAATTACTCCTAATTTATATTCAGGACGGGAGACGTCCTTTGTTTATTTTTGCGAAATATCCTGTATGAATGAATCATCATATCCTCTTATTAGAAATGTTGCGAATTAGAGAGAAATTATCTCAAAACTTAGATTCTGATGGGAGTTGAATTGAATTTCATATTCTCGTTGTTTGTTTACAGAGTATGATGAAAGTTTCAAGGCCGAAGTAAAAAATTAAACATTGTAGTCTTGTCAAGAGGATTTGGAATGATTCACTTCTTATTTCGGATCACGAGAAAATGTTACATTTTTTTTCCTTTGACGAACGAAAATCGCTCTACCAGTTAGGGGATAGGAATTTTTTTTACTTACATCGAATTGAGATAGGTATAACGTTTTTTATCAAATTTCATTAATTATTCAAGATAAAATGGAGCAGAAACCATCTCGTGGGTGTAAAAAAATTACTATTTTTATGTTAAAAAAAGTCGCCGTTTCAAACAAATCCAAATTTTTAGATATTTGGGAAAGGTCACATGTTTTTTCAAACAGAAAAAGTACTATTGTTTGTGAAGATATTCATCAACTTGAACTGTTTGTATATAAGCATTTTGGTAAATTTTATTAGATATTTCCGATTAAGAAAAATTTAAACATAGAGCTCGGGAACTTGGGAAAGGAACACGATAGGCGGAGCTAATACGTACTCGGTGCAGTGGGGGAATTTGAGCAGTGGCGTAACACTGCGGTAAACAATGGATTTTAGAGTTACATTTTTTTTATTAATTCTTCATTCATTGATTGTGATATTAAATATTGATTGTGATATTAAGTTCGGAAAATCTTCGTGATGAGCTTGGAACGCGAATTTAATCTATTAAAAAAAGTACTGATTAAAAAACAATTTTATTTAATTAGAAGTCATGGTGGGTTGACATTAAAAAAAAAAAATCCAACACTTGAAAACCAAAAGAAATTTCGAAAAACGTTATTTTTGATAAATGGTCACATTTTAATTGTACTTTACGCTACACTAATTATGTTTTCGTAAAGTTGTTAGTTTACGAAAAAAACCGCTTGGCTCCATACTTTTTATTCACCCGGTATGTATATTAAAAATTTCATAGGATGCTATTAGACATTTATTTTATAAAAAGATGAACAAAAAGTAACGAATAAAATCGTTTATTAAAAGTATAAAAATGTTTTTTACGTTTTTAATGAAATTCTTAAATTTAACTTTTATAACATTATAACTTTATTAAACATTTTTTAACGATTTTTTTCCCTACCTAGTCGATAAGTAAAAAGATGAGTTTTCCACCTATTTCAAATTCTTAACAACGCACCAATAACTCTTGTAATAAGAATTATATTAAAGAATATTTCTTTATTATCTTGAATTTTTTTCTTTGTAGCAGAGTAATACTGTAATAAAAAAATGTACATACAGGTTGATTTTTAAATAGACCGACAAAATTTTATCACAGCTTCTCAAGAATAAATGAAGACAAACTGTACCTTTTTTACGCTTATATCTTTTAGGGGCAAAACCCTCTTGATCCGTGCCACTTACGGCGTTTATGAATTGTTGCCATAATCAAGTACATTTTTAACAAGTTAATACCATGATTTCTACTACACAGTATTCACGCTGGTGTTGCCGCTAAGCCATAAACCGTACCCCTTGTAAATCTTCATGATCACCTTCAAACCGAACGCTCGTGCCTGTTTCTTTTGTTGTGAAAATCGAGGGTTTTCGGTACCTACTCAATATGTTTATCCTTGTTTTTCCATGTCACTGTATGTTGTCGGAGTAAGAGGAAGATAGTGACGTAAAACTTTCAAATGAGAAACAGAATTCCGGATCAGTGGAAACAAAAATGTAAAGACTCAAATTTTAAAATTTATTTAAAAATATTTAACAAATATTCGTTTTGTAAAATGAAATAATAAAAATACGATACATGGACCTAATATCCTACGACGGCTAATAATAATTATGTATGAGAATATTTTTCGCATGAAGAAGTGTCGTCACCCAACCCAAATCGAGGGCGAAATGTTTTGGGTGCACTGGTACCTGTCACCCTCGGCTTCGTTATATTGCTTAGCGGCAACACTTACGTGAATACAGTATACCTGTGCTAATACTATTTACGAACACATCAGTGGCGTACGCTTTATCTTGAAGATAACTTTAATAGATTTTATTTGGAGTACGTTTAAACAAAGAATTTTTTAAATATAAAAAATTTGTAGTTTGAAAATGGACTTTCATTTTAAATCAATTAAGCCAATTTTAACAATTTTTTATACTTCCCCAAATAAGAGTAAGGGTAGTATAGGACACGGGGATTTGGGACAGTTTGATGGCATGTGCCATCCAACGTTTTAATCTTTTCAGTTCTTTGCCTAAAAAGTAATCGACAATGACCAGGGGCTGCTGAAGAAGTTGTAAAGTATGCAACTAGTAAAATAATAAAATTTGCAGTTTACACTTTGTCGGGTTACTGCATAAAAGAGTTAAGTCCAAATGCGTTGTTTGCAATAATCCCTCATTAAATCTGCAGTTCTGCAGTTGTATTACTTAGTCACATAATATGTTATAGTACAACCTTTTATTCTATGATTCTTATTCTATGTATAATACTTTTATTAGAAAGTGGCCTTGTTTATGTACTTTTTACAAATCAGTGTGAAAATGAAAATGAAGTTTCGTGGTCCTTTTACGATTTCCTGAGCTCTACTATAAATTATACAGGTCAACAAGGGTTCGGTAACATTGATGTCAATTTGGTCAATAGTAGTTTTTTACTTTCTGAATAACAAAATGCATTTAGTTTTTTGATAACACGTACCGGTTATTTGTTGCATTTTTTACCAATAATTTAATTAATACATTTCCTGCACTCCCACTCGAATTTTTTTCTATGTTGAGATTTCACTCTTTTATTGTAATATATGACTTTTTTAATGTTTCTAAGGTTAGTTTATTAAAATATTGTATGCGCAAAATAAAATAAATTAAATAGTTGAATTATTTTCAGTACTCTTTTGCTTTAACATGGGTGTCAGAACGAAGGTGGTAACATACGAATGATACGTGATGAGACATTTTTGTGAAAATTTTCGAAATCAGAGTGAAAAATCATAAACGTGGAAAGTAGTTTAATCAGTGTAACCGAAAATTTGTTCAAATTTGTTGACCAGTGTTATTTATTTTTCGACACTTACAACATTTACGGTTTTCTCCTGTGTAAGGAAGTTTTGACATTTTTCAATACGAAGCGTAAGAGTATTTTAATAGATTTAAAGCAATTTTAAGCTTTGATGATTCTAATTCGAAGAAGAAAATGTTGTATTCAACTCGTCTTCGTGTAAATCGGTTAACTCGTGAAATAAAAGGTCCAATTTACACTCACACTCGTCGAATAAATAACTATAATTTTACAAACAAACAAACAAGTTTGTATGTGTTTTATAAAATCAGTAATCTAGGAACCAAACTGACAAATTCGAATGTACACGTATTTCCGTGCATCGAATTTTTGAAATAACTATTCTGAAATTTGGTATAAATAAATTAATTGAAGTATCATGTACTTGTATGTAGATGTATTTATGATTTAATGCTCTTTGTAATTAACAATAATTGATTTTGTTTTTTCTTCTTTTTTTATCGCTTTTGTCAGTGAACTTAATTGTGCTAATTTTGCGATTTTATATTTTTGGTATTAAAAGTGGAATTAATAAATTATCTTCAAAAAATACCAATTAAAAGACAAACGACGAGAATGCGGTCATTGGGTCATTAAAAAATGATATCTATTGATAATGGATTTATTTATTTATACCAGATGAAGCAAAAGACATAATTCATTAAAATCGAAATGATAAAGTTGTGTGTGATTTAAAAAATCTTTGATAAAGGGAGATTGAAAAAATATTTTTTTTAACGCTTTGTTAGATGCGCTTTCTTGAAATTTATTCTTTATAACAATTTTTGTCAAAAAACTTGATTTTGAATCAAAGAAAGTAGGAAACGGTGATGCAAGTTAAAAAATATCAATTCAACTTGTGACGTTTTATTTACAACAAAACATCTTCTTATGCAGAAAAACAATCCAATAAACAAAATTCTTCAAGATTCAGTTTCACTTTCAAACGCACATTTTATGAAAATTTGATAATTCAGAGTGGGACTTAGCACTTTTTCCAGCATTCACCGCGACCGCCGCCAGAAGCAGGATGGCCCCCAGAAGCAGGATGGCCTCCAGGTCATGGGACTACGTCTGGAAGTCCACGAAAAAGAAGCCGAGTACGACGAGGACGGCGTTCCTGAAGTCCTCGCCGACACCGAGCACGTGATTCGTATTTTCGGTGCCAATTTCGTCAAAACCATGTTCATAACATTCACCGATCGCAAAACAACCTCTGATCGGTCGTGTCAATTCCCGAAAAGTCCACGGGAATTTCCGGTAGTAGAAACATTCAACTATGCGACTCGTGCTTAATGTTGTATGTTTGCAGGTGATTAAAGGTTCTTTTTCGTCCGTCACGAGTAGATTCAAGATCAAACTGCCACCGATGGGCGACGCTGAAACTTTATACATTTGTGCCAAAGAATCAAACGACACGTTTTTTGTGCATCAAGGGAATGATGTGTGGTTGCAAATCAGGACTTACGAGCCGATGCTCCCTCTGTGGGTGTCGATTCTCATAATTGTGGTGTGTTTAATGTTTTCGGCGCTTTTCTCCGGCTTGAATCTCGGTCTAATGTCTCTGGATCGGACCGAATTGAAAATTTTGTGCAATACTGGGACGCCGAAAGAGAGGAAATTCGCGAAAGTTATACAGCCGGTGCGCGATCACGGCAATTATCTACTGTGTAGTATTCTATTGGGTAACGTTTTTGTTAATTCGATTTTCACGATTCTTTTGGACGGTTTGACTTCGGGTCTTGTGGCCGTTATTTTCTCCACGATTGCGATCGTACTTATTGGTGAGATTACGCCTCAGGCGATCTGTTCGAGACATGGATTAGCGATCGGTGCGAGGACTATTTACATCACCAAGTTTGTTATGGTACTGACTTTTCCCATGGCCTATCCCGTGTCGAAGATTTTGGATTGCATTCTAGGGGAGGAAATCGGCAATGTCTACAATAGGGAGAGACTGAAGGAACTTGTTAAGGTAATTGGGTTTATTACAGGATTTTGAGAAAAAATCCGAAAAAGTTGGCATGGAAAGAGGTGAGTAAAATTATTCAACTCTTTTTGACGACAGCACATTACTTGCATTTTTTAAATTATTATTTTTATAATTATTTAATAATACGTTTAGTTACATTTCTAATTAGCATAGGCTGTGTATTGGAAATTAGGTGACAACAATGAATAAAGTAGAGGAAGAAGATATGAAAATTGACGAGTCTCATTTCTCCAGTCTTTATGCTATTCAATATTGCCAACTTATTTGAAAGTCGCAGAGTACTATGATTTGAAATTGAATTATCTTTGACAACAACCGTCAAATAAACCGGAATATAGGTTCAAATTGGTTCATTGATACATACAGGGTGTTTCAGAACTCGCGCTCCATAGAAAATTTCCAACTCAAATAAGATGGCAAAAATGTTTAAAAAATTCTACCTGTCAAAAAATTTGACATTTGACATTTTTTATGTATATTTAGTGTTGCTGATGATCTTGTATATGTTTTTTCATAATTATTTAGTAAAAGCACAACATTTCCAATTGGATTTTTTTTAATATTTGTACTTATTTAGTATATCATGATTTTAAATAAAAAATATATTATACAGCTTTAAAAAGTTTTTAGAGTAAATATAACCTGTCACCAAAATAAATATCTGCTCTCAAAAGAAATCTTGTGATTACGAAATTCAATTCGAAAAATATTTCTTTTGTTTTAGATTAACATTTTCAAACATGTATTCATTTTTTATATCAGTTTGTAAACTAAACGAAAAATTATATACGAAATAATTACTATATTACAAAAAAATATATTTGCCACCAAAAAATTATCTTGCCACTAATGCGGCAGCAACAATTTGACTGGTTATCAAGAATTTGAAACAAGTTTTCGTTTTTAAAACATTTTGTGCTCTGATTTTTGAATGGATTACCAAAGTAGTCTATGTATTTTCTTCCAGCATGTTGCCAGACGGTGAAATGTCCTAGATGCTATTTTTATTCAAAAGGAGGGGAAGAAATAACTAGTTAAAACGTGCTCACACTTGAACCAACCATTTCTTAAGAATATTTCTATATTTACCTACTTGTTTGTGCCATTTTTTAATAAGATTACTTATCTTTGTCATTGAAGGAAGGAATAATATTTTTCACATTGCTTTATATCACCGGACAAGTTTTTTTTTTTTCAAGTTTGTTATTAGATGTCAATTTCAATTAGGCGACAGGATACAAGTCGTAACTTAATTTCCGTTGAACCTGAAACTTTAACTCAGTGTAATTACAAAATGGCAGACTTTGTTAATGTGCAATAAAAAAAAAACAGTTTAGGTGTTGAAAAATTTGGTACATTGCGGCTCATAAATTATTTTTGGAAAACGTCCAAATTTTATTATGGGATAGCTTCTTCCGTTATGAAATTTTATAACGTTTATATTTATCATAAAAGCCTTGAATGAGATAAGTACATAATTTTTGTTGCTATTTGATTATTTAATCATGGGTTTTGTGTTTATATCTGGTTAAAATAGCTTAGTTTTTAGGGAATCAATACTTAGAAGGCGTGATAATACCTTTAGGGGAATCGATCGAATTTGCGAAGGTGAAAATTTACACAAGTGGAAATTTTTCTCGGATGAAAACTCATTTTAGTCGGAATTAATAGATGATTGGATTGTTGCCAGGAATGAAATATCGTTATTCTAGGCGCCTATTCCTTAAATTATAGTATTTATACATCATTTATTACGTGCATTTAGGGGCTACAATTTCGAGAATTTTTTTATTTTCGAACTAGAAATTTTTATCAGAATCTATTACATACTTAAATGAAGAAATTAAAGTTATTCATCGCTATTAATAAATTCCTCTTATGTAATCATTGTGTTTTTTATGGATTTATGGTGCTTAAAGAGTGAATAAATCAAGCGTTGCTATAGGTAAAATTTGTAAATAAGAAAATTTATTATTTTATCTGAAATTATCGGTGTGTGACAACACACCAGTCTGTCTGTAAATCAAACAATTTGGAATTCTAGCAAAAATATGATATTTTCGCAACTTTTTGTGGAGGTGTCATACAAACTAAAAATAAATATTATTAGGTGATAAGGAGGATTATGAATTGTCTTTGTGTCTTTTTTGTATTACTTTGGATTAAATATTACATAAAATATTACAAAATTTATAAAAAAGTTCGTGTTTTGGTTTGTTTTCTCTAGTTTATGCCGGCTTTGGCTAAAGTTAAACTTTTTTCAATGAGCACATTTTTATCTTTTAATTACTTTATTCATTTACGCACACAAACTGATAAATCTGACAAATTGTAATATAATTATTTTATCTCTATCAATGATTCCTTGATTAAGATCTTTGAAACACTTCAATTTAAAGAGGGCATGTAATATTACGAAAATTAATGAAAATTTTTGCTAGGAACACAACTTTTGTCGATTTATTCATAAAAATTAAAAATTATGACTAAAACCAGGATTTTAATTAATTACTTACATAGCAACCAAATGTGAAATTGCATTATTTATAAAAAATCATTAAATATTTATTGAGGGGTGATGAAATTGTCATGTGCTGAAATACTTTTTCCGTATTTCAGTTCAGTGTAAAGTATCGATCTTGAGTTCGCGTGCACAAGAATGCACAAAAAAGAAATAAATTTGAATTACATGTTAATTGTGTTATTTTTTCCTTGATAAGTCATATCTATTAAAAGTCTCTTGCTTTGAACGGATTACGCTTTCCCTAGATTAAATTAAAGCAGGAACTTGAAAATTGAGACAAGACGAGTGTCAATAAATGCTTGAATTTTTCAGGTCACAACCGGCGAAAACGACTTGGACAAAGACGAAGTCAACATTATTAGCGGTGCTCTCGAGCTCCGCAAGAAAACCGTCGCCGACGTAATGACCAAAATTGAAGACGTGTTCATGTTGGACTATGACAACACGGTTTTAGATTTTGAGACAGTATCGGAAATCATGAAATCAGGTTTAGCCCCCTTCTTAAACATACAAAAAACGACTAAATTGCAACTCTAGGTTACTCTCGAGTTCCCGTGTTCGAAGGCAATCGTCAAAACATCGTCACGATGCTTTACATAAAAGATTTGGCTTTCGTCGATCCCGACGATAACACTCCTTTAAAAACTCTGTGTCAATTCTATCAAAATCCGTGCAATTTCGTCTTCGAAGACGTCACACTTGATGTGATGTTTCGGATATTTAAAGAGGGCAATAAGGGACACATGGCGTTTGTTCATAGAGTCAATAACGAGGGTGAAGGTGATCCGTTTTATGAGACAATCGGGTTGATAACTCTCGAGGATGTCATCGAGGAGTTAATCCAAGCTGAAATCATGGACGAGACTGATGTTTTCAGTAAGTAGCAGATTTGGTGGCTCAATTTTGCATTAATAGTGTGTGATTAGCCGACAATCGGACGAAACGGAGGCGAAACGCGGAAAGGAGACAAGATTTTAGCGTTTTTGCCGAACGCAAGGGTGAACCCAATAAAATACGAATTAGTCCACAGTTGACTCTAGCGGCATACCAGTTTTTGAGCACTTGTGAGTAACAATTCACTTAAGGAGAAAATAATAAATTGTTTAATTCAGCTGTCGAACTCTTCCTTCCCACTGTAATCTCCGAGACGATTTTGAAACGTTTGTTACGTCAAGACATCATTTATCACATTAAAAAGAGCAAGGAATGGCGCACAGATCCGGCGAATGTCATTTACCACCAAGGGAAGAATGCGGACTATTTCGTACTGATTCTTGAAGGTCGAGTCGAGGTAACGATCGGTAAAGAGAATTTGACGTTTGAGGGTGGCCCCTTCACATTTTTCGGTACTCAAGCCCTCGTCCAAACGATCGGAGTCGGTAACAAACTCTTTGTAGTGTTTTACTAAATTTTACGAATGTTTTTTCAGCCGAAAGTCCATCAGCGCCGACTTCGACTTTGGGTAGTTTAGAGTCGTTGAATTTGGACGCTTTATTGCGTCACACTTTCCAACCAGACTACACAGTCCGAGCCACAAACGAAGTGATTTATCTCCGTATAAAACGCAGTTTGTATTTGGCAGCCAAAAGGGCAACTTTGATGGAGCGATCTCAGCGCGATCTGCAACAGAGCAACGATCAGTTTGACGAGGAAGTTGACAAGGTTTGAGAGTTGGTTAGGTTTGAGGTTTGGCTAATGGGGAGTTGTAGCTTCTGCACTCGTTGGAGGAGGATGATACGGAGAGTGCCGGTCGGAGGACTCCGCGGAAGCAGTCGTCGAGGAATTTGCATCACAATCAGCAGGAGGCGAATTTGAGTCCGAAAACGCCGTCAATTTATTCCAACGTCAGTCCGCCGCATAGATTGAGTCATGATATCAACGGGTCGATAATAGCGAGTCCTGTAGATGACTGTCATAATGCGAGAGAAGAGGAGGTTTCGCTTTTGTCGAAAAAATCATAACATAGACACATTGACTCTGGTCGGGAGTCACAATTGTACTTAATTTATTTGTTAAAAATTAGTCTAGGGTAAAAAATAATTCCGTACCTTTGTAACATCATCGTAGGTGCATATTTATTGAAATTTTATTGTTAGAAATTGTTGAAATTATTCAAGTTGATACGTAAATAGTGACAATTGCGTGGAAGCTTTTATTAAAATGGATTTATTTTTAGTTTGACAAAAACTAGCCTGATTCTTTATGTAGGATAATTATGTAACTGGATAGGCGGGACGCCGAAATTGCCTATTATTTTTATATTACATATTTATTATAATTGTCACAATTTTTACTGTGAAATCGCTGTTTTTTATTTTATTTTTGTTGATCTTTATTTTAGAATTTATCTTTATACGAAAAGTGTACAATTCTAACATCAATACCTCCCTCTACTATAGAAGTAGTACTTAGCGCCAAAATAAACCTTCCTTAAGCCGAATAATTTAAGTTTTTGTCATTTTATTTTGAAATTTGTTTACAATTTAAAGTTTCAAGTTTTCTGTCTCTTGTTTTTTATTTTGTCTTGTTTTGTTACTTCAATAAACAATTAATAATAACGAACAGGTGTTTTATTTATCGCTTTAAAGTTTTTCAAATTGGGATGTAATTATTGTAGTCGGTAAAGCAGAGCTCTATAAATTACACAATTATAAAGTTCTATTAATTAAACAAATAATTTTCTTGATGTACAGTAAGTGTACGCTTATATTTAATGCTAAAAATTTAGGATATTGCAAAAAATAACGATAAAATTGGATGGGTCGATAAGTCGGTTTCCTGTAAATCCTGTAAACATATGACAGATTCGAGAAAATGACAAACGTGTGTTATCTGCCAAGTACAGAAAAAACAACAAATAAAATTTTCTGTGTTTTGAGTTAAATCCACGTTAAATGATTTTTTATTTGTTATGTAAGAGGTACGTTTTTAACTCAGTGTGATACTGTGACACAATTCATTGATGTTTTTGAGCAGACAATGCAATTTCTTCACCATCTGATTTCGACGATTGATACAATCTAATTGGGGCTCCTCACAATGGAGAATTTATCAAATATTGAACTAGAATGGATCGACCAGACCAACAACAGCTGGTCCTTAAAAGACTGTGATAGTATAGCCAATAGAGACCTCGTGCAATCAATGTATGACTTTTTGATACAGAACAAGGAAATCCGACTAATTCCCACAACTTTATCATTATTCAACGACGTGCAGATTTTTCCTAGCTTTCAGTACGACGGTGCATCGAATTTGGAATTAAATCATTACATTACCACTTTACTAAAATCCCAAATTGACTTGGCGCGAAACGTGTGCTCTTCAAGCCAATTTGCGATTATTTTGAAGCAAAGACTGTTGATTTTAAGACGGATTTATCACGCGCTGATTGTCAAATATCACGACAAGGCCAAAACTGACCAAACCACGAGCGAAAATAGCCCAAATGTCTTGACCAAGGAAAGTTTATCGGGTTCTCAAGCTTTATTGGAAATCGGGGTCAAGACCGGCTTAAGCCTTTTATTCTCACTGTTGAGACAAAACTGGCAAGTCAGTGATATACTCAAAGTCCCGTCACTTTGCAACTCAGTCTTGGAAACCTCCTTTGACCTTTTGCAAAAACTGCCACCTTTGTGTCTCTCCAACGATATTCAACTCACAAACCTCGGAATTACGAGTCTGGAACAAGTGTCCGATTTTCTTAAAGACGCTGTTTTGAATTCACCGAACGCCGATTCTCATGCGAAACTGCTCTCGTGTAAACTCCTCCTAGCCCTGGCTTTGCAAAGGGGCTCTTTGAGGTACTTGCTAGACTGGATTGAGATGGTCTTAGATGCCTCGTGTAAAACAGAGGGGATTCTATGTGATGTCTTCTTTAAAAGTGCAATAATGCAGCTTGAAAGTGGGAAATACAAGATCAAATCTGATCTGTGGAAAGGCCAGACTAGTGATGTCTCGGTTTACGAAGCTGCGATTAATTTGATGGAGATTTTGTCCGGAATGGCGATGGATTTTGGTGGTGTTTGTTCCGCTGTTGAAACGACTTCAGAGAGTGAAGTTGGAGTGTATGAGAAGAGTGATGTTTACGTATGGGGGAGCAATTCCTCTCACCAGTTGGCTGAAGGCAACCAGGAGAAGATTCTAATGCCGGTCAAGTCGAAAATGTTCACTCAGGTGCAACTGGTGGAGGCCGGTCAGTACTGCACCTTCGCCATTCATTGGGACGGCTCGGTGAGCGCCTGCGGGAAGGGCAGCTACGGCCGTCTCGGCCTCGGGGAGTCCTCCAACCAAAGTCTCCCCAAACGCATTCTCCTCGATTGCGTCGTGAAAAAACTCTCGAGTTCGAAGGGCAGCGACGGTCATACTCTCGCCCTCGCCGACTCCGGTGTCGTTTACAGCTGGGGCGACGGCGACTACGGCAAACTGGGGCATGGCAATTGCGCCACGCATAAGCAACCCGAACGCATAACGGGCCCCTTCCTCGGTAAAACCATCAAGTATATCCACGCCGGGTACCGTCACAGCGCCGCCGTCACCGACGATGGGAAGCTCTACACGTGGGGCGAGGGTGACCTCGGGAGACTCGGTCACGGGGACAGCAACGCACGATATATCCCCACGCAAGTGGCAGGGTTGGCGGAGGTCGGGTCGGTGGCTTGTGGCAGTTCGCATACGTTGGTTGTGTCGAAGGATGGGAAAACGGTTTGGTCGTTCGGGTCGGGGGAACATGGGAAGTTGGGAACAGGGGATTTGGGGAAGGTGTATAGGCCGCAAGTGGTCGAAGCGTTGCAGAGTCTCACGATACAGAAGGTGTGTGCAGGGACGTCGTTTTCGATGGCGTTGACGACGTCAGGAGAGGTGTATACGTGGGGTAGTGGGGCGATTTTGGGAAAAGGATCGGCTGATGCTATTGTTAATTTGCCGATGTATGTGGAGGATTTGGCACAGTATAGGATTGTTGATATTTCGGCCGGGGATAATCACTGTTTAGCTTTGACGGATGAACATGAGGTTTTTGCATGGGGGACGAATAGTATGGGGCAGTGTGGGCAGGGACATACATGTAGTCCGATTACGAGGCCTTTGAAGGTTATAGGACTCGAGGGAGTTTCCATAAGGCAGATAAGTGCAGGTGAGACTTTTTACTAATTGTGTTAAGGAATCAGTCTCTAAATAAGTCACAAACGCTTTAACACACAAATGCTTTTGTTAATAGAATTTTTATTTTTTTTTATTTATAAACAATTAGGGACAAGTGCATGAACGGCCCTGCTTTATTTTTACGTGGAGTTAGAAAAAGGAATAGTTTCTAAGAACAAGAAAATTTGGATGGGATGAAGATTGTCAACTAATGAATTTAAAAAAAGATATCGAAACGTCATTTAATTAAGTACTAATTAAAAAAAAAAAGATATCTAAAACATCATTTACCATGCTATTGGTCAACATAACAATTGTGCTGGTTATTTCTGCAAAAACTGAAAATTTATTAACTTCAAAGCAAGGCTAAAAGTTGAACAAATAATAATGCCGAGAATTTTAATTCATTATAGGTTAACTTTAGTAGAAAAAGAGTAAATTATTCTCAACAGCTCGTAGCCTATGGGGGGCCAAGTAGGGCTTAACAACTTTTTTTAGAAATAATAACGCATAAAATTAAAAAAAAAATTAAAAAATTACAGACTGAACCAAAAGTAACGCAAAAAAATTCGTATCTTCGTTATGAGTCATTTTTCATAAAAATTCTTGAACAGATCGATTTTATTTTTTTAATATACATTTTGACACTACAGTGATAACCTACATTTTTTATTACTGTTTTAGATAGTACATATCGTTATCTTTCTGGTAAAGAAATTCAAAAAAATAAAGCAAAAACAGAAGAATACAAAATAAAAAAAAATTTAAAGTTATTGAAAGTTCTATACAAAGAGCTTTATTTTTTTATTCTTTCTTTATTTTATAAGGGTTGATTATTTTTTTGTTTTTTTTGTGTTTAGGTTTCATATTATGTGTTTCCATGCTAATTATTTCAAAAAATATACAAAAAACAATATCCCCTTATAAAATAAGGCAAGAACAAAAAGATAAAGCCTTTTGTGTTTAATTGTCGATATATTTCTTTTTTTTTTCTTGATTTTGAAGTTTTAATTTAATTTTTAAAACTTTTTTTCTTACTACAAGAAAGATCAAGATGTGTGCTATTTAAAACAGTGAACAAAAATGTCAGTTGTCATTTAAAAAAATTAAAAACAACGTCACAACTCATAAATTTTATTATAATGTCAAAATATAGCATTTAAGAAAATAAAATTGACCTGTTTGAAGATTTAAAAAAAAAATTGAACTGTTCTACTTCTACTAAAAATTTTGGTCGTCCTACCTAAAAATTGTTTCTAACTACGGGCTTGCAGGGGGTTATCAAATGAGGCGTTTTGTCGCTGCACTATTTTTTTTAATAGTAAAGGAAATTATTTAGAGAAAATTACTGGAAAATTAGATAATGGTGGAATCGGAGCGTAATCGTGGTATTTATCAAAAAAAACCTATACAAAAATAAAAAGACACCTGCAAAGACGCAGATTATTATACAAACTGAATGTGATGATAGTCAATAAATAAATGAATAAATAAGTATTGCAAATTCTGAAAAAAAAAGTTTATTTTGTCATTACAGAAAAAACAGATAAATAAGTTATCTATTTAAATAAACAAACATTGGAAAAATGTAAATTGTAGTATATGGTACAAGAAAATTTAAAAAGATAAAAAAAAGATAGTATTATTGAAATGAAACGCATATTTAATTTAAAAGATTTAACTTCGGAGGAAGCAATTAAAAAAATATTCTAAAATTTGCAAAACTTGATTCCGACAGTAAATTACAAATAAAAGAATATGATAATTACTAAATTCAGGGAGAGTTAAATATTTTGGAAAAAAACATTGTTTATTTTTTATTATATGCGGACCACAAGGACTGTGTCAAAAAATAAATAAAAATGTGGAATTGTGGAATAAAAATAATAGTGCCGTTTTCAGCATTTTATTATAATCACTTGTTGCCTGAATTTCTAAACTCCGGGCTATAAAATATTTTTTTTTATTTGCCATATGAATATAGACAGTCGTACATAATAAATTGCATGACATGCAAATTAATGATAAAAATTTTGAATTTTGAGAAAAAAAACTTCATGATTTTTTTGGGTAGTATTAATAAATAATAAAAAAATGAAGTTGATGCTAAGACTAACAGTACAGTGCAGTAAATACTTGATGAGTAAAAAGACGCTACTTTTTTGAAGTAAATACTTTACTTTCAGGAACAAAAGAGTACAGATTTACTAATTTTTGTAAACTACTGTTCAGGTTAGTCAAAATCTAGTCTAATTAATAATTATTAATAGTTACAATTAATCATGCAATTTGTAATTCGAATACATCATATTTTGTTTTGAATTTTTGTTTTGCTTTGTTTATTACGAATGTAATTACGAAGTAAATATTTTTGCATTTGTTCTAATAATTTGAGAACGATATTGAATCGACCGCTAAAATTATTGTTATCCTCACTCCACAATTTGAAATTTACCGTTAGCGTTTAGAATCTAGCCCCTTACTTCAATTGAACACTTGATAAATAAATTATTTTTAGGCACTTCTCATTCGATCGCATGGACTTCAATGTCTACCGAAAACCACCACATGACCAAACACAAACCTTTCTGTCTCGACCTCCACGAAAAAACCTTTATTCTATTAAAAAAATTCCTAGAAAAGTACACCGTTTCGTTCATTTACGAAACACCACCACCCCCTTTCAAAACAGCAACAGAACATCATCGATTCGTTCTACTAACTTTAAAACTGTTATGCACACATTTGAGTCTTTGCATTAACGGAAATTTGGGCGACAACATACTCAACAATCATACGAAGCAACTACGGATAATTTTATTTAGGTTTGTGTTTTTTTTTTTAATGGATTTAAATTTATTCAATGCTTGTTTAGATTGGTTGATATTAAAACACCTCCTGAGATTTATTCTACTGTTATCGAATTGATAAATGTTGGAGCGTCTTTACTTTTACCCCAACTGCAAGAACGAGTCGAATTTGTACATGAACATTTATCAAAAGATGGGTTAACACAAGGACAGCAAATGTTGTTGAATATTGTGTTGTGTAGTTTGGAAGATCCGTCACATATTGCGGCTTTGTTGCGAATACAGGAACAACATTTGATTGAGACATTGATGTCGACTTTGCTCCAGTCATTTAGTAAATTAACGGTAACGAATTTATTACTATTTTATGTAAAAAATATGAATTGCAATCAATTGTAGGATGACACCCTCGATAGTGTACAAAAATACATGGAAACGCAACCAATTGATGAATGGAAAAACGCAGCAAGTCCGACTCAAACTCACTTACAAAAATTGTTAAGTTCGTTACAAAACCACTTACTAGCCCACGTCGTTGTCAAAAATAACCAAACATTTCACATTCTGAACAGTCATTTAAACCAATTGTTTCCGTTAATCATCCGAGTCTTGGAGAAATCCGCTTATATTCTAGAACAGTACCCTCCAAGCTTGGAGTTACTTTACAACGTTTTGCTCGATTCAGTTTCCGGTTCAATGTTTCTAAAATTGCTAAGTTCTCTATTGTTGATTCCCTCTGTTTTCATCAAAGAACTCTTACCCCAGCTATTGAACGTGTTGGTGTCACTAGACCGTTTTAATAAACTCCTCCCCGTGGAAATAACAAATGACGTGAGCACTGTTTCATCGCGTTCTGAAACCCCGACTTTGGCCCAACTCGCCGACCAATCGTGGCTCTGGATCATCGATTTGCAACGCACGTGTTCGTTGCTGATTGGTGAGTGTTTAGGTGGGGCGTATATTGGTGATCCACCCACAATTGAAGAAATTTCATGCTGGAATTGGCTCAATACTGATTTGTTTTCGGCCGGGATTGTCAACGATGATATTGATGTGCAAACGGTGGCTGAGATATCACAGACCGCATTGTTAAATCTCCAAGACGCTTTATTAATAAGTCTAGAAAATTTGAGTCCCACTGTTCAGAACTACTGCAAGATGGCGTTCAAACTACCAGAACAATACGACGAGGCTTGTGCTTTAAGCACCGAAAATGAATTTGCTCAACCGTTTTTCCAACAATTCGAGTTCTGGGATGAAGACGGTAAATTGGCTGATACGGTGGTTCAGTGTTTTCTTATCACTTTGTTGAAACAAACCGGATTGATAAGAGAGTCGACTAGTCATGTTGCGTTTCTCGAAATTTACAAATTTACCTTCAAGTTGAGGCAAAAATTGATCAGTTTGTTGTATTGTTGTTACGAGCATGAAAAGAGTGAAGAGCAAAGTCAGGATGAAGAACAGAGGTTTGCGATAATTATTTGTCGCAAAATCTTAGAAAGGTGTCTCTTCCTACTTATTTTTGTCCAAGGATTGGAACTGGATTTGACGGAAGAGGGGAGTTCGGATGAAGAATCCGTCATTACCGACTTTTACAAAAGTGCGAAAACGTCGTTTAGGGGAATTACAAAAATTTGTAACTTGTGTTTGAGTTTTGTGTGCAATGAACCGGCCGAAAAACTTTCATTGATTACGCGAGGAAGTCGAAAGAATAATTGGTGTACTAAACCTACACTTTTATACAAAGCACTCAAAGCGCAAAAAAACCGGGCCCGGGACCGACTTGAGAGTCTCAAAGACTTACTCAAATTAATAACCGAGAAACAGTCATCGCCAACTGTATCAAATCTGATTTATCCGCAATTATTGGCCGGTTATTTCGGTTTCTGTAATTACAAATCAGAAGACGTGTTGCATTATTTGTTTCATTATTTGGATAAAATTCAAGCGAGTCCTGTTAGGTTACAAGGGGAGATTTGCACAAACATGCATAAGGTTTACGACTTTTTGATCAAATTGTTAAACCGTTTGGTTGGTACCACTGAGAATAGACAATTATTATTTACGACTTTGTTCACTCTAACTGCGAAATACGAACCCGGGGATTTGGATTTCATTATTGGGAAAAATCTATCAGGTTCACTTATGTCGATTGAGGAGGATAAGACTGATATTCTGAGTATAGCCTCAATTAGATTGAGTCGAATTCTTGCCATGTGTGCCTGCGTACATTCGAAGAAAATCCAACTAAGCACTACTGAATCTATAGTTGATAAATTATACGACCAGTTTATTGCCAATATCGATGAAACCCCCAATGCCAGTTTGGTGCCACTTTGTGATAAGAGTTTTGGCGATTTTCTGGTATTTTTGCGGGTTATTGGGTCAAGTAAAGTGATTAAGACGTTATTAGCGTCGAAAAAATGGTTAGAGGCGCTTTTATCAGTCTTGGACACGTCTGATTTATTCATGAGTTATCCGATTCAATTGAAATTGTTGAGACCCAAAATATTGGTACTTCAAATATTACAAAATATTTTACCCGGGTTACAACCGAAGTCACTGCCATCTGATTTACGCAAGTCGGTTGTTAATAAATTGTTTACGCAGTTGGGGAAAGAATTGTGGAAAAAGATAAGCACGGAATCAGTTACAAATCCACTGATTGAAAGTGAATTGAAACTAAACGATTTATTGGGTGAGGAAGAAGAGGAAAATATTCCGGTTCATGATATGGGCTTTGATATAAATAAATGTCACAATTGTGTTATTGAAAGTAATTTAACACTGGTGCATGGCTTCGGAGGGCGCGGGTACGGTTTAGGTCTCCAGGCCATCCGCTCCGGTTGTTACCAATGGAAAATCCTCATTGTTAAAGAAAATCGCGGTAATGAAGGAACCTGTATTGGAGTTTCAAGATTCCCGGTTAGAGACTTTAGTCACCGGTCAACTACCGATATGTGGCTATATAGGGCATATAGTGGAAGTCTCTACCACAGTGGTGAACGCGATATTAGTTTCCAGTGTTACACACAGGGTGATTACATCACTGTCGTGCTTGATATGGATGCGAAAACTCTCAGTTTTGGGAAAAACGGTGAAGAGCCGAGAGTCGCATTCGAAAATATTGATGCGACGGAGTTGTATCCTTGTGTCATGTTTTATAGTACGGGGCCAGGCGAAAAAGTGAAAATCACCGATATGAAGGTAGGGGCGGTTTGTGTCTCGGCTAAATGATAAAGGAGTTTCAGGTGCACAGCAAACAGAGGGATTTGTTACCTGGTGAGCCGAATTTGGCACCGTTACCGGCGGTTCTAACCGAAGCGTATGTCACTCTGATCAGGAAGCTGCATAATTTCGATGCCTGGACCAATGAGGTAAAAAAATCAAACGAGAGAATTTTCTGTTTAATGAGAAATTTTCTCTCACAAGAAAATAAAAAGCATTCATTTACATTTTATTATTTTTTTTAATTACAGGTCAACAGCGCTATTATTGACCGCTTGGGACGCATTGAGGATTTGTTTGAACAAATCCACTTTTACCACTCTGACGGCGAGGAAAGCGAAGAAAATTCAAACAGTCGTGACATGTATTCAAAAATAAATGAATTGTGTTTGTCCGTATGGCCGGCTCTAGTGACAATTGGAGGTGCTTTAATTGGCCTTGAGTCACACTAGACCTGTCTTGACATTCAATTGTTTTATAGGTTTTGACAGAGGGTTGAAAATAGGTGGCTATTCTAAGCATAAAGGCACCGGTCGTCGAGCAATTGTTTTAGGAATATTAAAAAAAGGAATAACGACAGTTAACGTCCAATGGGAATCAGATGGAAGCATCTCTGATGTTTCTATGTCAAATTTGGAACATATCGAGACTGCACCTTTTAATAACAACAAATTTTCGGGATTGACTCCTAGTCTTTTGTATCAAGTGGCACGCCTGACTGGAATAACAAATGAATTGGTTTCACCAGAATATAATTTGACGCGTACTGAAGAAGATTTATTATGTGAGGACAGACATTGCAGATCTGATCCGTTGCGGTCCTGTTCTGACCCACAAATCCACAATCAGTACACTTTTTTGGATGCGATAGCCGGTCCTCGAACGATCGATTCATTAACCGATGAAATAGTGAGCACGATTTTAGTCGAAAGTAAACGATTGAGTGTCGAAAAAATTGTGGGCACGCAAAGTGAAGTCAATATATCAAATACGACTAAAACGCCTGAAAAAAAAACCATCAATCTTGAAATAAAAAAACTGGAGAAAAAACTGCTCGATTTGGAAGCAAACTGTTTACAAATTGCCTTTCTTCAATTTGCTGCAATGAAAACTTTAGGGATCTTCCTAACGTCAAGTCTATTTGCCGAATTATTTCTTGTCAACGATCCGGTTAAAAGCACATCAGGTGATGAAAACACCCTAAAACAAATCATGTTGGTACTAGTGGAGAAGAGCATCGAGCAGTGCAAACTGCGATCGGTTGTAACCTGTGCCGAATTCGAGCGTGCGCAAAGTATCCTTCATTTGAGTTTTATTAAAAGTGCGAGTGTCGAGAATTCGCCGCAACGTGGCGCTAGTTGCGACGAAGTTGGGCCGAGTTATGCCGAAGCCGGGCCCAGTCGGCGGACGTCTCAAAGTAACTAATTTATTATTGTTTAATTTATTTTTAACAATGTTGGTAGCACTTTTAGAACCAAGTCCCCAACCCGAGGATCAACAGCCGTCAATTGTTTCTCATTTATTAGAGATGGGTTTCCCCTTGCCGCACATTACGGCCGCTATGAGGGCAACTCAAAGTTCTGGGGAATTTAATGCGCAAACTGCGAATATGTTGGCAATCTGGATGCTGGAACATCCTCAAACTGGTGAAGATGAAGCCGTTGCACACGAATTAGTGCGACAACAGACGATCGAATCAGCGGAAATCGGCGACGAAAATAGACGACCTGAAGTTCGGAGAGTTTCGGATGTTACAAATTACACCAGTTTTGCGCAGAGAGGGGTTCAAAGGAGGCGACGAGTGATACCAGCAGATGGATTTATGCCGGTGGATGGCGTCGAACGCAATGATAATTCTTCAACAGAATTGTTTTCGACGAGGGCCGGTTGTGTTAATGTAACTTTTTATAAAATTTAAAGTTTAAGTTGTAGAGAAAATGTTGTAGGTGCAACGACCGGTTGCGATTTGTTCATATTGTGGACACTTGTCGCCGAATATTAAGGGACATATGGAGATGAGACATGCGGGTTGTGGGGTTCCTTGGGGGCCCAGCACGTGCGGAAGTGTCACAGGTAATAACATTTTTCATTTAGTATTATATTTTACAAAATGATTTAGGTTCATACTACATAATGTGTTACAAATGTCAACGAAAATACATCAATAGGAATCAAAATGACAACTATTTGCAGTTCCAAGCACCTGATTTAATAATCGACGAGCACGGTAAGTTAGTTTTTTAATCAGTTAAAAATTACAGTTTTCTGTAATATAGACAAATTGAAAAACTTTACAAATCAGTGTCAATTTTTCATTTGTTTTGATTCAGATACGACCGAAACTGACATCCAAGCAATGAAATTTGTTCTGCCCCCATACGAGGACATCTCCCAGATTAAAACGTGTTTGGGAATCAACGAAAACGAGTTTAATGTTCGACCCATGGCCTTTACGAATTTAGACCCTTTGGGTACTTCTACTATACCGAAAATAAGCAAAGAATCGGAAACCCAGAGAGAGGCTGATAATCGCTTTGTGGGAAAACAAGCAATGTCCTTACAAAATTCACTCGATCGAATTTTAGCACTGAAACATATGACAGGTTCGATTCATGTACTATTGTCACGGTCGATTGTACTTAACGTGTTGTCACTCCTGTCAATGAATACTAACCACGTGTCTTTGATGAGTCAACTCGAGATGATTGGATTGTCGGATATTCGAAAAGTTGTAAGACTGATGACTTTGACTGCGATGAAACGGGTGGAAATTGTCAATATTCAAAACTCTGATGATTTTCCGAATTTCAAGCTATGTAACGATTTTACTCGATTTACGACACATTTGTCAGCCGAATCAAATTCGTGTTTGAGTCATTTGAGTGTGAGCATAGCCGCCTTGGCCCAAAATGACGTAACATCGGCGAATCTAGTCGTCAATATGTGTAGCAAAGATTTGATAATGTCGGCGATAGGTGTCTCTGTTCCCAAAGCGACATTTGCAGTAACTCAAGCCTTGGTCAACATACTATCGACTCACGGCGGTTGTTCTTTGCATGATTTACCGAAAGACGAAGTTGCAAGTCCTTTAAGCGACCCCAACACTTTAGAACCTTTAACTCTAGTCAATGCTTTGTCGGCATATGTGTTATCATTTCGCGTGGAACAAGAAAATCGCGAATGGGCTTCGGAGCAATTGTTTAAAACTATAGCTAATAAAATACAAATACTGTCGGGTTCGACATCCGAACAGACGAATTTCGCCGACTTGACGAATTTCCTCCCAAAGGAAAGGATGGATTATTTCGACGGGCATGACAATAGAGTATCAACGTTGACGTATCACGAAAAGAATAACAAACTTGCATCGGCGGGTTATGACGGGACTGTCAGATTGTGGGTTTTCGAATCGAGGACTCAACTGTCGTTAGATGCGACTTTTGTGTTTCACATTTCGAGTGATATTTTCGGGAATGAGCTACAAGGAAAATTGATTGGCCATTTAAAATGGTCACCGAGGGGTGAATATTTGGCCGCTGCAATGGACAATGTTATCAATATTTGGCCGATAATCAACGAAGGATATCAAAATTGGTTTATCGAAGATCAAAAGGAGTTTATCACGACTTTGACGTGGCCTAAATTTAAATTAAACGAGGAGAAAGATAGGGATTTTTTGTTAGTGGGGAAAATTGACGGGTCAGTGAGTTTGATTGTAATGAGCGATGGAGGGATCCAGCGAGTGGAGTCACTAGCCAACTGTTCGATGAATTGTGGTGAGTAAAACAAATGAAAGTCAACTTTTATTGAGTAAGTTTTTTCAGCCGTTGTTCGCGCTGATTGGCACGACGAGGGGCATCCGTTCGCTGTAGCCTACCTCGATGGCACCCTGAAACTCGGCTGGATCGACGAGAATACCAACATTATGACACTAAAAGCCCACGAATCGGGTATTTCTAGTCTTGAGTGGGCCCCCGATGGCTCAATTCTCGCCACGATTTCGTCCGATTTGAGATGCAAACTTTGGCACTTGAAAGATTCAAAATTGACACTTATACATACACTGTTTCAAACGCAGGAACCTGTAACTTTGAAATGGTCACCGCTGATTGGTGATAGCAAAACACCTCTCTTACTTACTATTGGTACTTCGAATGGTATTGTTTGTGCGTGGTGTTTGCCCGATACCGACCATAATAACATCAAACCGCAATTGGTCATGCAAGCTCAAGGTCACGCGTGTAATGCTGTGACTGGATTGGCTGTACACAAAAGCGGGTTGTTATTGGCCAGCGGGTGCCCTAATGGGATTTTAAATGTGTGGTCATTAGTCGATGGGAGTTTAGTACAGACGGTCGTAGGTAGCGGTGGAGTGAATTTTAACGGACTATTCTGGTGCGGTGATGCACTCGCTGTAGCGTTTTTACGGTCGAAATCGGTTGGTTTGTTGCAATATGGAACCGGAAGTTTGACTAAATATCAGTCTTTGACCACAGCAAGATGCGCTCTTATCAGGAAAGGGGTCAAAGGGTTGAAATCAGCTCAATTTTTCAAAACTTTGATTTTGTATCTACCGAAGATAATCCTAGATCAATACAATATCGAGAAATTGCCGGTTCAAACCGGAACACAATTGTCACACTCCAACTATTTGAAAAGTCTAACCTGGCTTGCGATTTTACTGGATTTGAAACATATAATTTGTTACAAGACGCGGCCATTTAACGACGAATCGGATGTGCTTCCTGAAATGCAGTGGTTGCCTACGTTCACACTTGGCGCTCTAATCGCTGATAGTCTCATCAAACGCACAAATTTACCCGAGAGTGTTTTGAGTTGGACACGAGGCATAGTGGATGGTGTGACTCTAGAAGCCGTACAGAACGCTTCATGGACGACGAAACAAGATGAACAGATCATGCAGTGGGTGTCTCAGAGGCCCCAAGACTGGCAAATCGGAGGCAAATGCAAGGCATACATGTGGGGCTCGGACAGACACGGCCAACTTGCCGAATTAGGCTACAGTGCGTCTGTCCCCATCCAAGTTGAGTCATTCTCAATTTCACGAAAAATAATATGCGGCCAAAATTGCACCTTCGTGATCCAATCAGATGGCACAGTTTTGGCATGTGGTGAGGGAAGTTATGGCCGTTTAGGACAGGGAAATTCTGACGATTTGCACTCGTTGAGTGTCATTTCAAGTCTTCAAGGTTTTGTTATAACCGATTTAGCTACTTCGGTTGGGTCCGACGGTCACAGTTTGGCTTTGGCCGAAAGTGGGGAGGTTTTCTCGTGGGGTGACGGTGATTTCGGGAAGTTGGGTCATGGCAACCCTGATCGTCAACGTAGGCCGCGACAAATTGAAGCCTTGCAAACCGAACAAGTGGTCCAAGTGGCTTGTGGCTTCAAACACAGTGCTGTGGTCACAAGTGATGGGAAATTGTTCACTTTCGGGAATGGGGATTTTGGAAAATTGGGATTAGGCTCTGTGGCTAATAAGAAACTCCCTGAGAGGGTTACAGCTCTTGAGGGATATCGAATCGGTCAAGTGGCCTGTGGTTTGAACCACACGGCGTGTGTTTCGACCGATGGAATGACAGTTTGGACGTTTGGTGAAGGGGATTATGGGAAATTAGGCCTTGGGTATGCCACTATGAAACTTCTCCCTCAGAAAGTCGAAACTGTGTGTAACATAGGGATTAAGAAAGTCGGCTGTGGGACACATTTAACCCTATTTTTGACAAAAGATGGTAAAGTTTTTGTATGTGGGATTGATAGAATGCCTTGGCATTCGTTGTTTCGGGAACGTTCGGTTTTCAAACCGCAAATTATGACTTCACTCTCTGATTACTCGATTGAAGATTTAGCTGTTGGGACCGAACACGTGTTATTTTTAACCAAGTGTGGCAAAGTCCTAGGCTGGGGGATGAACAGTGAAGGGCAATTGGGGCTTCCTCACGTCTCACTAGTCCGTCACCCGGAGATCATAACTGAGCTCTCAGATAAAGGCATAAGACAGATTTCCACGGGGAGGACACACAGTGCGGCCTGGAGCGCGCCTCCTCTACCTCAAAGAGTCCCAGGAGTGACTCGTTGGTTAACTTTCGGTCTTCCGGAGAATATCCCGAGTCAATATGACCATCTCCAAGGCCTCTCAATTGATTTGATTCAAGCTCGAGTAATGTATTTGCACCATTTTTCCGATTTGTTATATTCCTGTTGGACGTTGATGCCGTTGAGTCACCAAGAAGGGATGAAATTACCCCCGTTAGAGGGACTAGTATCGCCGAGTTTGAGACCGTTACTGGCTTCGAGGGTTTATACGTTTCCGTTTGTGAGGTGCATAGGAAAGACGATGGTGCAGGGGAAAAATTACGGGCCGCAGATTATCGTCAAAAGGATCAACCAGGAAGGTGAGTAAATGTTAATGAGATGCAAGAAAAATGAAAAGTATTCTCAAGGTGAGGAATGTTGCGTAAGGTTTGTTTCCAGTCTTGAGAAAATGAGGCGCAAAATCTTTTATTTTTATGTTTATTTTTAACAAAATACACAGAAAATTTACTCACAAATGTTTTTTTCAAATGTTAAAAACTTTGAGCTTCTATTTACTTAATCTATTTTTTATTATCAGATTTTTTTGATTTACCTAAAATGAACGACAATTTTAAGGCATTTTGGTTGTGAGCAATAGTATTTTTTTAATACTGTTATTGTTTTATTATTTAATGTAATAAATAATGTCTTATGAAAGGTTGATTGATTATGACTTTAGCCTATTTTTTAATAAAGAACAACATGAATGACTTAAATGAAATAAATACCAGCCTTTAATTAAATTTTTGGTCAATGTGGCTTAAGACTTTGAAATTAAGTTGGTAACATTGAGTAAGTAAATAAAGTAAGTAAAGACTGAAGATCGTTATAAGATTTGTTAATTTTTATGCAGTGACGAAAATGATCTATTGGTGGTATTAGGTTGTTTCAGTTTCACTCTTAAATTAATGAATTGTTCTAGGAATGCACTTGTCTTCTACAAATTTTGAAAAAGAATTTAAGAAATAAATGTCTATTAGCACTTGAAAATACACAACACGAACTTACTTATTACTTACATATTCTGGGACAAAATTCAATTTCTACATTCTTGCTTATGTTTCTTGAGTGGACAATAATGTTTTTGTTAAAATTATTATTAAAGTAAAGCACTCTTCTACAAATTTTAAAAAAAGAATTTCAGAAATAATACATTTTATCTAAAACACAATTAATTTCTATTCATAATTTAATAAATATTTACTGTTGCACTCAAAAATCGGAAATTCACATACTTATTTTGCAATAAACAAAAAAATTAAAAAATAAAATGCACTAGCCTTTATTGCATCTTCTTCTGTTACCCTTTGCAGCAATTTTCCCCTGCTTCTTACACGGACTTAAAATAATATAAAAAAGCACAAAATTAGTTTATTGTGTTATTAAATTAGTTGATAAAAATTGAATAAAATTTAATAAGTGTAATTTTTCTAAAACGGTAGGGTCCACAAAAACGCATTTTGTAACAGTTTTATTGTAAAAGGTTTTTGTTCGGGGCTGCGTAATCCCGCTATTCGCAACTTCACAAAGCAATTCGAATATTACTTAATTTCACGTTCACTATTTTTTGCGCCCATTACACTTGTTTACATAACAAACTGATTTTTAGTCGTACCTTTTACCTGATATGACGTCAAAAAACTTGCATTTGATTGGCTACGAGATAGCGTCTTGATGCAGTCTTCGTCAAAGATAGACCGAAATCTGCCTACTTTCTAATTCAGCTCAGTTTCTTAGGAGGGCAGTTTGAAATTTAGACAAAATTCCAAGTGAAAAACGTTTCCCATGATGGCCTTTGTCCGCTTTGCTATAAATATGTTTTTGGCTGCTCCACCTCATATTACACAAGGCGACAAAAAAAAAGTCATGTCGTGACAACTTGACAAATTTTATATCATTTTATTCATCTCAGTGAGACAAATCAAATGCACTAAAAACAATTTCAAAAAGTCCACACACTTTGAACTAAATAATTTTTTTCTAATTTAAATGAATTTAAAATACGTTAACTTTAAAAAATTATTACTCAATAACTAGTAGGCCGATTTCTTTCAAATAAAGACCATTTTAAAGCGATGGACTTGCTCTTTAGAATGATATGCAATTTGAAATTGAATATTGGCAAACTTTTCTTCGAACAGTGTTTTTTTTTAAATGTTCTGAGCAAATGCTTTCTCATCACTTTCTACTGATGTTGAATGCAATACCCGTCGTGCGTGTTTTAAAGACTTGCTTATAAACTAGTATTATAATATACTATTTCTTTAGATTTGTGGGCCAACTTGATGACAAAAATCACAATCATACGATAATTTGTGTCGACGCTATTCAGTGTTGCCAACGTAATTTTAAAATCACAGTCTACTTCAATGAAAAATTTAATAGAACTAATAATATGGTGTAACTTACATCGTGATCTAAAGAAATTTATATAAGTAAAAAAAATATAAAATAAAGTCTATAGCCTACATGATAATTGTTCCCTTGTTATGAGCTTTTTTGTGTATTTTATGTGGTAATTGAAGATTTTGCAGGCCGCAAATGCAAACCCGTGTTTATCCAAATCGCTAAACAAGTCGTTAACATCAAACCTCAAGAGCTGCGTTTACCCTCCCGCGCCTGGAAAGTGAAACTCGTCGGCGAGGGGGCCGACGACGCTGGGGGCGTCTTCGACGACACCATCACCGAGATGTGTCAAGAAATAACATCGGGAGTTGTCCCTCTCCTTGTCCCAACACCGAACGCCGTCAACGAAGACGGATTTAATCGCGATCGATATCTGCTCAATCCGCAGTTAAACACCCAACACATAGCCTGGTTTAAATTTTTGGGTAATTTGAAACTCTCATTCAGACTTTTCAATTAATTCAAGTAGGTATTTTATTCGGGGTTGCGATTCGTACGAGGAAACCACTGGCCATACCTTTGGCCCCCATGATGTGGAAGTTGATAGTGGGTGAAGTTGTGACAATCGAAGATCTGGAAGAGGTGGATTGCATGTATGTGCAAAGTTTGCGGAGTATAAGAGACATTCATTTGTCGGGAGTCGGCGAGGAGAATTTTCACGAAGTGATCCCGTTGGAGTGTTTCGAGGGGACGAGTTGTACCGGAAAAGTTGGTCAATTGTTTGAATTTTGCCCAATTTTCTCCTGTTTTTATTTTCAAGGTTTTACCGATCGTTTATGGGGGCCGTAGCATACCATTGACCTTCCACAACCGCACACAATATTTCGAACAAGCCGTCAAGTTTCGTTTGGAGGAGTTTGATTTGCAAATCACAAGTATTCGTGAAGGGATGGCAGGAATAGTTCCTGTGCCTCTACTGTCTTTAATGACGGCCGATTATTTGGAACAGTTAGTGTGCGGAATGACACACATTTCGATTCCTATTTTGAAAAAAATTATAAGGTGCACGAGTCACACTTAACGTCTGAGTTTTGAATGAATTTTTTAGGTATCGCGAATTAGACGAGAATCATAATTTGGTACGATGGCTGTGGAACATTTTGGAGGGTTTTACCGATGCTGAGCGAGTTTTGTTTATGAGATTTGTGTCGGGTCGGTCACGATTGCCGGCGAATTTGGCCGATTTGTCACAACGATTTCAAGTGAGTGATTTGCGGTGTTGTGATTGGTCGTAATTGAGGTTTTTAAGGTGATGAAAGTCGATAAAGCAGTGAATGGGTTACCGACAGCCCAGACGTGTTTTTTCCAATTGAGGCTTCCGCCATACACTTCACAAGACATAATGGCCGAGAGATTAAGGTACGCCATTAATAATTGCAAGTCGATCGATATGGATAATTACATGTTGGCGAGGAATACCGATCAAGGGGTCGTCTCCGATGAGGAGTATTTGTAAGGCTGAAACGTACTGAACAAGATGTGAACAAGTAGTTAGGTTGTTTTGTGTTTTTTATTACTTTACAAAAAATACATTTGAAACAATTACCGGTGATTTATTAAAGACCTGTGATAATTACAGAAATGAGTCATTAGTTCCTTAGAAAATATCACAATTGCGTAAATAATTTCCTTGAAATCGGAATTTCCGTCCTTAGTCGATACTTAATGATCGAAATGAACCTTGCATTCCGAACAATTGCTTTCCGTTCTGATTCTGAGCGGGTCTTTTCGACTCATCAACTTTCCATCTAGATTCATCAGCAAAATACTCCTTTTTTGCCAAGACTTTTTTCACCCACTCGTTTTTCATTTCCGAAAGCTTGCCGACGTTTCCACCGTATTCGACCGGTAAAACGTCTCTGGAAACGTAGTCGAATAAAGTTTCGGAATTAGGAAGGTGAAAGTGTAGCTAAAAATAGCTAATTAATGTCGCATTTCTAAATCGATCGATTTTACCATTGATGCGACTTCGCTCTTCATGAAAGGTTTGAGAAGAGCCAAACAGCGGTCCAGAAACGGAGGAATATTAAGAATGTGGATTTGTTTCAATCGGATGGGATGAGCTTCCTGAAATTGTGGTCAAAATGATTTACAACGCCTGAAATGTGGCTTACTTGGGTGTAAAGCATGTATTTTTTGAGGACTGGCAGTGTGATTTTCGTCAAGTGTCTCAAAGAGAAGCCTTCCATGTCAAAAATCGGGATTTCCCCGCTATGAAATTCCGTTTCCAGCACCATGCGAGTGTCGGCAATCATGAAAAAAGTTCGCAGCGAATCGACGAAATTGTATTTGTCAGGGTCGGAGTCGGCAAGCCGATAAATAAACAATTTACAGTTGTCCTTCGTTGGCTTGGGTAACGGCACTAAATCACTGAGAAAAAAATCGAAAAAATTGTGTACACAACTCGGGGTTTTACAAACATGATTTTGAATATTTCCTGCGATCCGGCGTCTGTCGGGTCTCTGTTACCGAAAATTTCAGGCGCTTGCGACCTCACAGTGTAAAATAAATCAATCAATTGTTTCGTCTGTTCCAAACTGTAGTTACAAGTGTGCAAAAATCTCAAAATCAACACGTCATCTAAAACGAGATGATTATGAAATGAAATAAATTTGGAATATTTACCGATGTTTTGGGGGAGATGGGGCTGCTTGGTGAGCCATTCTCGGATTTTTCCGATGTCTTCTTTTTGGTTTGTGGCGATTTCTTGCGGAGGCATTTTAGTGCACTACAACAAATTGTTTTCTGCGAGAGAAGATACAAAGTAGTTACTTGTATTTGCTGCCCCACTTTCCCATCAGAAACAACTTTCTACTGGTTTAAAAGCAATTATGCGTTAAAGCATTTGCAGTATGTTAGAGGCTTTTATGCATGGATTCGGCCCTAAACAAGCGTTTCTTTACTTTTTTCTTATGCGGAAACTAATTTATTAATAATTGCGATTTCGCATTGTAAATTGCAAACTCTACACGCGATTACCTTTGAGTGGTATTTGAGATTTGGAAACGCGAGATCTAATTACAACACGAACCTGATTGGATTTTTATTGATTTATATTCGAAAAACCTTTCAAAGACACCGGTTTGTTTGCTTTTTACACAATCCTAATCTTAGGTGTTAAAGTAAATTATTAAAAAAAAAAATAATCAAAAATTGTTATGAAAAAAAAAATGTTTAGAAAGTTTAGTTTTGAAAACAACAGATTTTTAAATTCTACTAATGACCGTTTTATGCATTTTTCGAGCTTCTAGGGTTCCTAAATAGGAATACGTAAAACATTTGGTCTTAATATAAAAATTTTGATTTCCGGTACCCGGAGCGGATATCGGCCAATAACTCTGAAACTAATGATAGCAGTCCCTCATAATTGGTATCGTTGTGAAGCACTTTTTATATTTCATTTAAAAAGTTTAATTTCCATCATTGATAGCGCTGATATATGGTTTTATATCGATAATCCAAACAGTTTTGTCGTGCTCATACTTACATGGAGAAAAATCAGGTTTTTTGAGAATTCAAAAGCTTCAATTCCCACGGAAAGAGAAAAAACCCTCATAATCTGCTTTAGCTTATTTATCAAACTGCGAAAACCCGGAGTTGACCGGAGTTAAAGATTTAGTTAGACTGGTGTTTTTAATTGTTAGACTTTTTTAAATAATACATAAAATAATAACTTGAAAGTAGTATTCCATAGATCAGTATAATTTGCGCAGTTGAATTTTTCGGACGGTATTTTAGGGGTACTGATTCTCGGAGTTTTCCGGGAATCCGGGAGATTGCCGCCGAAAAAATAATTTTAAAATTATATCTCTGAAACGATCAAATGTTTGGACATTTTGGCTTTCGGAACTGTAATTTTAATTCGATTTTGGACGAAAAACTCGTTGTAGCAAGTTTTTTGAACCAAAAACAAACTAAAGTATATTTCATTGAAATTGGCATAATAGGTGGCTATGGAATTTCGTATTTAAGTTTGTAGCCCTGTGCATATCCCTGATATAACAACTGATGGGGTTTTTGTTTTTCTTTGATCACTTACCTACATGGTTTATTTAACTGACATGACTGACATTTGTATTCGTTTTTTCACTGTTTTCGTTGGTTGTTCGTTATTCCTACTATTTTTTCAAATTATAATTAAAAGTAGTTCTCTTCAGAACCCCAGATTGAAAGTACACGCTAAGGTATGTTTGAAAACATAATCAATTTCTTTTTGTTCCTGTTTTAGGCATTTTAGGTTAATGGAATCAAATATACCAATTTGAATTAAGCCAAATTATTTTATCCACGGCAAAACACGATTTTTCAGGCTTCAGTACGCGAAGCTTCATTTTGTACAGATTTCCTTTTTCCACTCCGATCGCAACAACTTTACCATTGTTTAAAAATTCACAATTTTATCCTACATTTTTAATGACAAAATCCAAACCCCTTTTGGCTGCAACTTTCACGGAAAATAAATTGTGTTTCATCTCCGGTGTGAATAAAACGTCTTTTAAAATTCCTGGAAGCCTCTTATTATCAACGAAAGTCTGTATTTTCTAGAAAGTAAATAGTGTATGTTTTGGTGTCAAAACTACACCTACAAAGGGATGAAACTTTTTATGGAGAAAAACTCTGAATACCTTTGAAAGAGGGTTCTTGAAAAATAAAATTTTAACTATCTTAACCTCACTTTTTTTAGTGACAAATTTAGTTCCTTAATATGTAAAGCCTTTTTCACATTTAAAGCGCAGTTTACACAATCATGGCCTACTGTTATGTCAATTTAAATGAAATGGATCATATTTAACTTTTGTTAAATTATGTTGTTCGACTGTAATTTGCGACACTTTGCAGTTACCGATTTTTGTTGATAAAAACGATTTCAAAATTACGTTTTGATTTTTTTTAAAACGGCCAAATGTGTGACTATTTTGATTTTTAGAATCGCAATTTTTACATTATTTTGATTGATAAACTCACCTTAGCAAGTTTCTTGGCTCAAAAACGAATTATTTAACTTTTTTAATTGTAATTAAACTGTCCGACTGTAGTTTTCGTCGCTTTGCACTTGCTGATTAGAGAGCGTTGGAACAGATGTTCCAATGTCATAACTCATAAGATATGTCAATCCAAAATATTTCAATATTGAGACAAATAAATAAAATTTTGTATAATAATGTTGCATTTACGGTTCGTGGATTTTCAAGAAAAAGCAGTAACAGTGAAGGTCCTTTTGTAGCAATCCGTTCGAGACGGGCCACCAAAAGTGAGTAAAATGAAATTTGCAAAGTGATGCAATAATGCATTTCCTTATCAGATGAGACGAAATTGGCTCGATTGGACCCAAATTTCGAGTTGTTAGCGGCCACTAATGGCTTTCCGTTTATTCTGCGAGGAAATATTGGGATGGGTTGGTATGATACCAACACAACTGTCAAGTCACCCTATAAACTTATCATGGAAGAGATAGACGAGGTGTTTTGGACAGTCTGTTGTCTAAAAACCAATTAAATTTGTTTCATTTTAGAGTACTTGTTCTGGCACTGGGGACATCATTTGTAGAGTGCAGACTTGTCCAACCGTTTTGCGTAAAAGCGTCTGTGATTTGTTTCCATACCGCGATTTTGAAAGTACCGAATTGTCAGTGGTTACGATTTCATTGAAACCGAACTTGAAACTACTGAGGAAGAATAAGGAACTCGAAACTGAGCGCATGGCCCAAACTGTAAACAACATATTGAGAAAATTCACAATTCTTATTTTGATATTCTAGTTTTTAATTACTGCCAAAAGTGTTTGTGATAAATTACGCAACGGTGGATACTGGGCTGATTTCATAAACCCATTCTCTGGACGACCTTACCTGTTTCCGACCAGTGCAAATAAATTGTATGAGGCCGACGAGAAATTCAGGTGTTTAGATTTCGAAATATTTGACATACAGCAATGTAAAATTGTTTCTAATGAGCAAAATTCGATCAATAGGCGGTTTGTAGGTAAGAAATCATCCAAAATGTAGTCACTTTTACGCTTTTTATCTATTTCCAGGAAGTTTGTTTACAAATGCCCCATCAAAGAAAAAGCATTTGAACGATATTTTTACCCAATTGTAAAAATATAACGTTTTCTGTAAATAATAAAAAAATAATAAAGGTTATTTGAGTGAGTTAGAGTTGTTTTTAAAAGTCACGTCACATCAAGTTCACATGCGCACGCGCAGCATAACCTAAACTTGCTAGATTTTGAATAATTATTGATTTTCTATTCTAACACAAATAATAAATTTAAAATGCCCCATTTATTTTGTTACGACTTTACAACTTTATAATTAGAGGGGCTTCAATTAATCCAACCGTAAGACTAAGTTTTTTAGGTTATGTTTGTTTTGGCTAACTTTTTTCCAGCAATTTAAAAATGTTGGGCGTTCGCGTGAGTGCCTTCAATGAAAACGGTCTCGGAGAACCTGAACAAGACGCCAATTCGGCTTTAACGGAGCTTGACAAAGGTTGAAAGCGTTGAATTAAGTGCCCCCTTTGAAAGTATTTTTTTAGGCCTTCGGTCTGGTAAAGTGGGCGAACAGTGCGAGGCAATTGTACGTTTCCCTAAACTGTTTGAAAAATATCCTTTCCCCATCCTCATCAATGCGTCGTTACTGAAATTAGCGGAAGTTTTTCGCATGGGGTAACATTTTTCCGGTGTTAAAACCTCCCTTACAATGAATGTTTCAGTAACAATTTTTTACGACTGTGCGTTTTGCGTGTGTGTCAGCAGAGTGAGAAACACCTAGATAAAATCTCAAGCGTTGATGAGTTTGTTCGGAGAATTTACAGTGTAATTCACAGTAATGACCCCATTGCGCGTGCTGTGACTCTGCGGACGTTTGGGGCTGTGGCTGCTATCATCCCAGAGCGGCAGCAGGTGCATCACAGTATCAGAAGTAGTCTGGATTCGCACGATAATGTGGAAGTCCAAGCCGCAATTCATGCAGCTATTCAGTTTGCAGCCCAATCAAAGTAATTAAAAGAGGGCGAAATTCGCTTAATTTAATTACAATTTGTAGAACTTTTGCCGTAAGCATGTGCAATAAAGTCTCTGATATGATACAAGGCCAGTCTACGCCCGCCAGTATGAAATTACAATTAATTCCAATTTTGCAATACATGCACCATGATACCAACACAGCTGCAATGGTGAGGACGCTCTGTATCGACTTACTGCCAAGTTATCCGGCCAAAGACTTCGTTTTGGTCACTCTGAACACACTTACACAGTTGGCAACAGCGACTTTAGTTGACGTCCCTAGTCAAGTAATAACCAAAAATGTCTCTCCCAAGTTTCAAAACCGTTTTTTAGGTCAATTTACTGTTGCAATATTTACGCAAAGACCTGGGTAGTGAAGTCAAATCGAAATGTTTACAATTTTTATACCAATTGGCCAAACCGGGGGCTCATTTGTGGCCCCCGGGTGCCACCAACAATATTATCGATTTTACTTTACACACGCATCAACCCCAATTATTAACTTTGGCCCTAGGTAAGCCAATTTACTAGTTTTACATTCTAATTAATTATTTTTGATTAGGTGTGATTCAAGTCTTGACTGAGTCGCCCCGAATGTGTCATGATTATCGGGACAACAACTCAAAATTAAGAGAGCTGTGCATGAAACACTGTTATTCGTCGCAGCCTACAGTTGCGGTGCAAGCTATCCAAATTTTGACCCAACTTTTGTGTTATTGGTGAGTTTTTTGTCACAGAAGAACAAAACACAGTCGAATTATTCTAGTTACAAAGAGAAGTTAGAGACTGACAGAGCGGATGAAGTGGTTTCATCGTTGGAAACGTTAATTTTGCTTTTAACTTTCTCAAATGATAAACATCCAAGACAGCTGAAGTTGGCACTGAAATGTGCTGTTCGGCTGTGTGAAGCGAAGAAAGACTATTGTGAGATATTTGTGGAACTACTCGGCACTCGCCTCGACAATATTCACAGTATGTTGTTTCATTTGTGTGTCAAAATCAAATCAGTTTTCTTTCAGACGACTGCACTATCGTCATCTGCGAGACTTTGGGGGCCATCGGGGGCCTAAAACCAGACACTTTACTCTCCCTCCTTGCTAATATTCTCAGTTTACTACGTGCATTGTCTGAAATTGACTCGCCAACGAATCAACAAACGCGCATCAAAATCATGCTTTGCACTCTTGTTTTCCAAAGCCTGTCTGATTACACCTGGAACGAGGAAACCGAAAGTGCCATTTTCTGTGTTATTGAAAACAACAATCTGTGGGCGAATTATTGCATAGCGCGAGCTGCAGTTAGATACGGCCATCACAAAATCGCCAATGCGATTTTCAACCAATTGACGGAACAAGTCAGTTCCGAACATTTCCATTTCTGGTTGGTTTGTTTAAAAGAAATGTCGGAAGCGGAGTCGTTTTTACTCACTTCCGACGATAGTTTGGTAAATCGCTTGGAGAAAGCGATCATACATTACAATAAAGCCATCGCGGCTTTGAAGGTTTCTGTTTTACCGACTTTTGATTTTGTAATTATTACAGATTGTTTCAGGCGGCGAGCACTCCCTCTCATAATCTACAGTTCCAGGCTGAATATATGCGAATTCGGACCGAGTTTCTCCAGTGTTTGATCCAACTGATTTATACTTGTAACACTCTGTGTATAGTCCCGCCACCTGCGATTGCCGCTACTATAGTCCAAAATACGCGAGATGAGTATCAAAGACACGGATATATTACAAATCAGTTGCGAAAGTGTGTGAAAGAGTTTAAAAATTGTGGCGACCTCTACTGGAAGCTTTACCAAACTGCTTTCGACGCCGACCCTGCCACTTTGGAAAACATGCAAATGTAAGTTTTCTCATGCGTTAATCATTTTTAATGTGTTTTTCCAGATTGCAACAAATGTGTGTCCTTGTGGAACAAAGCGTGGAAAGTATTTGCGTCAACGGTTCGAAAATTCGAGACGATCCGATTGAATTTGGATCACGTGATACCCGTCTAGAGTCACAACAATTGACAAAAGCTTGTTGTAATGCTTTAACAGTTTCGCACGCACTCGATGATGGCTCGTCAATGAGTACAATAACGCACCGGGTATTAAAGTTTGTTTCGTTTTTCTTTGTCTTATGCCAAAATTGTAGCACATTGAATTGTTGAAGAAAATCTGTGAAGTATTGTCGAATGCATCGTTACCAATTCCGCGGTATTTCTTCCAAGTTTTACAATGCACCAGCGTTAAGTTGGCCATTTCGCCCCAACCTCGGGTCATGGGGGAATTTATAAGTGTCCAGGCAAACTCCCAGTTGGCTGTGAAAGTCGAAGGAGTGATTCAGCACGGGATGAAACCGGGACTTTTCCGAAAAATCGAAGAAGTCATAGTCACTGTGACCTCACAGATTCAGAACAATTCCAAAAGCAAGGATTTGGATAAGGTACATCTTGGTCTTTGAAGAAAAAATATCATACCTGAATTCAATTTTTTTACAAAACTTAAGAATTTAGTTTGGCCTCTAATCGAGAACAAAATAATAGTATATTATAATACTAGTTTATAAGCAAGCCTCTAAAACACGCACGACGGGTTTAAGAGCACGACGCGTCAGCGGAGTGCTTTTAACGTCGTAAGTGTTTTAAAGGCGCTTATAAACGAGTGTTATACGCTATTTTTGTTATACCTGCCCATTTACGATCTTTTATGAGCATTGAAAAAATGTGTATTTACACAATAAAATTATCAAAGGTTGTTTGTGAATCGTTTTCGTAGAGACAGTTACTAGTTTACGTTGTTAAGCACATTTTTTCACGTTGTAATTGGTCCAGACATTTCACTATTTCTTGTTACCTAGACAACTTTAAAATTTCAGCGTGCGATAAAGGCCAAATTACACACGCTGCAGCGTGTTTTAATTTAGGATTATGATGCAGGTATAATAAAAAAGTTATTTAATTATTACTGATTGACACAAAAAGCTACAAAAAAATTTTTGACAGTTGTCAAGAGTGAAGCCAAAATTTTCCATATTTGTGTAAAATATTGACAATGTTTATACCCCGTTCTGATTCGAGTTTTAAACAAATAGTCTTCTACCTTTTGTTATAAATTGTGATAGCTGCCAATACTTGTACTCAAGTACAATTGCCTTCGTTATGGCAATTATCATGATTTAGAGCATTTCGAAGTTTACTCAAAAATCCTAAAACCACTGTGTAAACGTGGTCACTATTTTACTCACAATAATCAGTACGCTGTAAGAAAATTATTGTTAGTGTGGTTTTTGACTGGTGGCAATATTTTTATTTTGTTTTTTATCGCTTCTATCAGTTTTTTTTTGTTGTAGAAATCTGATATAAGTGGTTTTATTTTATCCGAAATGAGCGTCAAAAGTTACTTACTAACAGTATAAATTTATTTTGGGTTAAAATTTTGCAAGTCCAAGGGGGCACAAGGTGTGCTTTCTGTTGGAAATTCCGGTGTGATAAAATTATTTTTCTATAATTTCGGACCAGTTCTTAGACGATGTGTTTTGCAGAGTTTGGAGCAAGTGGCGGTGTTGACTCAGTCGGTGACCCCCCATAAAGACTTTTTCACGGCGCAATTTCTGCTGGCGTTTCCTAAAGGCGGTCAGTATTTGCTGGCCGTTGAGGCGTCAGTCGTTGATGAAGAAAATAACACTTGGAAGACCGGTCCTAGGTCAACCTTGACCGTGAAAGTGCCCGAAGAGGCAAAATTAACACCGATTTCGGTGCCGGGCATGGCGTCAAATGCCAATGTGTAAGTTTGGCGAGATTTAGATTAAGTGGACGTCGTTTTGTTTTATTGTGAATTTTTTCGGTTTTTTCTTTTTTTTAGAATTTTGATGCCTGAGGATAACCTTTTTCTAAGACCTCATCAGAAAAAACCCTAAGTAAGTAATTATTTATTTTGCGAAATTTTGTAACAATAAACAATAACAAATGATAGATGATCAGATTGCTCCCACCCGTATTTCCGTATCCTTAACAGACTCTTCGAGTGTCTTCAATACGATTGGCTCCCCGAAATCACTCTTACCACCACTCTTACTCACGAGAGAAATATCACCAATCACAATATCATGACTGACAGACTTGCACATATCATACACAGTCAATGCTGCCACACTAACAGCCGTCAAAGCTTCCATCTCAACACCAGTCTTACCAACAGACCTCACACTCGCCTCAATTTCAATATGTTTCCTCTCGTAATTGAGCTTGACATTGACTTCAACCTTACTAATTGCAATATTATGACACAAGGGAATGAGTTGGGACGTTTTTTTCGCACCCATTATACCAGCAAGTTGTGCTACAGTCAAAACGTCGCCTTTTTTCGCAGTCACATCTCGAATCAAATCACTTGTTTGGTAATTAATTCGGACGGTGCCTCGAGCTTTGGCCGTCCTCACAGAATCGGGTTTCGGGGTGATGTCCACCATTGTGGCTTTGCCTTCGGAGGTCACGTGACTGAGCTTGGTTGAGTAGTTTCGTGCGAAAATGGGAGCTGAAACAAAAAATATTATTAATTTTAGTTCGTTTCTAAATGAAAAATTCAATCTTATTTACCTTAAATAACAACTTAATTAAATTTTTAGCCACCGATTAGAATCATCGGCCTGTTTTCCATCTGAGAAAGGTTCAGCATGCCTGTAATAATATTTTTATGCAAGGGATCCAGAATGCGATTTTTTGTACCTGCATGCTGCTTTTTTTTCCTTTTCACAGCCGCATTTATTAAAGCGATTAAATCGTCTTCACTGCAACCACTCCGTATTGCATCTCGTAATGAAACTTCAGTGTTTCCAAATAAACAAACTTTTAAATTTCCATCAGCTGTAATTCTTAATCGGTTACAAGAGCCACAAAAGTGTTCACTCATAGATGTTATAAAGCCTACTTGTCCTAGAAATTTTGGTACTTTCCAAGCCTAAATAATCATGAATAAAATTTATTTTATTTTTACTATTCTTGTATACTTTTGAGGTATCGTTTGGTTTGTTTTCAAGAGGGTATAAATCAGGATACTGTTTTTTTATCACAGATAACATATCTTGATATGACACTAATTTACTCAAGTCCCATTTATTCCCCGTAAAGGGCATATATTCGATAAATCTTATATCGACATTCTTGTCTTTGGTAAAATTAACAAAATCGAGGATTTCATCATCGTTAAACCCTAAAACCTCGATTACATCAGCAGATTAAAGAGTTTCTAATACCTTTCATGACGACACAATTAATTTTAACTGGGTCGTACCCCAACTGTAGGGCCAAGTCAATTCCCATCATTGCCCTTTCCCACCCTTTTCGTCTCGTAATAAACTCGTACTTGTCCCGTTTTAGGGTGTCTAAACTGATGTTAACTATATCTAAACCTGCCCTTTGTAGGGCAACCAATTGACGAGTCAAAGTTAAGCCATTTGTGGTCATCGCTACTGTTTCAAGTCCCTCAATTTTTTTCAAACTCTCTGTAAGTTTTGTGTGAGTTGAGTGACTTTTCTCATGGCTTTTTACCTATAATTTTTAGCAAATCTCTCCGTACAGTGGGCTCACCCCCCGTTAGTCTGATTTTTGTCACTCCTTCGTTAACGAAAAGTCGAGATATTTTAATGATTTCATCGGATGTTAGGATTTTTTCGTTCGGGGTTAGTTTGACCCCTTCTTCAGGCATACAATATTGACCTACATTTTTTGGTTTATTTTCTATTTGAGAAATTTGGAACTTACATCGTAAATTACATCGTTCGCTGAGTGATATTCGCAAGTATGTGTGGTTTCTCCCAAATAAGTCTGTGAGTGGACTTTCTACCTGATCGTTGACCTGTAGGTAAAAATAAAATAATCTTTTGGGCGATTAGTAAACGAAAAAAACCTTAATTTTTCCCTTGTTTTGGACGGCCTCGATGGACAGTTGACGGCACTTTTTTTTCACTAGATTTATTGTGTGTAAACGAAACATTTTTTTTTTTTTTGTAAATTCACTGATCACAATTATCACTTTCTTGAGTTTGAGATAACACCGATAGCATTCGAGTGACTGGTAGTAACGAAAGTAAACACAAACTAGGATGACCTTGCATACTTTTGTTAACACATTTTTATACTCCTTCCAAACAAATAAATGACACAGTTTAACAGGTTTCACTTAAATTTATATACAAAAAATGACGTATTTAATGAATAAATAAATAATTTCGACGAAACAATTACGAATTCGGCTGTGTCACGATCACGAGAACTTATCTAAATATTCTAAGAACTCAATTAAATCAATAGTTTATTTCTTAAAAATAAAATAAAATACTTGTGATTGGGATGACCTCTGCGACCTTTGATCAGCTGATTAAATTACTATCTTCAACGAGAAATGGCGTTTTTCTCGGGGAAAATAAACTTGAGGAAGCCCCTCAAAATTAATTTTGCCCAAAAATGAACATTTTTACTTAAATCTCAGAAATTTTTAATTGTTGTCGTCCTAAAATTTAACGAGTTTGTACATATTTAAAACAATGATTACGTTTTATATTGTACACCCGACTGATTTTTTCCCGAAAACGCAAATTCCGGGTCACAATCCCAAAATAAAACTTTTTTTTTAATTTGGCGCGCAAATGGCGTCAAGTGACAGTTGTCTTTGAGGTTAGAATGTTTTTATTTACGTATGATTTGCGTTTATTATGTCGTTATTTCCGGCTTTCGCTAGTGAAAGTGCTCCTGAAAAACAACCCTGCGACAGCCCCCAATGGCTCCAAAACCCCAGTTTCAGCATTGACGTGACCGGAGCCCCGGAGAAGCCCCCCGAGGAGGAATCACCGCGAGCCGATAGTCCCGAGCCAAAGAAACGTAAAAAGAAGCACAAACATAAAGACAAACCGGTTGTTGAAGACAGTAAATTGGAAGAAGAGGGTTTTATTGTTGATACAGTGCGGACTAAAGAATATTTGACGGTCAAAACGATAGCCCGGCCCTCAGCACCGCGTTACTCGGTCCGGTATCACGTAACGGGGGCTCGGACCGGACGTAAACGCAAGAAAATAAAACGGTATTACCACTGGTCGTTTCTTGTTGTTGATCAAAAAGAAGGGGAGGAGGAAGTAATAACTGAGAAAAATCGTGATTCGCTTGAAGGAAGTAAAAAAGATGAGAATTTTGCGGGGTTTAAACAAGAGGAAGACTTGTCGCAGACGACGGCCACGTATAACAAGAAGTTGGCTGAGAGCCCCCATGATATCAAACTATGGCTGGAATATGTGAATTTTCAGGACATGGTGTACCAGTTTGAGAAGACGTATCGAAAAGGGAGTATTGCCAAAGGTCTGAGAGTCTTAGCTGAGCGAAAACTGGCGATTTTAGACAAGGCTTTGAGCCACAATCAAAATTGTGAGGAGTTGTTGAGGGAGAGACTAAACGTGGCTGTCAGTATTTACCCCTCTGATGAATTACAAATACAATTAAAAAATCTGGTAGATAAAGACCAAGGGAACATTATTTTATGGCAGGGTTACATTGAGTCAATTCAGTGTTCCATGTCCCACTGTAACACTCCTTCAGTCCTCGACTTGTACACAAAATGTCTCTCAATTTTGCATAAACTGCGGCGAAACTCATCAATGGAGAAGGCCCAACTCGAGGAAAATATTCTAAAAATGCTGTATCAATGCGGTCTATTTTTGAAACAAGCCGGCTTATTTGAACAGCTCTGGACCCTCTTGCGGCTATACCTGGAACTAAATTTATCCCCAAGTGACAAAAACAAATTCAATATCGGGACAGGTTTTGATGAGAAACAGTTGGTAGAATTGGAGGAGGTTGTGTTTAACTCGCAACTTCCCCTCCATGAGTTGTGGCTCCGCACTGAGAAGCTCAGGGAGGCGTGTCATTGGTTGCCGTGGATGGAAGACGGTGAGTGTGAGGATCCGCAACGGTTGGTCTTCCCTGATGACGTAGCGGAGTTGATTCATCCAATCACAATGCCCGAAAATACATTTCGACTAATCGCTACGATTTTGACACTTTTGAAAGTCCCGATTTTATTTTGTCGTCATAGTACGATGCAGGATTTGGGCTTGGATTATGTGCCATGGGCTCTTGATTCGATCGAATCCCTAATTGCGATTTTTTTACCCCTGTATCCGATTGATTTAACAAACAAGAATTTTATTATTGATAACAGACTATCAGTGGGGCCGCAATATTTGAAAGTTTTGCCGGGGCAAGAGGAATATTTGAATTTTGTTTTGACCACAATGAAAAGTTGTACTGAATGTTTGAGTGGGGATGACAAGATTGCGATGACAGTGTGGTGGCTTCGCTTCCAGAAATTGTTGATTATTTTGGAAAAACAAAATCGGTTTAAAATGCCACAAGGGCTGGCCAAAAAAATCAAGTCCAATGTCAAAAATTTACTAAAACAAGAGGAGAATCGGAGTAACACGATTTTTTATTGCGAGTACGCCTTAATCGAGTACGAATTGGGGAATCCCGAGACTTGTTTAAGCATAATTCAGACGGCGCTCTCATTTCACAAACCAAGTTTGGCGAGTTTTTCAGCCGAAAAAACGGCTCATTGTCACTTGCATCGAACTTTGGTTGAGGTTTGTTTAAATCAGGGCAAAGATTCCGACGCCTTGAAATACCTAATTTGTTACGCTCTCGAAAAACCAATCGAGTCAATAAGTGACGATCTCCTCAACCAAACAACCCTCAAATTCAAACACGTAACCTTGCAATTATTAGAAACCGAACTTCAAAAACTCCCAGTCGCAAATCAGTTTTTACCGAATTTTTTCACCGATTGGATCATCTGTAACGGGTGGTTTCTATGCCTGACCAAGGGGGCTATACAGTGTGGCACTTTCCTTGAAAATATTTTATCAAATTTAGACGAAAAATGTGAAGGAATGTTATGGCAAAAGGAAGTTTTGTACGAGTTTTACGTCGCTGTTCTCTTCAAATATTGTGTGGCAAACCCCGGTTTTGGCGTTTTTAAAATACTGGACGATGTTTTAACTCGAGCTATCGAACTTTATCCTAATAATCTTTTCCTGTTGGCTGTTTTGGCCAAGGAACAGAGTATCACGTCTTGTGCAGGGTCGCAGTGGTGGAAACTGAAAAGTTTGTTAATAAAAACGGGGCGCGCTTTTCCGATTCTGTTTCTCGTGCTGATTGCAAATCAACAAATGCTTGAGACGCAGGAAACGTACATTGAGACGTTTTCAGGTGGGTTATTATTTCTGCAAAATCCTCATTAACATGATTTTTTTTTGCATAGGTCGTAAATATGAGATCAGCGACAGCCACAAAAACCGGATGTTGGCCCTCTTCCGCCATATCACAAGACCGGAAATGTGCACAAGGAGATGCGGATTGGTGTGGAGACTGTATTTGCAGTTTGTTCATGCATATTTTGACTCAACTTTGTGCAGAAATGTTTACTTTTGCGCCGTTGAAGAATGTCCGTGGTTGAAAGTAAGTTTTTTTTATGCTCAAGGTAGGGAATTTTGATTTCGTTGTTTCAGGCTTTGTATATCGACGCTGCTATTTACATCCCGGCTGAATTAGCCCAAATTCAAGACTTGTTAATTGAGAAACAGCTTCGGATTCACGTGACGCCCGAGGAGTTGGATGTTTTGCGAAGTTGAGGATTTTTCTGTGATATTTCCATTTTATTTTGACATAAATTAAACAAAAATAACACTCATTAAAAAAGTTAATTACGGAATTAATTAAAAGTTGGAAATAAATAAAAAATACATAAAACAAATTATTTGGTTTGTTCCAACTGGAATTACGTACAAACGAAAACATTAAAGCTATGGTGTTACCAAGTTCCTTAACTTAAAATTATTCTCACAAATTATCACCGTTAATAAAAAATTATTCTGGAAGTATTGTAAAAAAACAGGCACTCAATCATTGTTTAAGTTAAGTATGGACTGCGAATCGAGCAAATCCCCCGTAAGTAAGACATTATTAATGGGCAATGTCCCCACTACTTGTCCGTTATTTCGACTAAACGGAAAAAAACTGTTCACTTTTCGCAACAACTCCAAAATGTCCTCTTTGTTTCGACTCGATTTACCATTCACCTCGCCACTGTCAATTCTCTCCTTTAGTTCGAAAATCTCCGAGACGATAAATCGGTTACAGAGGTCGATTTGGGGCTTTCCCCCATTCCGGATCTCCAAATCCGGTAGCCATCGGAAATAACACTGCATCCAGACATCCAAGTGGGCCACACTAGTCCTCGGCTCGAGCCTCTCGCGGAAACTATCGTCGAATAAAGGATTGCAAAAAAGTGCGATGTCTTTCTCGGAAAATTGCTCACTCCAGTCCCACACGCTTCGCAGGACTAGCGCATTATGCCCCGAACTCCCCTAAAAACGAAACAAAATCAAGAATTTAAAATTCGTTAATGACTCACAAGCTCGGCAAGGATTCGGTCATGTTCGCAATTGAACAAAAACGTATCAAAAATCGAAATGTGTGCCGAATCCCACACTGTGGTCAAGAAAGTCTCGCTGATTTGAAACGCCGTTGGGTATTGTTGGACGATTTGCCAAACACAGTCCAGGAATAGGAGAAAAACAGGGGACTGGTCGATCTCCTTGCTCAAAATGTGGCCCAGACGGTGGGCAAAAGGGTGCCCCATTGAGACCCAATCCTTCTGAATCAAGGACTGGAATCCGAATTTTGTTCGGAAGTACGGGTCGAGCATCAGTTGTGCCAGACTTGAAATGACACAATTGAGGTCTTGGCCGTTGCCTAAAACTCGTATTAATTATTTTCTTTAACAAATTAAATTTTTTACCTTCTTGTAATACTACAGTGGTATCGTTGTGTAACTGTCTCACCGCTTCGACGGCTTTTGAGAGACAAGTCGACACGTGACTCATCCATTTCGTCGAGTCGAGCAACCCGTAAAATTTGAAATCTTGGCTTTTGAAAATTCGGGTGTTTTCAGGTACACAAAGGTCGCGTAATTTCAGGAAGCTGGTTTGAATCTCCTTCGGCGAGGGACACTCTTTCGTGAGATCGATAATGTGGGGTTGTCTTTTATCAGGGTGGCTTTTACGGATGTGCTCCAGGAGGGTGTTTTCCTGAGTGCGGTCCTGGATTGTGGGTAACAAATCCGCCATTCTGACTAGAGCGGCCCCTCGAGGTGTGCCCCAAACCTGTGTTTGAATTAGTTCAAAACAAATACTAGATAAATTCTTTCTTACCCAAACTGGACAACAGCGATTCCTAAAATGCTCAATTGCCTTCGTTAACGCATCATCCGTAAGGGACTGAGGTACAATTAGAGTGGACATCATAGTTGTTGAAATGTGAAAATTTTCGTTAACAACAGTTGCCTTCCATTTTTTACATTTAGTTCGTTCAAGTTCTCTTTTCCAATGTTCGCGTTTACGAAACAAGCAGACTTCTTTTGTCAATGAGGTAACTGATGGCTCCCTAAAACCATCAATTAATGGGATTTGCGCCCCCCTGAATAACATACTTGTAATCGTAAGCAAACAACAGACTGTGTCTTTTGGGATAAGCGTGATGTAAGAGTGCATTGGTCACGTTTTTGCCACTATCTTTATCCGCAAGTTTAAAACTGAATTCTAACGACCTCATATTCTGAAAAATTGAATTAAATGTGGGGAAAATTAAAGTGTGTTTTTCAATACTTTACAAATAATTAACAATTCTTTGATTTTCCCGGACACGTTTTGTCCGGGTGTTAGCTTTTTGCGCGATTTATCACCAATTTGATAAATCGTGTCTATGGAAGACAAGCAAGCGTCATTGGGGCCCAGCAAAAAGTTTTGTTGGTAACAATTGTCACCATCTCGGTCTTCAGCACTAGCAAAAGACAGTTTAAACGTAGTGACTGTTAATACTCCTAAAGTTGCCATTTTTCTATCACTGAGGGGGGCATAGAGCAGCACTTTTTGTGCCTCACAGACCACAGTCTCACCTTCAAAAACCACGCATTAGTGGACAAAAAGAAGAAACATCGACTTACCATCAAGGAGTTTGGTTTTCTGTTCGTCGGTGAGGTTGATTGACTACAACATTTTCAAAACTGAAAGAGATTTCGACAAACGTGGGAGACTCACCGAAAACTCCTCCTCGTCAATGTAGCTCTTAAAACGAGATTCTCTGAGTTCAGTCATCTTGGCAGATTTGAATAAACGCCTCACATAATTAAGACATTGATTTAGCCCATTTGCCTCTTATCTAGTAAAAGTGATAAAATTGGGGCTTCAAGAAGAAATAGCACTTTTGTGTGGTTATGTTTACCCACCTTAACGACGTCTGCCGAAGCTTCACGAAAGTGCACGAAGTGACTTAATTCAATTTTTTCATTAATTTTAAATTGAATTAACTCGAATTGGTGCGTTTTTAATTATTTTTCAACCTAACTAATGTGTCGCGAATTAAATAATAAAGAAAAAATTACAGTAGAATTTATTTTTGTAACCGCCTTTTTAACACGTCATGTGTCAAAAATGACGTTCAAATGTCAAAAATGACGTTGTCAACGTTGAGGTTATACAAGTACTAAATATTCAAATTATTTAACAATTAACGCTTTATTTACTCAAAATACGAAAGTTCAAGACGCATTTTTTTATTCCGGAATGATTTTGAAGAGTGTTTGTGTCACAGATTGGCATTATTTGTCAAATGAACATTGTACTACAGTCCTGGTCAAAGTTTAAGTAGCGAATAAAACGTTTTTAACATCTCCTGCTGTGTTCTCATTTAGAAAAAATGAAAATCTTTAATTACAACAACATTGCAGCGTTCTTACACCAGTATAAGATTGAGACCAGGCAAGTGGTGAAAAAATTTGTAAAAAAGTTAATTTCTTACTTTTAGGCCAAATGCCGGTCCAGGGTTTTGGCTCATGCTTTTACTACCCTCAGCTCTAATTATTTCAGTTGCCCAACATCCAATTATCTCCACTTCCACTTACAAATTATCGTCAATTTTTTCATTGGGATTAATTCTAACGTCTTTCACATTTATCCACCAAATATCACGAACAAGACTGAAACTTTTAAACCTGTGGCTTGTAACAACTTGCCTTGTTGTGGCTTTTCTGTTTAAAATTTGTCTTCACAGAGGTACGGCTTTAACTGTAAATAAATAAATTCGCGGTACTTCATTGTGATTAATTAGTTCTCAGGAGCTTAATCATAATAGTCTATTGTTACGAACACCAATTAGAGATTATTTTTTCAGGATGGCTATTTTCAATTTTTAGTGCCATTGCAGCGACGTTTTTGTACCAAAAACTGTATTTATTTGTTTTACAAAAATTGCCAAAATGTTTCACTTTAGGCGAAGCTGCGGTTTGTACCCAAAGTTATACTCTTTTGCTGTATTTCACGTCAGTTAATATTTGGCAATGGGTGAGAAAACCCGCCAATAATGTTGTGCAAATGTCGACTCTCACAATTCAGGTATTCTTATTTCTTGGCCAATTTTTTTATTATTTTTTTGTACATATTTATAGCTCGGCTTATTTGCAATATCGGCAATAATTTTCATTTCGTACAAATTTAGAATAACAAGCAGTTTTAAGTTCTACACTCTCACCGTAGGAAGTTTTATTTTAATCGTTTTATTACCTTTGCAATTTTTAATGCGAATAAATCCGTTATTGTGGATTTTAAATTTAATCTGGGACGACGTTTTTGCGGTAAAACAATTCTCCCTTTTTGATAAAAATTGATGAGATTTTTTTCAGAATAAAGTTGTCGTTTACTGGATTTTTTTCAGTCTTGTTGCCATTTTGGCCGTAAATCTCCGAATAAAAAAGGCCCAGAAAGCTTCAACTGCCGTACGAAAAATCTTCCATTTGTTAACTGTCGCAGTTTTCATCCCCGGCCTTTTATACAATTGTTCTTTTCTCTATTTAGCCAGTGGTGTTATCCTTGGAATTTTTTTCATGTTGGAGGTAACAAAATAAAGCAAAGAAGACAAATCAGTAGTTATTATTTTAGGTTTTAAGGGTGTTAAACATGCCACCCTTGGCCGAGGTTTTGCAAAACGGCCTTGTTGTGTTTTGTGATGAAAAAGATACCGGAATAATAGCTTTCACTCCTATGTATCTCCTAGCCGGGTGTGCTCTCCCTTTGTGGATCCACCCATCGCCTTGTGATGTCACAAATTCGGCGATTTTCAATTTGTTGCCTTTGATGAGTGGTTTATTGACGATTGGGATCGGTGATACGGCTGCGAGTGTCGTTGGTTCGAAGTTTGGCAAATTTCATTGGCCGGGTATAAAATAAAAAAAATTTTGGGGGGCTATTTATTTTTGATTTAGGTTCCAGGAAGACTATAGAAGGGACACTTGCGTGTATTTTGAGCCAGCTTTTTTTCGTATTTGCCTTCGTTTATTTAGGTTTGTGATTTCATAAGTTTCTATTGAAATTTATTGAAGCACAATTTTCAGATTATGTAAAACTCGTAACTCCAGTACAATACGTGAAGACTGTTTCCGCAATAGTCATTACCTCGATTGTTGAGGCGAAAACCGATCAAGTTGATAATTTAGTGCTGCCCTTTGTGATGTATTTATTTTTTATTCTGGTTTAGTTCTTTATTGCAATAAAGACAATTTTTATAATTTGTGTCTTTATAAACCTTAAATAATAATAATTAGATCGACAATTACTGTAATTTTAATTGGGCAAAAAATTGCTGGTGGTCACAAAATTTTACTCGTCGGCATAAAAAATTGCATAAAAAGGTGTTCGTTTTGACTTTTTGGTCACAATTGAGTATATAGACACTTTGCTTGTAGCCTTATCATTAGTTTATTACATTATTACTCAATATCTCTAAACTTCTAACTCACCTCAAAAAGTCTTTTTTTTTAACTTGACCCTATAAAATTTTATAAGTACACATTTCTGCGTCTTTCACAACGTTTTTGCACTTTTTTAAGTCTCTTGGACCTTCAGGAGTGGTTTCATTTTGAAGTTTTTCATTTTTTCGATTTTTGTCAAAATTTTCGTCGATTTTCGATACCCAGAGCGAATATCAGCTAATACATTTGAAATTACTCTGGATAACTTTCTTATCTTTTGTACCGTTGGAAAATACTTTTACTTTCTTATCTTATAAAAAAATAACTTTGAAACTGTCATGAATTTTGCGGTTTTCTCGACTCCCCGGTATTTTACATACTTCTGGTACAATAAACCGTTTTCAATATATTTTAGCCGGAATTAACAATAGAAAAACGAGTAAACATTTTTGAATAGCCTCTCCTCTAGTTTCGCCGTAATCGTCGTTCAAAGAGAAAAAAAATTCAAAATTGTGAAACTTTAAATGCGTTTTTTTTACGCAACTATAAGACTTAGAGCAAAAAGCAGAGAAACTTGAAAATTTGTTTTAAAGTATCTATTTAATGGCGCAAACTTGAAGTCACTTCGGGTTATAGTTCCGGGTACAGAGCCACTTTTAGTTTTTTTTATATAAAAAAGTCATATCACAAAAATTATGAATCCTAGGTCAAAACGGTTTGTACAGACATACGCCTGGTTAATTTTACATATAGTACCAGTTTTTTTTTATAAGAATCAAACATTTTTGATTTTTTGGTCAGAATTGGACATAGTGCTTATGCTTCTAGCCTTGTTATTGATTTTATTACTCAATACCTCAAAAGCTACTTATTGTAGAGCATTTTAACCTATTGCATCGTGTTCAGCGTCTAATTTTACGTCTAGAACACTATGTTTCAACCGTTTTTGCGATCAAAAACTCTTAGATACCTAGAAGTGCATTTGGTTGAATTTTGAAGTTTTTAATTTTTTCGTTTTTTTTTGTCAATCACCCACTAACTCTTCAACGTTGTGTATTTTTTTTAAAGAAAATTGACCTGTTCAAGCATTTTTGTCAAAACAAAATATTTTCAGTTTTAATAGATAAATTATCCCATAATTTTGCCGCTCAGTGTATACCTGAGGAAATAATAATCGCTCCTTGGAATAAAAAGTTAAGCAAAAATTGCTAGTATGAAAAATTTAAACATATTAATGCAGTGAAATTTCGAAAGTAGTTGCGGTATAAAAAGAAGTTTGCTGGACCGAGGAGTGAACCAGAACTTTTCGAATTTGGTGTATTATTAATAATTAATATTAATTAAAAATTCATTTTCATGCTCTTTTTTAAGAGCAGTTATGCTCTTATCATGAGTTGTCACCTTTATTTTGTGGAGAAGAAATGTTTAAAAATTCCTTCAAAGTCTTTTTCTTATTTTTCTCTATTTTGAACATTTAAAAAATGTTTCAGTTTTGATCTAGTTTTCTGTTTGATAATATTTGGCAGGTGTCACACTCAGCGCCTTGTCATTTCCGTTACAAATTAACTAAAATGTCAGTAATAAAATAATCATGTTGGAAAATTACTTGATAGAAATTTGCATAATTTTCGTCCTTTTGGTCTTGTTGTACTTTTTCGTCAGTTGGTTTTGTCGATGTAACACTAACGAAAAAATGCTTTGTACGTACGGCTACAGCGACTCCGATGGTAAGTCTCCTCCAGCCCCAAACCGAGCTCAACCCCTCATCCCCTCATCCCCAGGCCCCAACACCTGGAAGTACCGCTTCCAAATCCGCGGCGAAAACCAGTCTCCCATCAACATCCTCTCGGTGTGCGCTGTCGTCGTCCCTGCTGAGACCATCGCCCCTCTGGACTTCACCGAGGAGTACCACATCACCCCCCAAGACATGAAACTGCTCAACGACGGCTACACAGGTATCAAACTCCTGTGAGTTATTCGGAATGTAACACTGGGGCCCAGTTGTGATTTACAGCACTTGGTCCAGTGGCCAGAAACCAACGGTTTGTGGGGGCCCCTTATGCGACGAGTACAAACTTTTCAGCATGCGTTTCCGGTGGGGCCCCAACGACGAAGAGGGCTCCGAACACATGATTGATATGAGGCGATACGCCATGGAACTCCAAGTCACTTATAATAAGTGCTCGTGCAAGTGCACAGATATGGTCAAATCGATCAAAAGTTGTGCTGTTATCATAATTAGTTACATGTTTGAAGTGCGTCCACTTTTGCAAAAACCACAATATTATTTATTTATTTTTCAGGTGACTGAAGTCGATAATCCGTATCTTGAAACAATAATACACGGTTTGCGTCACATACAAAACCCTTGCTGTAGTTATTACATCAGACCGGTTCCGGTCAGTTTGGTAGCCCCCATGTTTACTCGACGATATTTTTCCTATCTTGGTTCCTTGACTTATCCTCCGTGTACTGAAGGAGTCCGGTGGATTATTCAACCGGAGCCTTTGACTATTTCGGCACACCAAATTCGACAATTCCGACGACTGATGGGCTTCAATGGGTATATTTTGAATAATACGCGACCTGTACAAAATGCTAATAACAGAGACGTGATTTTTTATGAATAAAAAGCGGCGAAAATTTGGTTTAAATTGTCTCGTGTAAGCGTTTGAATAAATTATGCACTGTGGTGGAACAGTTTTTTTATGTAGTTTGAAAAGTCGAGTCCCAATTCCAATTTTTCTCCAAATCATCAATAATGAATGAGTTTCTTTTATGAATTTGAATTAAAATTTAAAAAATTAAATTAAAAAATAAGGCAATAAACAAATTAAAAATTTTAAGAAGCTTCCCGTTTGGAAGTTTCAATGCGTGTAAAAATAGTTATTTAATAAACAAGTGTATTAATCGCTGATTAATACAAAAATCTATTTCACCCCAATTTCTAAAAGATAAGAGTTTTCCAACGCTTTTTAGTATAGATAATCAAATATACAAGTATCCAAGGTAGAGTGTGATAAAGGCTAAAAGTACACTTCTAGGGTGTCGTATGACCAAAAAGAGAATTTTTGGATCAGTGTTGTGTAAATTTGCTTTATTATTGCAATATTTGGAAAAGGATTAAAATAAAGGACATCATTTATTAAAATTGGATTACGCAGCCCTAAACAAAAGCCTTTTACACCGGATCTGTTACGAAATGGATTTTGTGCTGTTTTTGAGGAAATTACATATTACAATAACGAGTTAGTCTTAGTCAAGCTCCCGTCCGAACTACTTGAATTGTAATAATTGTCCGGATAAATTATTACTTATTCATTGATTCGGTGCAAAATTGTGTTGAAGCTGTACACACAGTGAGTGTGATGTATTTTCGAGTGCCTAATAGACATTTAGTAGCAGAGCGCGATTTTTAAAATTTTAAGTGATTAGCAGCTGCCAATGGAAGAAGTCTTTGGAGAAATGGTCGAGACAATTGTGCTACAAGGATCCGGATTAAAGGGTAAGTCAACAATACCTTTTGATTTTTTTTTAATTACACTTATTAAATTTCATTTAATATTGTCAACTAATTTAAAAATTAAACTAATTTTGTGTTTCTTTATTTTTAGTAGATCCGTTCCATGAAGAAGTGGGAAATTGCTACAAAAGGTAGCAGAAGAAGATGCCATATAAGGTCAGCGCATTTTAATTTTTTTTTTGTTTATTGCAAAGTGAAGTGTGTGAATTTGTGATTTTTAGTGCAATAGTAATTATTTATTTCATTATGAATAGAAATTAGTTGTGGATTATAATGTCTTGTTTCCCAACTTCTTTTTCAAAATTTTTAGAAAACGAGTGCAAATTTATTTTTATAATAATTTTAACCGAAAAATTGTATCTTCTGTCTATATGCAGCAAGAACAATTGTGACAAAAGTCTGTGTACTTCTAACTTTTACCCTACTTTAACGGAATAGAAATTGTTTTGAGACTATACAACCAAATATACACTGTAGGAAATTTGACATGAAATTGTACTTTTTTTTCTGTGCTATTTTTGAAATGTATTATACTAATTATTCGCAATCATACTGTAATTTGTCAATTTCATAGCATGACAACAGCTGGGAACTAGATGATTACTGAAACTAAATAATAATAATTTAAAAGAAACATTGTAAATAAAAATGTAAGAGAGAGATCCTGTTGAAACTTTAGTTGTTCCACGTCCCACGCGGAATTATAATATTGAAGCACTTTTTTTTTAAATTCTTACACTAAAAACTTCTTTTTATTTTGTCACGCAATAGATTTACGAGCTCTAGAAGTACGTATTTAGAGCCCTATAGTAAAAATTAAAAATCCTGTGACTCAGATACTCAGAATTTCGGCTTTGTTTAAAAACGTACAGTAAAAAAAGTTTTTTGATAGTTCTTTGTTGTTGAACTAAATGAAATAAAACAAGTCGACTGAAAATAGGTTTATTTGCATAATAATTTGGTTACATAAACATAATGTTACAAAAGTTATGTAATAATACTGATACTATTCGCTCATTTTGTGTGATCTTGCATAAATGACGTCGAGTTTTTTATGAGCCGGAGGCGTTTGAATCGGCCGGACATTTCTGACAATGTTGTGTCTTTCACAAGGGGTCGATTTCATTTTCCTGAACTCTGAAACCTGGGAAAAAAATAGAGAATTTTTTTTGCGGTTTTTATCTTACTTGTTCACGTGAGACGTGAATAGGAGTCGGATAAATAATCCAAGTGACACTTTCGGTGTATGGTTCTGTTGTCAGAGACCCTTGATAAGTGTAATAGCCCTTGCACTGGGCCGCTTCTCTGATCCAAGTCAAACAGTCTGGAAAAAAAAAATGAGAAATTTTTTTCGGATTTGGATTTAGTTACATTACCACTGGGAAGACTGGTCGTCGAGTTGATTTTATCAATTTTTTTCACCGCTTCTGTCATTTTATTAAAACAAGGATGTTCGTCATCATCTGTCGCTTTAAGAAAAAACGCCACAACGGCCAATCCATCATGCTTATCAGCTGCGTTTTTAAAATCCCCATACTTTTTATTGTAATGCACAGCATGTGCCTCCATCGAGAACCTAAAAAACCGTCATAATTGCCTCAATACCCTGCCAAAACACTCACACTTGGCCTTCGAATATATGTTCACATCCGCTGTGATCATCATCACTCCAATGGAAATGCAATTGTTCGAATATGTATTGGTCCTCGTGTAAAGGGCCCCCGACCAAGACCGGCATTTCGCGGTTTTGGAACCGGAGAGTTGCTAAAATTTTCAAAGTTGAAGAGCGATTTTTGCATAGTAGACCCCACCTGTGAACCCGTTGTTATTCAAAGTGGCTTCGCCCCCTTGATCCCAATGCCCGTGGAATTCCAAAGGCTCGAAGTGGTCGTATTCGTTGGTCTCGTCGTGTTTGAGCTCGATGGGGGATTGGACCTTGTGGAGGCGCCATTCAGGGACTGTTATATGAGCGTCTTCGTCGGCTGAAATCGGGAAAAGGGGAATTTTAGCGCAATTTAAAAAAATATTCTATGTCCTAGATTTTTTTTATTTATTTTTTGTAGTACATACATAAAATTCTAATAAATGAATTCGGCAAATAAAAGTTTATCTAATAAATTACAAGCTATGTAAATTTAAACATTTCTACACAGTACCTATTTTTATAGTCGCATTAAAAAAAATCGTGAAACAGTTTTATAGTGCATTGTTACCAGTTTGGTTCAAAACAAACTCACTATTTTGTAAATTGGTGACTTTGTACAAAAATCCTGTATTAGGGCAATTTTTATTTTTAAAAATGTGTACTGTAAATTTGTTTACATGTGACAGCATCTGAATTGCAACCACCTTAATGTTATTTATATTTTGTGCTTTTTAACTTGACAAGGTATGAAAAAAGCTTGTTGCAACAATAAGTATAAGTAAGGGGTTCTTGTTGGCCCATGAAAATGAAATGAAAGAAGGCGGATTAAAAATAAAAAATCTCTAAGTACACGTTTTTATTTTAAATTAAAATAAGAGATCCTAATTAAACATAAAAAAAATCTAATTAAGTCACAAAAGTAACAAAAAACAAAATAAATTTTTAATACTTTTTATTGTTACAAATTTAAACAGGAGATGAATATTCATTTTTAAAACATTTTTTTTTATGAACATATATCGAAAAATGCTACGCAAGGGGTGCGTCTTTTAATAGTTTATTTTTCAATATTTCCGAAATCATTTTAGAAAAAAAATTCAAAATTTGCTACAGATGATAACTTTTATACACCTAAACAAGTACAAAAATAAAATGTATTTTTTAATTAGGTGCTTCCTAAACTAGATGGGATTAGGGTAAAAATTTACTCTAACTATTTTTCCTGTGGTTTCTTGCCACTTTCAGCAACAAAATTTCATAGTTTTTCATAAAAAAAGGTCTTTTGTGTTTTTCCGATACAATTTACGGATTTTTTTGTAAAAATCGGTTTAAAAATTTATGTTACAGACCATAAACAGCATAAAAATTAAAAATTAAATTTGTTTTACCGTTTAGGACGCCTCTGATTAAAAATTTTGTTATTTGGCATTTGTTTGGGTGTACATATAAAGGTACCAAATTTTATAATTTTATCTATTCTGAAATATTAGGAAAAACCCTTTAAAAAACGTACCTATTTTAGGGGGTGTAGCTCCTTTTCATAGCATTTTTCAAAACACTTTTATCTTAAAATTTAATATTCTATTAACTATTTAAATTTGTACCTAACAATAAAAATGAAACACTGTATAATTAACACATGAAAAATTAATTCACAAAAATTTAAAATCAACTCATTGAAATAACAAAAAAACTAAATTTTTAACACTTTGAACCCCCTAAACCCCCCCTTGGGTACGGCCCTGTACAAAAGTAAACCGAGAATTCTCTCCTGAGTGTCGAGTAAAAAACAGACAGAAAATGAGCACGGAATACCCTTTAAATAGACAGAAATTTTAAAGAAAATATGGACTTTTCACTAAAATTTGTGGTTTCGTAACATTTGGAATATTTACAGATAAAAAAATTTAAATTCATTATAAATTTCATTTTCAAACGTTTTCGTTAATTTTCAGCAGAAAAGAATGAAAGCCGTAATATTAATTTTGTTGTGGTTTCTGAATTTTTTTAATTACTTCCATTTTTTCTTTTCGTATTAGTTGTATCATTTATTTCACTTGAGTCCTTGTTTACAAAGATGCTATTCATCATCCTGACGATTTTCTTTCTCATTCACTTTTGTTTTCGTAAATTTTGCCAGTTTTATGATTAATTTACAAAAACTTATATTTATCTGAAAATTTGTAGAAAATGTCACCTTCAGACTTTTTTTTCATCGAAAGAAAATACTGAAAAATCTATAATTCCAGATTAATTTTGTATCTCAAAATCAACTACTTTTTCTAATATTCCCCAAAACTTATCTTTTTAAAAATCGATCATTTTGAAATCAAAAATTCAACCGTACTCTGAACACAGAAATGATGGTCTGCCGGATCTAAACAGTGAAAAGTAAATGTAGTTTTAACCTCGCGTTTGCATAAGCAAGCCTGTAATCCTACAAGGGCTACACTTTTAAAGACTTTAAAAACTGTTTACATTCTAAGTTAAGCTCTAAATACATAACAAATAAAAGAATAAATATTTCCAAGAAAATAGAAAATATTTTCCAAATGCAATAAATACATTCAGAATCAACAAAGAATTGAATTAGTTTGTTCAAAAAATAAATAGTTTAAGCAGAAAACGTTGATTCCATACTTTTTGTTCACCTGGTATAAAAAATATTACTTTATGGACTCTATACCAAAAATTACTCTATTTCAGCTATTTCCGAATGATTTATTAACACACGTTTTTGTGCCAGAACCTCACTTAAAAACTAAAATTCCTTGTATTATAGTGAATTATTACAAATTAAAAAATCGTCAGTTAACCTCAGGTAGTTTCCCCTCTAGGTATTGATGGGAATTTTGTTAAAATCGATTAATTTTGAAGATTGATAGGATGATAATCTCCTTTATTTCATTGCTGAGATATTTAATTAACTCACAAAAGTTTCCTACTTTAAAATCTGGGAAAATTTTAGTTTTCCATTGTTTGACTAAATTAATTCAATTAAAGACCAATATTTATTGAATTTTACTGACCCAATATTTATATTTTCAGCGTTATTGTGGTCAATTATTTATTCATGGTACTAAAATAGTGATCTATGTATAATAATTTTATGGTTTTACGCACACTTTTTATCATTCAAAGGCAAGCGATAGAAATAAAAAACTTTGATAAAGACACATTGAGCAAAATAATTTTTTGGTTTGAATTCGTGCGAATTCCATTCTCCCTCCTGAGGGTCTCTGTGGCAATATTTAATCTGAGTAATCCCCCTTGTCACTGATAAGATAATCGCCGGTGATACATTACAAACCCACTTGAAAGACACCGTAATTTATCAAAAAAAAAATAATAATAACGGCGCGAATACCATTTTTCTCTATAAAATTTTTAACTAACAATTAGGAAATAATATTTAATATTTGCCACCGCGTTAACGAAACTAATTAAGAATAATTTAACAAAAAAAATACCATTTTGAGCGAAATTAATTTCTTCCGGTTCGCACAAACACTCACTTTTCGTAACACCAGCAATCACAGGACCGGTCATTTTTGCTTTTATGTGATTATAATTACGTGGTGAATGGTTAACCGCCGGTAAACTAAACTTGACCATAACCGAGTTGTGGTTTATAAGTGTCATTGGCATCACTCAGTCGCGGTTGCGCACGAAAGAAGACACATAAATTTAAAAAATGATATATGCCTACGTAAATAAAGATTTTGTTGATAAATAGTGAAAAAATGTCTACACTGTTGCGTCAATTGTCATTCCGCGAGATGAGATTTCCAGATAAATATTTATCCGGAGTAAAGTACAAAAAGTGGAGTTCCTTAAATGATTTATTCATTAATTATCTATTTGCCTTGAATTTATTTATGGCTTTCATGGTAGACACCGTAAAACAATGGATTAATGCTGAATTTTTATGCTAATTTAATCTCACTTTGCCATGAAAAATTATTACTGTATTCAACAAAAACAAATAATTGTTGTGGAAGTTTTACCAAAATTAGGTCAAAATTAAATAAATTAAACAATTGTGTCCACTGTTGTTGAGTCACCAATTTACTTTCCATGTGATACAATTAAGGAAACACGTGATTGCGAAAAAAGAATTGGTCAAGGTCGGAAAGTACTCACAAAGTCATCTAAACCGAAGATGACCTAAAGCAAAAATTGAAATAAATTATCACAAAAACGTGGTGATTACAACTTGAGGTGGTCAAGATTTTTTACACTTACTCAAGCAGAAACAATAAAAAACACGTTCACCTTGTAACAAATCAATTCACATTTTGTTAAAAAATTCGATTTTTACTACAATTGAAACAATGCATGAATCAATAAAATGTGTAAATGGGATATATGAAATATTCAGCGACTCACCTGAACCTTTAGCTTCCATTTTTCGAAACTTCTGGTCGTTCGTATTGAGATCAAATTTGTGCTTAAAATTTACGAGTGATAAATATGTCTAAAAAGGCAAACACTCTGTGAAAATGGAGTTGTGGGAAACGAGTATTGATATTGGACTAGATAAGGGATAAATAATTGAAAAATGTAAATGAGTTGGCTAGGAGAGGAAAAAGTCAATAATGGTTTTTATTAATTTCTTTATTTTTGATCTTGTGGTTTAACTTCATTCAACGTCGGATACGAAACCACACACTCAAACGACTCTAAAGTGTCAACAAGGGCATCAACAGCGTTCTCCAAACACGAATAAACAATCAAATATTGTTTATATTTATAATCCTCCGACGCATCTTTCGACAATTTCTCTTTTTTGATTCCCCGATTGTCGACGACTTCGTCCTCACTTTCCGAGACGTAGAAAAACTGTTCTTTGTACGGATTGAAACTTTCAACCGAAATTTCCTTTTTGATGTTTTCTTTCGACTCAACTTTCTTCTTTTTCTTCCCTTTATCAGTTTTATTTGTCTTTTCCTTCTTCTCCTTATTACCGCCTTTATCTTTTTTTTTCTTGTCTTTATCACCTTTCTTTTTCTTCTCTTTATCACTTTTTCCTTTCTTCTTCTCGGTTTCACCGATAGTTTTATTGAAATAGATCGAATACAAAGCTTCAGCGTCGTCACTCGCCACCTCTTTCAAAATTTTCGGTTTCCTTTTCGCATCATACGGATAAATCTCCCTTATCGGGACAGTGGGAATATAATGATGCTCGAAATACTCATAAACCAATCTTTCGGGAAGTTTATTGATCGGCAAAAGTTTGTTTTTGACTCGAGGGTAAGTTCTAGTCGAACTTAAACCAATTTCAAGTTCAAGTTCGTTTAATAAGTAACACATTTTATCAAAATACGAACTTAAAACAGAATGACACGTGAAATATTTCTCTCTTTGTGTGTTAATAATGACAGGGGAATCTAATTTCCGAACCACCTCCCAAACTTGTGATTGGTTTGAATATTCGTATGGTTCGGGTTTAATTTTTGGTTTAATGGTTGTTTCTTCGATGTGCTGAGAAGTTGAGGATTTACTTGATTTTGTTTTTTTGGCAGATTTCTTGTCACTTTTCTTCTCTTTTACTTTTTTCTCCTTAACTTTCTTCTCGATTTTTGGGGGCTCTTGAGCTTCCTTCTCAATTCTTAAAATGTGCTCAACCAGTTCTAACATTTTATTGTCAAGGTAAATAATCGTATCTTTACGATGCGCTAATTTTGTTAAATTACAAACGGAAAAGTCCCACTTTCCGCTCGACTCGACTTGATCATAAATTTGTTTCAATTCTGTTACCAATTTTTCGTCATAGAGGAATTGTGGTCGTCCATTTGAAAAATTCGCTAATTCGAATAATTCTTTCTCTCCGTAAACACAAACTTGAGTTGGAGTCTCTTTGTAATGAATTGTTTTCAAACAATCATCCAAGAGATTTTTAATTAGTAAATTTCTAGCTTGAATTTCAATATATTTCAACGTTGTGTCAATTTTTTCTTGTAAATCTTTGAAATATGAATAAGAATTTAAAACCAAAATGAGGTGAAAATCGTCGCTCCACAGGGCCGGCTGTGTGAAAATTTCCCAATTTTCCGAATACGTCCCTGGCCGGTCTGTTGTAAACCAGATGGGAATTGTCGCTCTCATTCCGGGCAAAATTACGACCTGTTTCCGGTCAAAGTAAAACCCAAAATTTTTCCTCGACGCCTCCTCTACATCCCGGAACAAGCGAAACCTTTCCAGTTTTTCAAAACTAACTCTCATTGTTGCCAACCCACAATTATCAAAAATTAAACACTGAGAAACTGACTCGTCGCTCGAAAGATCTAACTCGAAATTCAACCAAATTTTCCTTGTCCCGTGGTCTTGGCCAACATCAAGCCCATTAATTTTCAAATCGAGACGTTTCGCCTCTTTTATGACCACCTTAGTGACTTCTTTTATTTCAACTTCGCTAACTTGTTTTGTTAGACTCGCTACGTCCACTTGATCTGTGGGCTCCTCCCACGCAATCTTCGAGCCAATCACAACTAAGTGCTCCAAATCGGGCCAATGAGGGACGATATGTTCGACTTTCTTCGCCCACTTGACGAACTGTTCGTAGCGATACTGACTGTTTTGCCACCGTAAATAAATGTTCCTCGTGCCGTTTAAAATATTTTTTTCGGTTCGAATCTCGGTTGGTACTCCTATATGGTCAATGGGGGGTATTTCGTACCCTTCTTTTTTGGTTTTCACGGCGAAATAATCAGGCTCGCACGGGCAACAAGGGTGTTTCCGGGGGAGGGCAAATGGGAGGCGCCAAAAATCGGGTTTTCCCCGGTATTTGTCGAATTCAGTCGGGATTTTTGCACTGTCCAGGACTTGTTTTTCCTCGTTTATGTTTCGGAGACCTTCGGAGTAGTTCACGAGGAGGTTTCCGGGTTCTAGGTGCAATTTTTCGGCGAGTTTTGACTGGACTTTTCGCCATTCTTGCGTCCAAGATGACCAATTTTTCAGCGGATTTTCGACTTTGTCACAATTTTCGTGGTCGCCTGACATTTTATTTTCACATGTCAAGTGTCAACAAATTTCTTGTGCTATATCAATGGACGGTGAGACCGCAGCAAAGGTAGAAAAGCTTTTTATTCAAGGAATTTTTCAGGTGAATATCTAGCCGATGGTCCCCGCTTTATTCAGACACTCACCGACACTGAAACCGTCTACGAATCACCCATTGACATAAACATAAGCAACGCAAAGGAGATACAAGTGCCCCCCTTGACTTGGCACAATCTAGACTTGCCCCCCAAAAAAATGAAAGTCACAAATTCGGGCTACACTTGTACTTGCCCCCCCACAGATTATTAATTTTTTCAAAGTTTTTTTTCAGTAATATTGAGCGCAAAATGGCACCAAGAGAGGCCCTACCTTTCCGGAGGACCCCTCCTGGGCAACTACGTTTTCTCCCAATTGCACTTCCATTGGGGTAAAAACGATGGAGAAGGGAGTGAACATACCATAGATGGGGTCCGGTACCCCATCGAAATGCATGTGGTGTTCTTCAAAGCCAACTACCTGACCCAGGAATCGGCTTTAAAAGAGAAAGACGGTATTGTGGTCCTTGTTTACATATTCAAAGTAAGTGTAAAAATTGAATAACGCTAGGCATACCTGATTTAGCTTCAAGGTGCTAAAAATGAGGCGTTTCAACTCTTGATTAACAATATTATGGAAGTCCAAAAACCGCACACTTCGCGCAAGTTGGAGCCTTTGCCTTTGAGTCATTTTGTGAAGAGGTTTGATCAGGATTATTTGTTGTATTGGGGTTCGGTGACCACCACTGTGTGTCTTCACTATATTTTGTGGTTGATTTCGCGAGAACCGGTGGGGGTTGCAGCTGAACAAGTGACGATCGAGGACGGGAGGAATTCTTGGTGATTTTGTGAGTTTTAGGTTGATGAATTGAGGTCGATGTTGGATGCCAATGAGGAGCTTTTGCAAGGAAATTTTCGGGAGGTTCAATCCGGGAGGTCTCAGGTGTTTCACGCGAATCCTTCCGGGTCCAAATATGCAACACTGCTTGCTCTGCCTTGATGTAATCAAATAATTTTCGTTCGGTATTCTTCTTTATTTAGACATGTGTAAATTTTCTAATGAAGTTCTAGTATATACATATTGCATTATACAACGTTTGTACATAAATAAAGATTACATTAATCAGGTAGTGCTTTTTTGATACAAATTATCCTACAGTGATTGTCACTTCCCTAGATTTCCTTTTGTTTTAAATTGCAACAAAATCAATATTGCATTTACTTAGTGGTAGTGCAGAACCAAATAAATCCAACATCAAACTTTTATTGTCCTAGATTCTTTTGTTTAATTACAAAAAATGAATTATTCACATTTTTGCAAATTAAAAAATATATACAAAAAACATTAAAAAGTAAATTAACAACAATAGACTTAAAGTCGTGATAAAACTACAATTTGAAAATTTACAATGCGTACAAATAAAAAAACTTATAAAGCGCACACAAGATGCTAAATTCATACATATTGCACGGCAATCAAAAAACAATTATAAATACATGAAATTGATCACTCCGACTTAGTTACTACTTAAAAATAAATTAATCTAACGACTTAAAACAACAATATTATACAATAAATAAATTTCTGCCCACAATGAAAAAAACCCAATTGTCTGAAATAAATTATTTCAAAATTAACTATATACAAAAAATTCTCTATAAGGTCGGGGAAACAACGGTATCGATTTGGTCCCTAACCCTAAGCCACTGTCCTTACGACACTATGTAACAAAATATATAAATGCACATTTATCCTACGTTACTCAAAGATTACAGTTTATCAAACATAACTATGGAATGCTTTTATAAAATGTGAATGGCACTGCAAACAGTCTGCTTTAAACTTGTTTTCTGTCAACGGTATTTACATAATTCAATATAAAATTAATTCATCCACTTGCGACAATTCGGGGCTCCACACATACAAGAGATTTTGTGTTGGTCGTCTTCAATATCAAACTTGTAGTCATACGCCAGCTGAAAGCAATCATTACACAACTAATCACACTAAAAAAATCACCCACCTCCTCCCCTCGTTGTATTCTCCTTTTCGCAAATATGATAATCCGGTAATCCCTATCAACCTCAACAGTTTCAGCGACACAATTCGGGTTACAAGAGTGGTTGATGTAACGAGCCAAACCTCCGCTAAGTGTAGCATCAACCACCCTTTCCTCGTCCAATCTAAACATGTAAATTCCACGATTCTGAAACGGCAATTTAGAGATTACAACAAAACAAATAAAAATTCATACTTTAGCCTCGTATTTCTTCTCTCGGGTTTCGGCAAGCTCCGTTCGAATTATTTCACCGATATATTCGATAACCATGGTGTGCTTCTCCAAATCGCGGGCCGCATACAAACCCAAACCCTGAATTTTTGACCTAAAATTCATAAGTAGAAAAAATAGTACAAGCAACTCGTGTGAATTACCTCGCCAAGTACACGTTATTCCTCCATTCCTGCTTCATTTTCTTATACTGCGAGCTTTTCGAATGCACGAACTGTTTCGTATAGGGACAGGCCCCATCCCCTAGCGTATTATTGTTAGTGAGGGCCGGCGTAGGCCCGAACAGAGGTCTCACCGACGACCCTCCCGTCCTCTGCGTATGCGGCCTCTTCCAATGCAGTTGACTCCTCGATCTGGGCTCAGTCCGCGCCGCCCCCGATGGATTTATAGCCAACGGTAATTCCAACAACGGATTTCTCCCATATTTGAATTTATAATCCGTCAAAGTTTCAATCCCTGGAAGACTCTCTAAAACTCGCACGACGGCCGGTTCAGTTAAACCGAACAAGTCTTCGCCACTCACGAATTGCGGAAATAATTGAACGCACTGATTTTCGCGACGCATCACTGCGATTTGTTCGAGGATTCGTTGCCAGACGGCTTTAGGAGTAGAGTCTTTGAACTCAACGTCGTTTTCGAGTGTTTCTTGAACGATCACTTTAAATTCGGGTCTACCACAAGCCTCATGAATAGAACAAATGTACTTGCAGCGTTTGTTTAAGTGACGCATACTCCAATAAAATCTAATAATTTTGTAACCGATCGGATAAATATAATTCTGGTTGTGAAAATTTTGTAATTGGTGAGGTAACAATTGTCCAACATTTAAAAAAATCAAACTGCCAACTCGTAGTAAATTACTCGTATCGCTGTGATGCATCACAGTTGCCACTTGTCGGTTTTCATCCCTGTTGACGTAAACCCTCCTCGATACTGATAAAGTCGTCAATTCGTTATCTTTCTCATTTTTCGGAATATGAACAGTACAATAGGTCGTTTTATTTTTATAAAAGACACAGCAATCTTTAACAGCACATGCTAAGTGGTAGACATTGGAGCATCGGGTTTTGAAACAACGAATCGTAGCTCCTAATTTATTACAATGGACACAAATTTGTGTCAAACTTTGTTGTAACGCATTTTCCAGATTCATCAAGGCTCCATTTACGGTCTCGTAAACCCCATCTGACCATAAACCACAATTTAAATGAACCCATTTATCCACATCAAAATTAAGTAGCCGACCAGGACCATCAGCAACGCCATCTCCGATACTTTGACAAAACATACACTTCCGAAAGTCTTCGGGTAACTTCGGCGGTGTCACTGTAATCCCCATCCGATACAACAATTCCATCGTTTCTTTATCAGTGGGTTTTTTGTATTTCATCGGTGGTTGGAGACACCCAGGAGTCCAACTTTTGTACCTCACACCTTTCCAGACTTTGGGTGTGTTTTGGTCATATCGTCTCAAACTAATAATATCTGTCGGTTTATTGAACAACGAATGCGACTTCAAGTCAACATCCATTGAATCAACTTCACGTTTCACGTATTGTAGTTCCATTTCGACATTGTCCATGAAATTTTTACGATGTTCAGAAAATGATCGTTTGTTCGCTTCGGTTTTGTCTTTTTGGCATAAGTGATCAATGATTGCGGCCGCTTTATCTTCGGGGATAGATGGTGAACGGTGCATTAGAGCAAATTGCATGTAACAGGTGGTACTACAGAAGAATAACTCGTCGCCGTCGCTTAGTAATTCCGAGTCTTTGGATAGGAAAGGTAGTTCGGAGACCTTCTTTCGGATCATGTTGTTGAGGATGACCACATCGCAATGCTTGCAGAATTTCGCGGCACCGTTGAGAATACTCTGAATATCAATAGGGGCTACAAATGATAAAAACAAGTTGTTCAATCCATGTAGTAACAATTTTCTTTCCAACTCACCTCCCTCTTTTCCATCCTTCCCTTTCGTCCTATACAACCCCAATTTCTGGCTCGGTGGAGTACTCGTCCTTTCGACAATCTGGTAACTCGTCGGCGCCGGAATGTGCAAAATATTGGCTAAATCGCGTAAAACTCCCATAATGTCTTCAGCAGCAGACGAAGTCAATGTCAACGTCACTGTTACATTGCCTGAATCTTTCAAAGGTGTTGCTGAACCAGACCCAAACTTGGATTTTAAACACACATCTCTACCGACATTCTCCTTATCCTAGAAAAAAAAAATTACAATTATTATTCCCCAAAAATCGCAAACTCACCTCTGTATAATCCTTCAAATACGGCCCTGTCGGTTTCAATCTAATCGGAATCGGTGCTATAATCGGCACCACTGGTGATAATCTCATCTTGGACATATCTTCCTCTTCTTCATCCTCATCTTCATTTATCAGTTTCAAACCAAGGAATTTATGGGGCGGTTCCGTAAACGGACACTCCGGTGAGGAGCTACTTATGATCGAATCCGGTGTGTCGTCCCTACTGAACATATCGAATCTTTTTTCTTCTTCGGCATCGAATTTAATAAGCGGAAACTCCTGATCGTAGAAGCCTCGTTGTGTTGAAGCAGGAGGTTTTTCAGGCAATGGATCTTTATCACCATAGGGTTGAGTCGTGTAAAAATCGGAATAGCCAGGCATGCAGCCTTTGCCATACTCGCCTTTCAATTCTCCAAACCTCGAATCATAATCATTCACTGCTAATTTACCCATATCGCTGCCAAAAACCGGACAAATACTGAAATTCCGGTTGAGGATTGGTTCGGAGACCACCATGGGTGGCAAAGTTCTCAATTGGGCCAATACCCCGTCAATGTAAGTATCATAATCCTCGTCGACTTTCGAGCTTTTTCGTGGCCGTTTTTTCGGCTGACCGATCGCTTCTTTATTCATAATCTGATTCTGGCGTCTCTTCTGTTGATACATCCTTCTTTTCTGTCTCTTTAACTCTTCTTTCTCCGACAACATTTTCTCAGTCATCGGATCCAACGAATCGATCTCTTCTTTCATGGGAACATCCGACCGACTTTGATCCGAAACTTCGGAATGTTGCGATGTTTCATCGACGTATTCTTTTTTCACTTCTTGTGACATTTGAATCTGTTGTGGTATTTCTTTTTTGACAATCAATGGTGGTGTTTGGAGACTTGAATCTTGGCTGCAGGACGATCGAGGTGTTGGAGGTGATAATAAATCATCACGACTGGGGGTCCGACTCGGTGGCATACATTTTTTAATATCAATATGCAATTGTTGTGTTGTTGATGTTTGTGGAACCACCGGACTCGAAACAAACGATGTCTCGCGGGTCATTATTTGCATTTTTTGTGGCATTTTTGGTGTTTCTTTAACCACTGGTGGTAAAATCGACGCTTTTAATTGACTCTCAAGAGTCGAAGTAAATTGAATTGGGGCAGCTACGGTGATAGACGCCGCCGCCGCCGAACTCGGGGGTGGTGTCTGAGTACTAGCACAAGCCGTGTTTTGTAACAATTTTTTCAACAACGCATTTGAATCCTCACTTCTAGTAGTCGACGCAATTGTTGTTTGTAAACAAGAGTGTTTATAGTCACCTTGTTTGTTTTTATCATCAATGTTTGGTTCAGTTTCGGTTTTACTCTCCTCAGTTGATTCATCAAGTGATTTATGACGCATCACTTTAGTTAATTGCGTATGTAACAAATTCGTATTTGTCGTAGTCGCTTTAAAACTCGACGTTGTTGTGACCATTAAATTATTACAAGTGGCCGGTGAAACAACAATTGGTTGTGCTTGTACTAATGATGTACTGACACGTGATAAACCGATCGAAGTACCCAATAAACTTGCAGCTGTTATTGTGTCGGCACTTGTTTTCGTTGTAGGTACAGCAGCCGGATGTGACTGTAACATTTCGGTTAACGAACAAGTCGTTTTGCGAGTCGTAGTCTCACTTTCGGTTGTAACCGGTGTCACTACTGGTGTGACTCGAGGTAATTTCGGATGGTCGGGCATTAATTGAATTCCGGAACTACGTGGAACAAAAGTGATACCAGACGTTGTTATTTGTATACTAGTTGTAGATGTTACAGTCGTGGTTTGCGTCCGAACTGGTGATTGGACAATCGGTTTTGGTTTCATATTTGGTACTATAACTGTACTCGTGGTCACTTGTTGAATAACTCGAGGTGTTACGACCGGACTTGTTGTTAAAACAGGTCCCGTACTTACTACACTTTTAACTACAGTTTCGACGTTATTTGAAGATGTCGCTGCAGTTGTATGAAGTGATAAAAGGGTGCGTAATTGTTGAGAGGCGTTCGCCATATTTGTTGTTAAGTCGGTAGGTTGTGATAAGGGAGACAATTGAGGAACAACTGACGGTTTGGTGATTTGAGGAGTTTCAACTTGGGTTGATTGAGGTGTCTCTTTCAATTGCTCTTGTTCAATTGTCACATTTTTACTATCGCCACTCATAAGTTTATCTTTGATGTTATCCTCGAGAACGGTTGGTGGTTCTCCTGTAATGTTCTCAATCATGTCTAAAACATCCTCAAGTGACTCAAACTCTCCCGGCATACCATTCCCATCTCTTCTCCTATTCTCCAAAGCTTGTAAGGCTATATTATCCAACATTTGTTCCTGAGATGGCGTTGGTGATGGTATTGATATAACTACAGATTTTGTATCATCAGACGCGCCTTCGAAACCATCAACTGTTTCAGTTGCGGTTATCTGTATTCCTGACTGTGACTCTTGTATGACTTGAGCCGTCATTTTCAATTCTGGTGTGTTATGAATTATAACCGGTGACGAAGTTTTTGCTATAACCGGACTGGATGTTTTCTGTTCTTGTGTTTTCACACTAGTTACGTGAACGTTTTCAACTTCATTTTCATTGGTCGGTTTCGGTGATTCTTCTTTAGTCACTAGTGATGTTTTAGTTTTTTCTTCAATTGGTGGCGAATCGATTTTTGATTTTTCATCAGAGGAATCTTTCGATTTGTCATCTTCGCAATTTGAACTGTCGGGCGAGACTGAATCATCCTCGAAGATTTTTTTTGGCAAACATGTATCGTGAGTAGTCAACGAAATCGACGATGATGGCTTATCGATAACTTTAACGTTTGGCAATTGTCGTACAGCACTTGCACTGATAACCGGAACTGTAAACCCTGACGGTAATATCGATGCTATTGGTGATGTATTAGCACTAACTATTGTTATAGCCGATGAACCACTTGTTACTAACTTTGGTACGTTTAAAACATTACTCCTCACGGCGCTATGTAAAATGATATTGGTCACTTTTGAAGTGGCAGTAGTACCAACTGTTTTATTTTGAGTATCAACTTTCGATACCGTTACAACCGGTGTTGTTATCAGCGAAAATTTCTGACCCAACTTTGATGTTATCAAACTAGCGACGCGTGAAGTGCTTGTCCCCGAAACTGCCTCACTTTTCGGCGGAAAACTATAAACATTCGTGTATTTATGTATCTCGTTGATGTGTTTTGCAGTGACCATTTCCGGTTTCATGATTTTCTCTTTCCGCGACCCTTCATCGATCAATTCTTCGAAATCTTCTTTGGTTGAAATTTGTTCATCGGGTGATTTAATCGATGGATCAATTATGACAATTTCTGATTCTTCATCTTCATCACCATCGGGTGACGGATCAGTTTGCATTTCCTCTTGTTCGGGTGAATCAGCTGTATCTATACCTCGAATATTATACTTCTTTCCCTTATTTTGCATGATATATTCGTCATCACTCGTTGTCGGACTTCGGATCACTACGTGCATTTTTTCACCAGTGTAGTCTTCCTCCTCGACTTCTTCTTTGTCGGAATAGTGTGTTTCACCATCCCCCGACAAGTCCACAACCATATTCCCCGGAAACAAAAGATACTCGTCGCCGATTTGATCCGATTCTAGTGGACTCGACATGGCCTCGCCCAAATCGCTTTGTGAAAACGTTTCAATCACTGCGATATCATCAGCATCATTTTGTTGTGCTGCTGAACTCAACGACACCTCACCCGAAATCACTGTATTGTTATCATCGTCGTAATCCATGATTTCGTTCATTTGTTTCGCATCCGGACTGTGCACAATCATAACATCCTTAGTGTCGGTCACTTCGGAAATCTTTTTACCGATAGTTTTAACTCGACTTGTGGTCGGAGGGGGCGTTACTGGTGGTGTACATGAACTGTCATCAAACTCGTTATAATCTGTACTGACCAAAGAGCCGACTTTACTGACTGCTAGCGATTGTAAGTTGGTTTTAGCCGGCGATTTGCGTTTCAAAATTGAAACTTTACTTAAATGTGATTCTTTACGAGGCTTAACCGGCAATGAACTTTCCCCGACATTGCTTTTATCGTCTTTGTTAGTCCCAGGTGGCGTTGGTATCCTTTTAGCGCCTCTGCCAAAGGTCCACATAGGGGAACCACCCCGTAAACCTAACTTGAAATAACCGAACCGGCCAAAACCAGGCGGTGCTGGTATTGGGTTATTGTTTGGGTTACCACCGCCACCGCCTTGATCCAGCATATTATCTAAGCTGCCTTGATTTGCAAAAGTGCGTTCAACGCTTCTAGGCCGATCTTGCATTGGGCTACTGTTAGCACTAGGTGGACGTCTCATACCCATCATAGGACTTCGAGGCATGGGTGAACTAGGTGGTTGGTACTGGTTGTGAGTCATCATGGGACTATTTGGTGGTTGGTTCATGTGATAATTATTTCTGGTAACTGGTGAGTTTGGTGTTTGTGGGTTGTTGTTGAAATTCATCATAGGACTTCTAGGTGGCATGGGTGAAGGTGGCATTGAGTGAGGCGACATGATTTGTTGATTGACCATGGGACTTTTAGGAGGCATAGGTGACGCAGGAGCGGCATTTTGTTGTTGTTGCTGCTGTTGTTGTTGATTCAATCTCTGTTGCAACTGTGCCTGAAGTTGAGCAATTTGTTGTTGTTGCTGTTTAGCTAATTGTTGCTGTTGTTGAACCATCATTTGATGTTGTTGTGGGGTCAAAGGTTGCGGTTGAGCTACAGCTTGTTGTTGCTGCTGCTGTTGTTGTTGTTGCAACTGTTGTCTTACAAAATTTCTCTGCTGGATCAATTGAGCCGCCCTCCCTGACGTCAAAATATTCGCCTCTTGACCCTCAATTTTTTGTATCAATTGTTGGTTCATGGTCATTTGTTGCGGCGGTGGACTACTTAATGGTGATGGCGTCCCTGGTTTTTGTTGGTACATCATGGGTGATGGTAACCTTCTCTGGTCCATGGGTGTCCTCACGAATCGCATTTGCGGCGTTCCCGGTCTCAAATCACCAGAATATCCCACAGGACTCGTCACAACACGTTTATGTTGCGGTGAAGTCATCCTGGGCGCCGGTGGGGGTAAACAAATTTGACCTGGGGACGGTGCAGGTCCCGGACTACTGTCACCTTGCGAATGAGGAGTCCCAATTCGGGGCGAGGGTTGCATGGGAGACATTCCGCTGGGGCTCTGGAGAATGTTTGTAACAGATCCGGGACCTGGCGAGTGGGATATCATTGGACTGGGGCTGTGTAAGGGTGAATGTTGAGCGAGAGGCGAAGCCGAGGGCGACATCATCGGCGATTGCGAATGGTGTATCGGTGACGATGACGGCGGACCCAACGGTGATGGATTTTGTTGCATTAAAAGTGGCGATTGGCCGGGACCAGACTGTTTCGCTTGTTGCTTGTTCCGGTATTCCTTCATATAGACCAATTGGGGTAATACAAAATTATATAAAAGTATTTCATTGAAAGACATCTGCTACTTTTTGACACAAATACAGCTACGGACCTACGTGTGCCGGAATCTCGCTCGGTTTTGTATGTATGTGAAAAATTGTAGTCAAATTGATAAATTTCACAAAGCAGTAAATATTACTGTTACGAAACAAAAATATTTTTGTGAAACTCATCACGATTACAACTTTTTCACTACATCGTGTACACATCCAACTACCATCGTGCGATTTTCTAAAAAGAGCAGTGCCTCCTATATAAAATTATAGATACCTGTAATAGCAGTCCGTGCTGACGACTCTGTTTTCGACTTGAATCAAGATGTTTTTGTAAAATCGCCTGTTCTGCTGCAATTCTTTGCAATTCATTGGCGTCGGCATCAGCCAACTGACCTCCAGATTTCCTCAACTGTCTCTGTTTACTATTTAATGATTTTCTCAACTTTCTCAATTTATTCATTTCTGTTTCGTAATATTTCAATTGTTGATTAAGTGTGTTGCTTTGATGACTCAACCACTGTTCGTATACGAGTTGCTTTTGTTTATCTTGTTCCGTAACGATATTTTCTGGAGGTATTGGCGGAGGTGGTACGACGTTAGCATTGAAAGTTTGAACCCGAATTTCGGTGGTGGGTTGAGGAGTCGGAGTTGGAGTTGGTTTAGGGCGATTTTGATTTTGCGACCATTGTTGGACTTGAGCCGGATTTGACACCACTGTATGATTTGAATTAATTAAATTATTCTCAATTTATACATTTTTTGACTTACCTTGATTTTGTCTCGCATTCATAGTGGGACTGCCTAAAACATCAGTGATACGATCGAAATCGTGATCAGTGAGTAATGTTGATTCTTGCTCGACGTTTGCACTACTTGAAGGAGTACCTTCTTGATTGGTTTGATTTTGATTTTGTTTCTCTTGTTCACGTTTTTCTTGCTCTAGCAAATCTTCTAACAGTAACGGTTGTTCCTATTTATGAGAAAAATAAAAAAATATGTTACAATATGAACATTCATTTCAATTTTTTCGTGCATAAAGTTTTCTAGGTTTGAGAATGAGGAAAGACTAATTTCGAATTTAAGAAAACCTACACCTAATTTATTTAAATAAGGAAAAGGCATAAAAAAACAAGTGTCAGCTTGATGGTAAGAGTGGAGGCTAGGCTATGAAGACTACCACAAAAAAATACATGCTGTATTCTTCGATTGTTTTGTTTAATAATAAAGCGGTGAAACTCCTCACTGTATGAAGTAATCTACAGGTGATAATGAACTAAGCGGACGGTGTGATTTTACTTATCATTTCTCTCAATTATTGAAAAGTCATAAAAGGTAAGTATATATTTTGATAAGGGTAATTTTTATCTCACCTCCAATAATAAAGATCTTCGTTGCAAGTGTGGATGCAAAGGTAAACCCTGCGGTCGCATAGGATGTATGTGTCCCAGCGGAAGATGAACAGGCCCCATTCTCAATCCCATCTACCACACACATGCAAGCAACAACACCGTACCTCAACCAAAGTTAGTACTACCAGACCGCAATTTAATCAATTTTAATTTTTATCGAAAATTATCCGCGTAAAATATTTACACAAAATAAAACATGCAACAATTTTAAGATAAGATTTTTTTTTAAAAAACAAAACGCACCGCTTAACCTCGCCCCGCAGTTAAATAAAAACATCCAAAACCGAATAAAACCCATGCTTATCAATCGGAAAACCCCTTACCTGTTGTTGTGGTAGCGCGGTTCCGGGATACGGTGGTGGTGGACCAGGATATGGAGGTGGTGGAGGTGCCGCCACACTCATCCTCGGTCCTGGATTTAAACCTACTGGATTCGTATGCAAAGCTGGAGCCACCGACATCATTCGTGGCACGTTTTGACCCAACCGCATTTGCAGTTTTTGTTGGTTTTGAACTGTAATAAAATAATCTCAAACTTAACAATTAAGAATAAAACCGAACTTACGTTGTGAGACCAATAATCTCTGTTGGTACCCCTGCGGTATTTGCAACTGCACCGTATTATTCACCGTTACGATTCCGATAATCCCATCGGGACTTTGTAATTTCGCACCAAGAGGCATAGGCTTGCCGAGAGCGGCAGCTTGTTGTACTTGATGTACCATTTGTTGGTGAATTTGTTGAGGGGTGAGGTGAGAGGTGATTGCGGTTGGTAATGGATGACCGGTTTGAGCTTGAGATATAGCCAAAGGTGGAGGATGGACGTTGGTATTCGGTAAAGCAGATGACGGGGTAATAACCGATGACACAGGAGGTGTTACATCTTTTTTGATTTGGGTAGGAGGAGTCGGTTTTCCGGTTGATACTTTGGGTAACTCGACTTTGACTTTTTTGTCGTTTTTGATAGGTTCTTCTTCGAGTTCCAAATCTAGAATGTTAGTTTTTTCGCCTGGAAGTGCTTCCGGATCAGCGTATTCGAGAATGTTAAAGTCGGCCCCCATTTCAGCTAAATTAATTAATTTTAATTGAGAATTTTTTACAAAATTTTTAATAATTACCTAATAATTCGTCATCGTCATCTAATCCTCCAAGTATGTCGACTCCTGGCAAGTCTGGCATCGTCCCATTTTCTTGTTCGAGTTTCTCCAATTCTGCTGTGACATTATCAGGAATTTCCTGATCGTTTGATTGATTTTCATTGGATGTACCACTTGATGGTACTGTAGGAGTTTGACTTATCGATGGTCTTTGTATATTAGTCACTTGACTGATTGGCAAACGTGGTGCCATTTGAGGTTCTGTGGCTCTAGGTTGGAAAGTAGCTTGTTGTTGTTGTCGCTGCAACAACTCATATTGTTCGACACTCGTCGGTCTGACAATCCCTGGTGCAAATCTGACAGTACCACCTGAAAACATTTGTTGTTGCGGTTGTTGACCTGGAGCGGCATTCTGTTGTATCAATCTCTGTAAAAACAAAAATCGCATTTATGTTTTTAAAAACTGGACAAAGTGATTAACCTGTTGTTGAATCAGCAATCTCATCCTCGGATCTAATCCCTGAATCCTCGGATCCAACTGCATCCTTAATCCCAAATGCGGTCCCGGCTGTCTAATTCCTCCCGTCGGTAAGGGCAACCTTGGCCTGGCAATACTTGGCGGCAATGGCTGCCTAAATGTTGCATCTCCAGCTGATGTAACCACCGGCGTGGCCTCCTCTTGATTCGGTTCAACCGGCGGCCAAACCCTTTGTTGCCCTTTTCCAGCCAAAATCTGATCATCCAATTTCTTAAACTGTTGCCGTTGCAACAAATCCCTCAATTGTCGACTCAATTCTGGCGATTCGTTTCTAACATTTGCCGCATTCAAAGCCTGCAAATTCGGACGTATTTGGAACTGAGGTCGAGGTGTTGAAGGTTGCACGGCATAGGGATCGACCGGTAAACGAGTTTGGAAAGTAGGCTGTGGTAATTTAGGTGTGGAAGGTGGTTTAGCATAAGGATCAGTTTCTGGTGTAAATTCCAGAGGTGTTGGAGGTGTGGGTGGAGGTGGTCGCATTGGTGTTTGTACGGGGTGGGCAAAAGTCGGCGATTTTATACCCATGGTGAGGAGTTGACGAGGGTTGGGCGATGGAGAGGTCACAGGGCTAAGTTCGGGAGTCGGTTGATCTTGAGGGAACGGCGACGGGTCGGATATCTGACGCTGCACTCGTGCTATTGCTGGAACTTTTTTTAAGTCATTTTGTTTTATTTGAATTTGCTTGTAATTACATTGGACGCGTTGTTCGTGGATCACGTTTTGTTGTTGTTGAGCTTGTTGTTGTCTCAAGGCTTGTAGTTGTTTCCATTGCCGTTCTTGTTCAGCTTCGCGAGCAGATTTGTGTTGCAAGGCAACTTTTTCTTGGTCCTACAACGATTTAAGTGAGTTAGAAATGTTCAATTTTTGTCAAGTTAGGGATTATTAAGATTATCAATAACTACAAGAAAATTATGACTAAAACACAGACCACAAGAAAGCCATGCTAAATACAAGGAATAAAACAAATGTTAATTGGGAAAAAAATTTATAAAAAAACTAGTCGGAAACCAACATTAAATAGAGTGAATAGTTGTTAACCGTCACCACGTTTTATTATACTGGATGAGTAAAGAAAATGTGTTAATAAAATGATGTAACACACTTGTTACTTCATTTTATTACACTTCTTGTCAATTGTTACAAAAGTGGCTCTGATACTTATCCGTCAAGGTTCGGGATTGGGGATATTAAGGGATTTTCGTTGGATTCAAATTTTTCAATTTGTAGTCATTCCACTCTGTACAGTTTTGATAATATCATGCGTTAACACAACGAGAACGTAACAATGAGCTTCCCCTTAACAAAATGCGGTTAAAACACACATAGACTTTTGTACATTTTCCGTGTCAACTGCATTTTATTCAAATTCCATAAAAAATACACAAAAACACTGACCAAACAATGCAGAAGTATCGTCCTTAAAAAAATAAAAACACGAAACTGAAATAAGCTGGATATACGAAATAATAAAAAAATTCGTCCACACACAGACAGGTTCTCACCAGCGGTTGAGGTGGTTCATAATTTTCCTGACAGAGGGAGGGAAGTGTGCGCATGATCTCTGAGGGAGTCAAGACGCGGATCTGTTGATCAGTTGCGGGTGGTGTACTTTGGACATTATTCCTTATGATCGGTAAGGTAGGATTCTGTTCGTTAACGACGTTAGGTTGATACAGGGGATTCACTGTGACATTCGGTGCCGGTCCGCAATGATCGCCCGGCCCGAGGAATTGCCCGTGCACGGTGAACTGTTGCTGAGTCGTGGGCGAGGGTGTTAGTGGGGGTGGTCGAGGGGTTGTGGGTGGCTGTGTAGGTGGTGGAGGGGAGACAGACACAGAGCTAGTGGAAGCGGTGGTTAGTGATGGCGTAGGCCGCGACTGTTGTTGTTGTTGTTGGGTGCACACCTCTGACACTGATGGAGAGACGATTGCGGGGACCTGGGTTGAGGATATCATTGTGTTGGTGGTGGCAACGACGGGGGCAGCTGCAGGAGGCGGCGGCACCGATGGCGCTTTCGACGTCGGAGTCGACGGCGGCACCGAAGCATCCTTGCTCATCTGTGACTGGGGGGGAAACACACACACGTACAGAAATAAAGGCGGCGGTGATGCGATTTTATGACAAGCGAATGCTATGGACTTTGGAGGCGGACACATAGCGACAAGTACTCTCACAGATATTTTTTTTTTTGGGTATACAAAGTGGTTAGTCACAACCCACATATACCAATCGTGAACATTTTTTATATTATCATTCCAAATAATGATACAGAGGGTGGGTCATTAATGACACACCCTGTATATTTGCAATTCCATAAAAAACAAAGAACATGAGACAAATACCTGTTGTTGTTTTTTCATTCTCAACGCCGACCTGTTGTCCCTCGCTTGTTGTAAATATGGGGCCTTCTGGTCAGGAGTCAACGTTCGCCACTTTTTCAAAATCTGTTTATATCGATCGCTCCAATTTGGAAATTCCGTTTTCCATTCGGAATGATTAATATTTGCGTATAAAACGGCCGAAATAGTCGCTCCGTTACCTAAACCTTCGTCGGCTTTCATTTTTTCTGACGACCTTTGATTATATGTCGATTGTGCAGCGGCAGATGGTGCATCTAAATCACCACCGTCGTTCACAGCCACCCACGGACTGGGCGGTTCAGAAAATGCCGGACTAAACTGCGGACTACTACAAAGTAACAAGAGTTATAACTCCACAATCGTCAATTGTTTCATTGACTTACTTGCTATATTCGGATTGGTAGGGCGACCGTGGCGGGAAATTAAGCGGCGAATTCATATTGCTTTGATTTACGGTTGGCAGTGCTGACGGTCGTACCGGAGGAGCATTGACGGGATGTTGAGCGATGGTTTGAGAAGTGGTAGCGTTAAACGCGTTATTATTTTGAATTGGAAAAACGTTGCTTTCTTGAGATTCTTGCGAATCGTCGGTTAAAACACCCTAAATTTTTCAGTTCATTACTCAAACTCACAACTTTAACAGATAAATTACCTTAAATATGTCCTCAACATCTTTACCGTTGATATTGGGCATCGACTCGAGAGTAAAATTGGGCCCTAAAATATCGCTCAATTCATCTTTGGTATCTTTTGAAGTACTTGCGCTAGTTAAGGTGTTAGTAATATCAGACTCGTCCGGTAAATTTGTAGCTAAAAAATGAAATATAAACTATGTCCTTACTTTAGAAAAAGTAATACCTGTGAGAACATCTAATGATTCCCCATTTTTATTAAATTCCCCATCACCTTCATTCATAATTGTGTTAACAATATCAGGATCTAGTAAATCACCCGGAATCGTCAACACATCCTTCAAATCTTCCGTATTTTCCTCTTCTTCTTCCTTTGGTACGACTTTCTTCTCGACAACATTCTTTGCCTCCACTCTATCATTCTTCGGAGTGACAGCAGCAACTGCTTTAATTTCATCCTGAGTCAACTGTATTGTCTTATCTACATCCGAACCGTTCTTTTCTTCGTCACTACTAGAGCTATCGAGTTCTTTGGTTGAATCTAGCAATTCTTTTCCGAAAAAAGCCTCCTGTAAATAGGGCGGAAACGTTTCCGCTAGTTTACTCTTAGGTTTCCTTCGTACGGGTTTGCGTCTCGGTTTCTCAACATCGACTGGTATATTCATGGGAAGATCGGACCCAGAAGGGTTCGATTGACCCGGAAGTACATCGATATCGTCGTTATCTTGACCTGAACGGATCCCACGCATACGTACCAAGAACCCACCAATACCCAATTTTTGTAAATTTCTTTGCCTTTTTCGTCGTAAGACACTAACGCCATTTTCCATAGTAAAAAGTGTAAAACCTTCAGGTGGTGGACCGTCATCTTTCCCCCACATCATTCCTTCTTTGAATATTTCTTGAGGTTCGTCTTTAACATCGACCAATTCTAATTTAGCACTGTCTTCAGGGAAATTATCAGTGCTGCCACCTGCAACTACTGACTCGATCGTTGCCATAATACCAGCCTCCTTGTCTTGAACCGTTGCGATTTTCTTTCGTTTTTTCCTCGTTCCATGTTGTTCCAATGAGAGTGATTTTATTAAACTAAAACCGGATTCGCTTAAATAAACCCCATCGACGTAATAATTATTATTGGATTTGGCTTCGGGACTTTTCGTCGGTGTAGGTGGTTTGAGTGAGGTTCCAGTTGGTACTAAATGAGGCGGTGGTACATCTCTCGGACGACACAAAAGACAATTATACCCCTCTTCGGCACATTTTTCCGCATCTTCTTCAGTTTTAATCGAATCACAAGCCCCATGTAACCATCTCTCGCATTGTACACACTGTATAATCAAATCGCCTTCAGAATACGGCTCCGAACAACTGGGACAATTCACATGTGATGCGCACGGTCCACACTCGCTGCAACTGTTCATCCAAGAACAATTAAATCCAGGATCGGTGGCGCCACAACTCTGACAAATTGCACACCATTTGCATTTCCAATTCCCATGCGGTACATAATCCAATGGTGGATCCATGCAATAGATATGATAAGAGATATCACAATCATCACACAGTATCAATCTCGCTTCGTCGTTCCTTTGCCCACACCCTTCACACACCGTACAATCTAAACACCGCCACCCTTTCTGCAATACCACTTTGGTGATTTTCACATTAACACAATACGGGTGGTAACACTGTCCGCATTGAACGCAAGATATAAGACAACCCTCATGATCCGTACCTAAAGCCCCACACATCACGCAAATGTCCTGTGTCAAAACAAACTTGTCTTTGGCAGAACACAGCACTAGACGATTTTCAACACCCGGTTCTTCGTCGTTTTTTCCATCGGAAACTGGACGTTGAAGACCGACGCCAGGGACGCCGAAAACGCCACGCATTTTTGATTTAGCGCCGCGTTTACGACCGAAATCGGTCAAGCGTTGGCGTTTCATAAAACCGACTTTCCCGGGAATGCTTTTACCTACGCCTTTGGGGCGCGTTGAGCCAAGGCCGAGGCGTTTTTTTGCTATTTTACTGGCGCTGTAGGGTTTGCCTTTGCCCAAGCCCATATTGCGGATGACGTCCACCGGGAAGGGGTTGTCGAATTCGACATTTTCGTCGAAGGGAGATTCGGGAAGAGGGGCGATGCAGTCGGTGGGGTCGTCTATACCTGTGAAAGTAGGTGACTTGACAATCACAAATTTTAACAATTTAAAATACAAAAAATAATCACTTGATAGTGTAGCATCATTTGCATTAACTAGTTTTATTTGAGACAATAAAAATTATCAAAGGTCTGTTTGCAATACCAAATAAAAAAATCAACTTGATAACAAAACTTTTTGCATTAAATATGAACTATTTGTTACACTTTGGTTGTCACAAAAATATTATCTTTGAACCGTTTACAACTTTCGCAATTGAAAAGTCCGCCATTGTGTGTATTTAATGGCCGCCTGACTTACTGTTGCGTTTCGCCAGTAGGGTCGCCGGTTGTGTTAAATTCTTGCACATCAAACAGACGTATTCGTATTCGGGATGTGCCTCTTTCCTTTGATGATATGTAACAAGATCGGCTTCCGGATCGCACGTACCATGAACGAATCTAAAATTTCACAATAATTAATTGCTCAGTCAGCTGTACTGTGTTTTTGCGAATCACAAACAAAATATTTATCTTATCGATATTTTTCTTTGGGTAAAAAAATCATTTATCAGTACGTACTTGCGACACAAAGTGCACTGCACCATTTCTCTGTGTGCATGTGCTCGATAGGCTCGATGACACAAAGGGCATGAAAAGCCCTTATTGCGTTGCTGGTAACAAGAATCACAAACGGTGTAGTGAGCGTGCCAACGGGAAGAAAGACCGGCTCCGGGCGTACGCGAACCGCAATCGCCGCAAACTCTGCAACACTGATAATAGGGATAATTGAAGAGGAAAAAGGGTGAGTTTGCAGGGCTTACTCTGCATTTCCAGCCGTATTTCGGTATAGATGTTACGATGGGCCTTTGACATGTCGAATGGTAGATTTTATCACATTGTTCGCATGTCATTAATTTGGTTTCGTCGCCAGTCATATGGCAAACTTGGCAGATGCGGCATTTACGGCATTGCCATCCAGCGCGAACACCTAGAGGAAAATTGCAGGAAAATGATAACGGCTCGGGAAAACCAAGCAATGATGTCAAGGTTAATACTTATAATTACGAAATCAAGCATTTTTCTCCCAGGTACGAACAAATTAAACAAACTGTTGGGATAAAAGCTTAATTTCTTGCATTTAATGCTCATAATTTGAAGCTTCATAAACAATAAAAGTTGAAAAAAATTAATTTCCGTTAAGAATATATGAACGAAATTCAGGTATACACGTGCTTTTAATAAAAATAAATTATTAATAAACTAGAAATAAAAAACAAAGTTTTAAATAACTGTGACTCCTATTTGAGTCGTAACTGTCTAAAACTGTGTAAAGAATCTCACCGTGTAATTTTTTTATGTTCCTACATTTTTTTTTGGTTTATCGTACTCGTACTGTCTAAATAAAAATCATTACTTTTAAATCCACCAATCCCAAAAGGGCACGCAAGGTGAGGAGCAAGGTTCCAAAAATCATACCAATTTGCCTGTAAGTCACAAAAAATGTTTGGCTAATAGTAATTTTGCCACTTTTAATTTCTTTTTACTTTAATTTGTCAGCGTCAAACTTCTGTGAAATAAAATTTTACAATGTAACCAATAATTCATGTTTAGTATTTAGTCTCTAGTCTTTTTCATAAATTTTTGATAAAACAATGTCAAACTTCTAATAATCCAAATACATTTTTTTTTGTATTTTCTTTAATTTTTTGTAACTTAAAGGTAAAGTGGTGTTATTTTTGAAACCTAGCATTTTACAGTTTAATATCGCCTCCAACCCATCTATCATTTATTGTGGAAACAAAATTTGAGTTAAAATTCCTATATTTGAATTTTTATTCAACGGCAAGAAGCGTCAGATTTACACTCAAACTCGTCGAATAAATTACTATTATTTAACTTTATTTGATTTAATTCTAAAAAATCAAACAAACTGATTTGTATCCAATTTTATTGTTATACCAATGTGAATAAAAGGTATGAAACCAAACGTTTTTTGCTTAAATTATTTATTTTTAGAAAAAATTAATTGAAGAATGATAAAGTACTATAAAAATGTGGTTTTATCAAGAATAAAAATTTTCAAAATTTTCTTTTGTTTTTGAGTTTACAAGAAATTTTCTTGTTTTTGGGTTTAAAAGAAGTTTTATTTTTTTTAAATGGCAACCAAAACCATTTTTTCTCATAAAGATTATGATTGAACGATTACAACTATCTACTTTATATGTATTTTTTTCAAAAATTTTTTTTACATAAATTGCAATTTTGACAAAAAAACTCAAAACAAAATTTCGTTCTTAAAATATGATCACATTTTTTATATTACTTTAATTTATATTAATTATTATTTTCATAAAGCAAAAACGCTTTTCAAATTATTTGAATTTATTGCCATTACAGTAGTTTATAGTAAATTTTTTTTGCTACTACACATTTTTAAAGTGAACTTTCATATCACAGTAATTTTTCTACTAAAAAAAGTAAACAAAATATTGAGTTAAGTTATAAAACTAAAAATATAAACAAATTACAACACAAAAAAATCCCCATAAACAACATTTTATTTTGTTTCCAAATGTAAGTAATAAGAATTTTGTAGTTATGCTTTCAACGAACATTTTTAATGTAAATTAAATTTTTATACCTGGTAATTGGGCCAGTCCAACACAGATGCCATGATAATGTTCTCCACAAGACGAACAAAACATTAGGTTGGCAATATCGCCTAAAGATTTGCAGCTAAAGCACACAGAATCTGTAAAACAGTTTGTGTTTTAAACCAGAAAAAAATTTAATTGAAATAAAATACTTTCACATTCCAGTGAAGCTTGTCCGATATGATTGCTGCAAAACAATGCAAGCAAATTTAAGACTTGGAAGGCACCAGAAGCAGTTGCACATGGAAAATGATAAACTTTTGTACATCCTTCAACTTTACATAAAATACTCGCTCCATTGTGATTACAAAATGAACACTTCCTGGAAGAACTTTGTAAGACGGCTGGGCCCACATTTTCGAGCGCTGAATTTTCTAAATTTGAGAAAATCAATTAAATTGCTTAATAATGTTTAGGTTGGGAAATTACCATTTTTGGTAACACCGTGAGACCACAGAGCACAACTCCTGTGAGTGTAAAAATATCCGCTTGAGTCAAACAACGTGGAAACGTGGGGCTCTTCCGTGTAACCGATGATGGTTAATTCATCGACGTATTCGCTCGTCAATGATGGATGTCTACACTTGTTGAAACTTTTCTGTCTGCGACAAGTGACAGGTCCTCTGGGACTCTTATCTCCCGTTTCTCTCTCAGGAGTTGGTAAGTTACTACTCCCACTATCCCCTTGGTCCTGCGCCACCCTCTGTGGCGTGAACCCTTCCGGACACAACAACCTCATCATCTCTCCCTGCCCTAGCTGACTCCTCTCGCCCAGATTACAAAACGCGCACACTTTTCCCGGCCATTGCTCCGGAAAATATGGCAATTCTTCAAAAACCGGCGCCGGTTTTTCTTTCTCGAAAATCAGAGCCCCTGTCTCGGGGTCTAGCGACATTTCATCGCTTGGCGACGGCGTGATAGAATTGATATCGAATTCAAACGGTTTGAATTTTCGTCGCGGGGCACAGCCCTTTAACTTCTTGATTTTCGGCGGCCGTCTCTGCGCCGGCTTACCTGTCAACAGCCCCGTTAATAGCGATAGTGTCTCGGGGTCGTGGCGGTCACCTTCGCGCCGGGGACGGCCGCGCCCCCTTTTCACGCTCAGGGGTTTGCCCGAGAAGCCAAAAGGCAGCGGAAAGTCGTCATTAGGGGGCGACGAAGCGGCCGAAGTTGCCCCGGACGAGGGGAATTGAAAGGGCGAGGGCAGGGGATCGTCCAACTCGTCCTCTTCTTCGTCGAGGTCTGAGCCCTCGTCGAGGTCCATCAAGTCGTCGGGGTCGAGGGCCTGGCCGATTTCCTCCATATTCACAAACTGGAAAAGACAAGGGGGTTACTCCACGGGGCACCCGGATTTACTGCCGAGGAAATCACAATGAACCCCACCGCCATGTCGATTGTGTACATGGAAGCGATGCCGCGGCCAAAACAAACACACGAGGGAGCAGGACGGAGACCCACAGGGGGGTTAAACACACGGGGAATTGCGGAATTTCCATCGAATTTCACTTACATTAAACTAAGTTTTACATGTTAAAGTTGTGTACACGGAACAACACAAAAAAATGTCACTAGCTAAAGGAAAGTGGGAGAGACCATCTCTTCGGTACCACGGCGGAAATTGCCGAACGTGTTGTACGATTACGACGCGACATACCAACCAACAAAAAATCAAAGTTACTACGAAATTCAAAATTTTGCACCAATCTTATCTCTCTTATCAAAGTTTCTTGTGCAAATTGTACATACAGTAAACAATATTATTATTTTTCCCATCCATTTTAGTGTTTTCTTTTGTTATTAACTACTCAAACATGGGTGAATTGTAATAATTTAGCATTTTCTCTAGTACTAAAAAAAACAAAATTATTTTAATACAAACAATTTGTTAGTTTTTAACTTAATAATCCAATATTTTGGTATTAAATTCTTGCAAGATTTATGGCTGGCTATTTCTAATACTAATACTTATAAAAGGTTGATTGCTTTTTTTATGTGGAAATTAGGGGTAGTTGTGACGCCAAGGGAATGAAAGTCTGGTGTACATTTAATCTATTTATTGATCAATACATTGAATTTATGTATAGAATAAAGATCATTTAGCTGTAATCTCTTGGTTTTACAACTTATTTTAAAAGAATGAGCAAGTGAAATAGAGCCATTACTTTGTTAACAATTAAATTGTATAATATACACGTTGAGTAAAAACATTTTATCCTAAAACTAAATCTTAAAGTGTAATCAGCCTCGACATATAATCTAATTATACATAATACATATCACTTGTCGTACTACAAAATAATTTCAATTTTTATTATTTAGCTTTTTCTCAACAGAAAGCTAAATGAATAAAAATTAGGCGTATAACATATATACAAAAAAATTGCAATGAGATGAATGAATCTTAAATGAAATGAAAACGTTTCGAATTGGTTGTTTGTTGAATTTTGGCACTCAAGGACGGATAAAAAATTTCTAGTCATCTCATTGCAAACTAAGTACGGATTGGGTGTTTGAAATATTTATTCCTTTCGATATGTTTGATATGTTAACAATGTAAAAACAAAAATACGTTTTAAATAAATCAGTCTTGTGCATCTACTACAAACTTTCTCTTACTGTGGCAAAAAAGGAATAAATATTTCGTCAATTTTGTTCACAAAATATATTATGAAGAAATTGAGAAAAACTAATCGTTTGCGCCAACTATAGAAGCGACTAACGGGGAAAAACAGCCGTTTTGGTACACATGATATTGTGATGATGTCCCACATATCAAATTTCATGTGAAACAAATAAGCTACTGCAAAAAAATTACGTATAACATGATCTGAATCACAGAATTTAACCCATTGTCAATGCGATTGATTTAGTCTTGTCCAGACTAGAATTTAGCTCGTTAGAGCACGTTTATAGGCAAAAAGCCAAACTCGTGGAACCGTCCAACATTGACAAAGGTTTCAATAAAACACGTCAGTCTAATACAATGCCATTAATGACACTAAACATGCTAAACACACAACAAAATTCGATAAAAAAGATGACAATGTCTTTATAGTCTGGATTTTGTGAAAAAACACTTGGTTCCGCGAATGTTGATTGCTTTAATCAACCGGTCACCCTTTGTCCCCCGACGGTAATACAATCGAAACCGATTTTCGAGGACCACTTCGGGCCACTCGGTCGAAATTTGACTCCACGAGCTTCTCTTCGTCAGGGACTTGGACTAGATTCGGACTTCCTAATCTGCAACAAAAAACACAAGTGAAAAGAGGCCAAAGTAAACACAGCAATTAATGGGTACGTTGAAAGATCTGCTCGCATAATCGCCCACAATATTTTGTAAACTCACAAGTAACACTACACTAGTCGATGCGAAATTCGCTAAATTTTAGAAAATCAACTATTTTTCAAGCAGTTCCTAACAAAAAATTTAGTGGGTTTGTGTAATAAATTTTTGCTCTATTTGCACTTTATTAAATTAATTAAAAAATTCGTGCCTAAAGTTTACAGTTTTTTACTTTTAATTATATTTCGTTACGTTTGTTGAAATAAATGAGATTAATACAAAATAAGTGTAAAATTACCTCATCAAAAATATTTTTTTCATGAATTAAATGTCCACTTTAAAAATGATAATTAAATAAACGAAACTAATTAATAGTAAATCTTCAAATGGTCTAAATCTTGTTTTGTATTTGATTTTTTAAAACTTGTGCGTTGAGCGACGCGAATGGAGAACGCTATTTTTTAGAAAACAAATTCTGTGTTAAATATTTAAAAATTTGGTGTTTTCAGTTTATTTTCATTATTTTCTGTTTTGTTTTATTTTGATTATTATTATAGTTGTTCAGTTCTTTTTTTAGTTTTTGCGGTATTAAAATATACATCTTATTTAAAAAATAATAACTAAAAGATTTTTTCCAATTTGGTTGTGAAAAGTAACCATTGCGATATATCAATTTAGTTGTCAAATGTGCTTAATTTTATCACTAGCTATAAATACGACATTATTTTATCACTAGTGTTAAAAAGTGTGACATAAGGATAACAAATAACACTATTTTCATATAACACTAGTATGATTTTTGAAAATTATTGAATTCACAGATTTAAAATTCGAATTTGATGCCTATGCTTTTATGCACAATCAAATTGGAAAAAGATCTTGTATGAAACACGATGCAAAATGGCTGTTTTTTACACACGACGTTTTCGATCGCACGGTATTTATGCAACAAGTTGCAAAATGAGCGTGTTTTTCACGTCTAGTGAAAATAAATACCGTGCGATCAAAAAAAAAATAGAGCAGGCAACTACAGTTGGCAACAATTTTTGCTGGAAATTTTCCACACAAAACTGGAAGTGAAAATGACCATTCACCATTTTCATCTTGTACAGCATAATAACTTGCAACATATCTTGCAACAATAAAAATTTTCTGCTCTAAAGCGAATAGTATTTCACTCAAAATGAATAAAACCCAAACTTGTCAAAGTTTTCGCTGACATTTGAAGTCAAAAATCAAAAACATCACAAAAAGAAAATTTACTCTGTTTTATATTTTTTAATGAAAGAAGTTTAATTGTTTTTATAACTGGTAACCAAAAACAAACTTTTCTGATAAGTAGGTATACAGGTGCGCCAGAACTCGCGCCCCAGAGAAATTTTTTTGATCATTAGTATCATTAAATAGACATAAAAAATGTCAAATGTCAAAAAAAAAGTAAAAATCTTTTGACAGAATTTTTTAAACATTTTTTCCATGTTCCTGGTATATTATCTTACTTAAAATTTTGTCTGGGGCGTGAGATCCGACACACCGTAGATATTAAAAAAAAAGTGATAAATTGGTTAAAACCAGTAACACAATATAAATTTTTTTTATTATATTTTATCACTTATTTTTCTTATATTGGTAAAACAAGTTGCTTAGAAGAAAAAATAGTAATATTCAATTCTGATTTTTATCCAGTTTTTCTATTTAGCACCTGCTTTGTAGAGTAACTTTTATTTGTATGTTATTTGAGCTAATCTAAGTGTGAAACTTGAGACCAGTGTACCAACATGAGCAAAAAATAAAATTGCTTTGGTTAAGAAACCTTCAACTTATTCAGGTAAAGCCGCAAAATGGTCCCTTTGACAAAGCCCTTTCCCTTGATGAAGACATAATGATGTGTAAATGCGTCATTTACCTCTCAAACGCTGAAGGGGGCGGCGTAGGCGTCCGCGATAGAGGAAAACTAGCCACTTCTCGGCCAGCTGCCAACGATCGAATCGACCCAAAGGGTTGATCTGGCGATAACTGTGCCGTCACCGGGACTAGGCCACTGAAAATAGACACACAATTAATACAAATGACGTCTTTGGTGAATAAAACACTAGAATTATCGACATATGGACTTCTCTGAGGGGGTGTAATAAGTCGATTGTCTCGGGAGACTTGGCAGAGGATACGACATTTTTATTTTATGAATACTAAATGCATTTTTACCAGCGGATGCAAGTGCACTTACAAGCAGGATATTCACCTCGATTTTATTAACATACAATAGTTAAATGCATCGCCAGATGGGAATCATGAAGCACGTGAAACTAATTTAATTAAGTTGTTTGAAGGGATTCAAGAAACGCGTGGAACTTGTGACGGCTCAATCTTGAGCGGTAAATTCGTTACTTATTAAAGTTTCGATCAGAAATAGACTTTAGTTCTATTTTTGGACCAGGTGAACGCTCTTAACATTTATTAAAAGTTGATTATTTTTAGAAATAATAGTCGCGACGTGACCCAGAAATTATCAATTGATACTTTTGTAAATATTTGCCTTTTCGAACCATTTGTTACTTTATTCGGGCAAAATAACGTCATATATCTTTCCAAATTGATCAAATGCGAGACATAAAAATAGAAATAGATTGGATGTGAATGTGGGTGGCGAAAGAGAGAAGGTGAAGGGTAAAATGAATATAAATATGAACAATATTTTACGTGTTTTTGAGTTTTTTTGTTTTAGTCGTAAATTGCATTGTAACTGTTTATATTGATTATGAAATGGTGCGGAATGATAAAAAATAGACATAAAAACCGGTAGTAAAATATTGCCAGTTGCTCGATTTTAAATAAAATAAAAATTTTAAAATATATCTCAAGTTTTAAAACATTCATTTAAATGCAGCAACTGGTCGTTTGAATAGCCTAGTTTTTTTAATTTTTTAACATAAGTGGTGTCAATAACCACAAATACGTCAAACGTAAAAACGATAATCGATTCAAAATATTTATTATAAATCAATTTTGTGAAATAGTTTTAGGTGCTTTTTACTCTTTTATGTAACAATATTAGGTAACTTACCTCAAATAAGTACAAAAAGTTACTGTAAATGACCCTTGTGTTTTGCAGCAACTTATTTTTTGATTATATCTTAGACAACTATTGAGACACTCTTAACTTTAGCAAGTTTGATTGAATTGCTTTATTCCTAAGACTTTAAGATTAAGTAAAAAACAGAATAGATTTTAAGTCCCTAAAATAAGTCTTTTTCAGACATTTTTTAAAAAGTAGTTTGAAAAAGACTCATTTTAAGAACTATTTCAGAAGAAAGTTCAAAAAAGATTTAATTTAAAAACTAAAATGTTTGTTATTTTTAGGAGCGTTTAAAAAAATAAGAAAAGAAGAACTTGAATGTGTTTTTGGGAGCTTTACCAAAAACAATTTATTTAAAACACGTGCCTAGAAAGTTTTTGTAAACTCGGCTATTGCCTCGACCGGAAACAGCAACGATTTGTCCGAAAAAACTGTATTTAAAGTAGATAGTTGCAACAAAAATAACTACACTATCAAGTACTGTTTAAAATTTCAGTATTATTTTGAATGTTATTTATCTGAACTTATGCTTTTTTTAGTTTGAATTAGTGCAAGAAATCGTTTATACTTAAAATTTTTGATGAAAATCGGAAAAATTGGCTTTGTTTTCAAATGTATATAATAATAATAATAATAGAATAATTGTAAAAAAATCAAAATTAAACTTTAAATGTTATTGTTTCGAACTTCTTCTCCAGATTTGAAAATTTTTCGACGAGATTTGGTCGTATAATGAGGTGTTATGTGTAAAATCGGTTTTGTTATTTTAAAAGATTTTGATGAATAAAGTGATAGTAACAGATAATAATCAGTATTTTAATAAAAATTATAGAAATTTTGATATAGCGTTTGTCTCCTGTAGTTACAGGAAACACCCTTTGACATATTTTGTTATATTTGCTAAAAAAAAAAAAAACTCAAAAACGCACGATTCGTGAGAAAACTTCACTCTTTTTTCAAATCGTAACTCGCCATATCCTCTGCATTATTCATTACTTCCGCCTCTATGCAAGGCTATTGACATTTAATCTTTTTATCGGTGAGTTTATCAAATCAATAACTCACCCAACGGATCCTGAAGTAACGAGGAACGGTAACGGCGTGGGGCACTGACTATGAGGCGAACTAGCTAGAGAACTCCTCGTGCTCGAGACCTGACTGTGAGGACATTGAGGAGGACCCACTGCAATAGCACCCGGACCTCTTTTACGAGGCCAACACATTAAACATGTATTGCCACCCTTTTCAATAGCGGCTGAAAAAAAAAAACTGATTAGTGGTGGCATGTTTTGGATTGCATGCGGATATTTCAACAGCCGAAATTTATTACAATATTGCTATCTTAAGGTTAAACTTTGGCCATAAAATATGACGTGACGAGGGGTTTTAGTAGTCGGTACCTGGCTGTACCAAATGAAAAAACATCAGTGTTTTTATCATTTAAAAATCTTCAATTATTTCGTGTTATGTTAATAGAATGTCCCTGGATATGTCTAATTACCGCATGCAAATAATTTACCAAATGAACATTATTGATTTTTTCCGTGCAGAGTCGCCATAAATAGAATTTTCACTGATATTATTCCCCAGTTTAATTAGGTGTTTGGTGGAAGTTCCAATTTATGTAATGAGGCCCTCAATGACAGTTTATAGAATAACCACTGCGCATTTAATGAAAAAATAACACTCTATTACGATTTTTCCACGGTTCACTTCATGTTTGCAACACTCACCTATTGTTCTTGAGCTAGTTATGGGGCTAAGGGGGTAGAAATCTCCATGGAGGGGGCAGTGAAAGCCGATGGTTTGTTCTCTTCTTCGAGCTCTTCGAGTCAAAACACATAATACAAAACCAGCGGCTAACATTAACACACCGACAACTATACAAGCTGGTCCTAAAATCCGGGAATTACCCGTAAATGCAATCCGGGCTGCATAGTGGTCGGGCTCTTCGTCTTCCCCGGGACCACGGTAGGACGCAGCTGGAAAAAAGGGGCAAAAATGAAACCCTTTTTAAATCATTATCCTTTTTCTCTTAATTTAAAAAAAAAATAGGAATATATGAAAATAATGAGTTTTCAACACTAACTAATTCTTTATATTTTAAAACTCTAGGTAACAAACAGATGACACTCAAATAAAAGTCCACCATTCACTTTTGGTTATTTATTTAAACTTCTATGTTACAAAATTTCCTTGACAAGGTCGGCATAAAAAGTCATAGAATTTGAGTTGTTTGATCCTTTTGTTTTCCTAAGCTTGTGCATACAAACTTGTAAAACACGGATTAGAAAAAATTAATTAAAGGAAATCGTCACGCATTCGTAAATTGCACGGAACCAAGTCTACCTTACGAAAGAAATGTATTAATTTAAAATTAAATTACCCACTTGTTATTTATGCAAAATAATCAATTACGGTATGACGTAGAGAGCGAATAACAACTTTTATCTCTCATTAATGATTTATTGACAATATTTATCAATGTATAAAAACAGAATTGGTCCTTAATTTAATGGCCATGTATAAAAAAATTCCTAATTACGATAAAACGAAGGTAAATACAATTTTTCCCAAGTCGAATTAATTAAACCAAATATTAGCACACTTGTTGTGCAAGCGATATGGAATAAATCTTCCGAAATGGAAAAAACGTTTTTCTTTTGCTTACCGGTCAAAACACAGCCAACCAGCAGGAATAGAAATCCAAAAATTGGTAAAATAATCTGACAATTGGCGGCCACGACGACTCCGGCTACCATGAGGCCCCCTTCGATTTTCTCCACCCGGAGGCGGGTGATCGGCGCCGGACACCTCAATTTAGTGCCCTCCAGCGTTTTGGCGGTGTAGGAGTCTTCGTTAGGCCTGAAAACCAGATAAAATTAAATTTGACTCAGTCAGGAAATTCTTCCGAGTCAAAGCATTTTCCGCTTAGAGTGTGGTAAAAATAAATATTGTCCAGTTATTTTCGCACGATTCTGACTCAGTCACGGGTCATGTACCCAGCCAATAAATCTCATTAAGGGTAGAATAAAACCAATTAGACTTGAGTTAATTAAAGCAACTCAATACTCGGTGTTTCATTGTGTTCTTGCTTCATACGCGTCCTTAAAACCGTTAGTTTTTCTAACAAAGAACTATTGAATTTGAAAATGGAAAGTATAGATCGAGGCCAATTAAAAAGCCGATTTTTTACTTTCTCTGAAGAATACACGAAACTTGATCAATGCTGAAATTCAAATTCGACGTGCTTTCACTTTGATTGTCCAAAAATCGGATTATTTTCTAATATAAAGACAGTTATTCTGGCTAAGAAAATCGTAAACTTGGCTGCTTTGTGTTCACTATCAGCCAACAAATTTAATTTTGTTACGAATTTTTTGCCGTCTGCTTTAATTAAATGCACAAATGTGTTCTTACAAGCACAATAAGTTCGTTGAACTGTCAGATATTAAACACCAACTATAACAATAGTCCAATTCCCATCCGACAGTAAATCGTTTCATCCAACAAAGCCTGGAAAATTAATTATAAAGTCATAAAAGTCTCATTGTGTACGTTTTATGTTTCTATTTTGCAAAAGGTTCTAAGGTTTTAAGAAGATTTCTATTTATTTTCGGATTGCTACAGTGTACTATTTAAAAAAACAAACACGACATAATAGTGGCATAAAAATAACATCTATACAAGCTCTTAAGAAATGTTAAGACTAACAAATAATGAAATTTAAGACTTAAAACAGTCTCTTAGTAACTCAATACCGTAATTCATGAGCCGACATACATTCATGTAAAATCTATATTTAATTATTATTTATATTAAGAATAATCCTAGATTTATATGAAATTGAACGTAGGTTGCGGTTAGTGGGTGTCCTAAATCAATAAATTAATAATAAAAATTTCTAAAATAAATAAGACAAAATTAAAAAAGATTCAGAAAAATTGAAAATTGAACATGTATTGTGGCAAATTGGTCCAATGTGTTAGATTTCAATGTTACCAATCTAATAACATGATTAGAATTATTAATTAGTTTCATTGCAAGTTTCCTTTTAAAACGTAAACCATTTTTGCTTTTATTTTAATTGTTTTAGATTGAAAAACGGTCGCTTTTTTGCGACAGAGTAAAACAACCTTTTGAGTGGTGTAATGTGCTAATGTTATTTAGTTCTTCAAGGTTAGCAGCATGAGCATCATCCAAAATTTTAAGCAAAATGTCAGACATTCATGGCATGGTTTTTTTTTTGAAAACCAACTTTAGTTCTGGCTTTTTGAGTACTTTTAATAAATATGTAATATTTATGTTATGGTATTGATTTCTTCTTAAATACAGGGTGCACCAGAACTCGCGCCCCAAAGAAAAGTGCCATGTAAGGTAAGATACCAGAAAAAAAATTTATTCGATTTATAAAAATTTCGAAATTATGAGAGTTTAAATTTTGCACTTTGACTCTATTTCTGTTGGAAAAATAATTTTCCAATTTTTTTGCTACAGGCTATTAAAAGAGGAAACAAGAAAGCTGTATCCTAAATAAGTCTGTTTAATGTTATTTGTAGCTTTCATTGGCAAAATTTTTGTACATTTAGTAAATAATTATAAAAAACATATACAAAATCAGTACAATTAAATAGACATAAAAATGTCAAATGTCAAAAAATAAAAGCCAAAATTTTTTGACAGAGAATTTTTTAAACATTTATCCATGTTCCTGGTATCTTATCTTACTTGAGATTTTTCTCGGGGGCGCGAGTTCTGACACATCCTCTATACCTATTACAATTGATAAAACCTATTGCAAATGTCTGTAGCCATCTTGCAGCAGTAATTAAATTCGGGATTGGTATTAAGTACTATTCAGAGGGCAATTTGTAATAAACACAGCTGTATGCCAAATGAGTAAGCAAAATAATTAATTATAATTGCCCTTAATTTTTGTTTAGTCTAAACTCCTAAAGAAACACTCTCTTACTTTTTTTTTAAATGAAACAACTTTCTTGAGCAAAACTAGTTCATATTTCTGATTTTCTTCGTTTCGACTTCAATGGTCAAGACCGATCGTATTACCATGGCAAGAAACACATGACATATGTCGATAGTTACAGTAAAATGTTTGTTTTATTTATTTACCGTTACGGACTAGCAACCGCAAAAATTTTGAAACTTGCACGACACTGAAATTTTTATTCACCTGAATCGTGGTATTTTTAGTTTTTCTATTTCTGGGACAAATTTCCAATTTGTTGTTGTGCTTTAATTACAAATAAAACACGCACTAAATTTGGTAAATAATTCATAATTTCTCTGTACAGCAGTATTACAATTAAGATCTGAAGGACATCCATGTGCCCACAAAACGTTCCATAAATTAAAATTATGATATTCTACACAATAGTACATACAGGAAGAGTTAATGAAATAATTTGGTGTCACATTTAAAAATTGAAATGAAAGTTTGAGTAGAAACTCCAACATCTGTCGAGAAAGTCTCAGTGCGGGGTGGCCTAGCCGGAAAATAAACGGTTTACGGCCGGAAACAGGCCCACTTGGTCGAAAATGGTTGGGAACAGAGGTGAACAACCATCGAAACCGCTTGAATTTGCAGGTAAGCAACCGGTTGAATCGGTCGTTAACCGCCATAAAAAGTAGAACGGCAGGCAATGTGAAGGCCTCGAAGATGCGAATTTAGGAAAAATCTGGTGTGGGCTCGGCATGCAGAGACAAAGACACTGATACCTACATTCTGACATACCATGCTGGCTTAACTGTACAAGTTCCCAGATGGCCGATCGAAACTTTGCTTTTTTCACACTTGGACATAAACGTCATATTTTAACACGACAGGACACAAATCACTGAATGGTGGAGTGTGACGGACAAGGGGCAATCATCGTCATTCATTACCGTAACAAAGAGATATGATCCATAGTGTGAGAGCGAGGCTTCTAACCGGCTGCACGCGAACGACTGACTCTGCAGGAAAGTCGGTACGCGCTACCAGCGCTGCAGGAACTGAAGCTTTGTTTCAGCAGGACCGATAATTTTAGCAGGAGGTCCTTAAATGATAACAAGTTGATAACAATCGCAGATATGGATGATTTCGATTTATGACTCACGAAATAAATTAATGATGAATTTAGCAGGAATTGCCTATCAAACTTTGTTATGATACAAGTTGCAGGTGTTTGAAATTGAAAACGATTTGACTAGAATATGTTATCTGGGGATGACGTGTAATATTCCCACTATCGACCAAATAAATTGAATAGTCTGGAATATGCCAACTAAGGTTGTTTCGTTCAAATAAAAATATTGTCGCTGGTCTGCGAAAATACGATTGTTTAATATTAAACAGCCTATTTCCATATTTCTGTTATCTAACAAAAACTTTGACTATGACAATAAATATTTTGTCACCATTTTGACACCCACTTGGGTGCTGCAATAGATTAAATTCCTGTTGCAAAGTTGGTAGAGTCTAAACTAGTTTTTTCTTTATTTTTTTAAATTAAACGACTTTTTTTATTTATTAAATTTCTGACTAATGTAAAAATTTACAAGGTGAAAAATATTATGATATGAGAGTTTAAATTTTGCACTTTGACTCTATTTATTTCTGTTGGAAAATTAATTTTCCAAGTTTTTTTGCAACAGGCTATTTGAAGAAAAAACAAAGAAGCTGTATCCTAAATTGTAACTCTGTTTAATGTTATTTGTGGCTTTTATTAGCAAAATTTTTGTACCTATACTAAATAATTATAAAACAAAACATATACAAGATCATAAGTATCATTAAATAGACATAAAAAATGTCAAATGTCAGAAAATAAGTGTCAATTTTCTTTCAGACAGAATTTTTTAAACATTTTTTCCATGTTCCTGGTATCTTACCTTACTTGAAATTTTTTTCTAACTAAAACTTTCAAATTTTAGTTTCAAATGTCAATAATAATGACAATAAAGCGTGGCTTACATTGACATTTTTTGTATTGACATAAATTTGATGTCCAAAATTCTGTGTCCGCAATCGTACTTATTAAAAAAACTAATTGTTGATAATGTTCTATGAAAATATAAACATATTCTAAAAATAAAACTTGAAAGTTTTGTTTCTGCAAAATTTATTTATTTTTTTAAATGGTTGGTAATCTTCTATAAAAATATTAAAAATTTTAATTTTAAGATAAGATATACACTCGGATATACATTATGCTTGAAATTCGCAGAAGAACTTTATGATACTTTAATGTTATTTTCTCTCAACAGGAAATAAAAAGACGCTTTATTCTCTCGTTTTTGACTAATAACCTTGATAACTTTATTCCGTAAGAAAAAAAAACAATTTTTATTCTTAAAATAAACTGGAAATAAATGAATTGAATCTTTTGAGTGTTTATTGACATAAACAAACTACTTGATACCGATTTTTACTAAATTATTTGACATTATTTGACAAATTTATCATTTTCTTATGTTATTATTAATTTATTTTGTTAGGAGTATAGTTTTTCATGCATTTCTAGAATAAATATCGTAAATAATTATGTATTATATTATATTTATTGCATTTTTGTGTGTTTGTTAAGTAAAAAAGCACAAAAACGTCACAAATAACTTGCAATTCAAACCACATTTTCTTTCATAACTTTTTTAATACTAAATAAGCGTTTGAAATTATTTTACTAACTGAAATAAATTGAGTCAAATGTTATAGAATTATAAAAAAACACTCATAAGTCATAATGCTGTTCTGCGAATTATGGGTCACTCTGTATAAATTGTCCCTAAAAAATAGCAGTGAGGTTTTATACATTTTTTATCATTCACTAATTAATTTTTACTGAGCACAAATAGTCTTGTTTCCATTTTTTATGCTCACTTGTGTCTAAAATAGCAACATTTTTTAAACTTATTGGACTGAAATTGTTTAATTTGACAGAATATCTCATATTTTGAAAAAAATTAGAATTCATTCATACGAGTATTTTATTTTGTTTTAATTCGAGCTAGACAAACTGCTCATAATGTAAGAAACCCAAGTGGCCAAAAAATGACTATGAATCAAATTTTAGAACAGGTAAGAATGCCAACAAGGCCAATCTCTAAAAATAAACACAGTGACGTTTGTAAAATAATTATTAGACAAATACTTTGTTTATCCAGAATTGAAGAACAGTTCCAGAATACATTTTATAAATATCGTCGTGAGTCACGAGTGAATTCTACAACTTCTTTAGTTTGCACGAGTAAATAGATAAAATGCGTCCTCGCTCGAATAAATGATCAAAGTCCTTATTATTCTCGACATTTTGGCATGTTGAACGCAACTATGAATACTTCACTTATTACTAATAACCACTGACAAAATAAGAAAACATTTAAATTTTAGAAGACGTCACACACCTAAAACGTCGTAAGGAAGTGTCGCCAAAATAATAAACCATTACTTAAATAAAATTTATTGCTAATTTATTTCATACATTTGATACATGTCGTTTTCAAAGAAATACTGGTTTCCTGAAAAAAAATATTTTCAAAATTGTGAATTCTCGTAAAGTGGCTTTACCTTCAGAAATTTCTGAAAGCTTGTCGAAGAGTCCGTGCGATGATAAACACACAAAGAACTTGATTCATATCAGTAACGGCCGACAAAATCCCCAATTTTGCAACAGTCATACTTTTGGTGCATCTTGTGAAAATTGCCATGGCCGAACTGTCGTCAAATTCGAACTGAATTATGATAACATCGGAACTGGCCGGTAATGATGCAAGACACTTATATAAACATGTGGATTTGGGCCAAGAATTTTTTGATTGTCACCTTCATCAATGACTTTTCGAAGTAACACTCTTAAATGATAAATGTATCTTTGTAGAGGTGGCAGGAAAACTGCGGAGGCGGCCGATCAATGATTATTTTCTCCAAACTCCCTCGAGATTATTTTTTGCGGTAATTAAAACTTCAGTCGAGAATCAAACAAAATCACCAAGAACGATACTTGGCAATCCTTCATATTTATTTTTGGCCCTTGCCCTTGAACTGATGAACGCTTAAATAAATGCAATATAACATTTGATCACCCCCCGGATCGAATTATTTCAATTCTGGTAATGTTGAAATGATAACTTGGAAAACATTGATAACAGCAGTGTACGCAGCAATGTGCCCTTCAATTGCCAAGATAAAATTACAGTTTAGGAAGATTAAAGTGGTTGTAATTTTCCATAATTGTTTCTATTCCGCTTCATTTGAGCTCACGACCACAACAATGACAATTTTATTCTCTTATCTTTGATAAAGCTAAGACAAGAATTCTTTTTTCCAAGACCAAAACAAAAAAGCTGTACCTGTACTAAATAATTAGAAAAAAAACATATACAAGATCATCAGTATCATTAAATAGACATAAAAATGTCAAATGTCAAAAAATTATTGTCAAGATTTTTTGACAGAATTTTTTAAACATTTTTTTCATGTTTCTGGTATCTTATCTTACTTAAAATTATTCTCTGAGGCGCGAGTTCTGACACATCCTGTATGTAAAACATAAAAAGAAAGTTTTTTCCTCCCTTATTTCTCTCGCCTTGGACTCGTCAAATAAATAAAAGAAAAGAATAACTTTCTTCCCTTGTTACATAAATAACTATTACTGCCTATAAGCATTTAAATGGTGTTTTTGTACCTATTATTTTATAAATAAGATTTTTTATGAAAAATAAGATTTAAAACTAGGGTTTTTTCTTTTCATAATGAACTGAATAAAACATTAGTTGCCACTTATATGTCATTTTTTAATTGATTGAAAGATTTTAATTTTAAATAGATATATTACTGAACATAGAAACAGTGTTTTTTTATCTTATTTCTAAGTAATTATTTATGTTAATAGTACTAACATTTATAATTTATAAAGTTGAAACTAGTACTTTATTGATTTACTTAAGCAAACATTTGTAATTTACTGTTATTTACACAAATGTACAGATATTGTTTTTAATAATTGCGTCATTAGAACTATTGTCAAGATAGAATTCTACATAAATCCGATATTTCTCATCTAGGGACGGAATGGACGTCAATCACGTGAAAACTTTTATATACAGGTGTCCCCATCCGACTTTTCAATATAAATACAAAATAAAATTATAAAGATAATACATAAAAAGAATTTTTCGGATCTTCTATGTTAGTATCACTTGCAGAGCTTGAAAATAACATACAACTATATGTGAGAAAATGATTTCTTCTCTATATTCTTGCTGATTTTAATATTTTAGATTCTGATCTACCAATGAAAAAACTATACATTTCTTACTAGTAATCATTATTATTAGTTTTGATATTATTATAATAGTATCTATGTGATAAAAATGTATCTATTGATTTTCTTTCCACTGAAATAAATCAATTTGGGATTGTTTTAAGAAGTGAAGAAACAAAACAAATATTTAATAAAAAATCTAAGATATTTTGCCATTATGTGATTTTTTAATCAAGAAAAACAACCCCTCAGTTAGCTGAAGGTTTTTTCTTTCAATTATTTTTGGAACTGCCTGTATTTTTAGATATACATTTCCTACAATATTGACCTATCAATAATATTAATATAACATAGGTATATTTGTCATTAGTGATGTGATTAAATTTGTTCTGAATGACACTAATGACATTTTTTGTGTGAATCGGCCTTTAAATTAAAGATGCATTTAGACTTCTACAACCTACTTGATGCATATTAATATAAAAAATAGTATAAATGTCAATAAAGTGCCAACGTGAGAAATAAAGTAATGCGAGTGTGTTTTTTGTAGAAAAAAACTTAAAGAGCGTCGTAAAAGCCACATTAAAATTTTTAGGTCAATGAATCCGCAATTTATTTTTATTTACTACAAGTACCAGTGTGTAAAATACCGTTAAACGGTAGTCGGTTGTTAACAGCAAATACAATACTGACAAACTTGTGTGATTTTTTCAAGTTGGTAGAAAATATATGACATTATTTCCAAGTAGAGAAATTCCGTTTAATTATTTATAATTACGAGAAATCTAAAACTGAACCAGACGGATGAATTTAATATGAATCTAATCAATTCTGATTTATTATTAACATTTCAACGTGTCGTATTTTTAGGTCAACGTTGACTGAATTAAGAGTTCATTTTTTGCTCTCCTTCAGACATTTAGCGTCTCGAGTCGGCCACGCTGTATATGCCTAAGTACTTTTTTCGCTACTTACATCGAAATAACTTTGTGATAGACCCCCACGTTGCTTTGGTGATCCACCAAAGTGAAATAAGATTGTTCTTGGAGGTCAACGACACAGGCACTGATGTACTTTGTCAACACTGATTATCTGTTGATTATTTATCGGTTGGATGTCCAAAGACGTCAACACCATCTTCAGTGGTCGTTTCCGGTCGTCCGGAAGTACGTAATCGCGTTTTTGGATGTGTTACGAAGCCACTTTGGGTGAATTAAACGATTTGGCGAGAATGACAGACATGTCTATTCTCGCCTCTCGGCCTCAGCTGCACTGGCCGTTCTTGTGGAGCTTGTAGTCGACATGAAAAGCGAACCGCTTGCTACATCTGTTGGGCGATGGGGATGTTACCCCCTTTTATCGATCGCCGGCAGGGTTGGCACGCGTTCAACGGGTTTCACAGCCAATGGAATAAATCAATACGAGGTTCAAGGATGAGCTCCTGAGAGCTTTATACTTTATCCTTGGTCTTATAAAATAAAAAAATAAATAAATACTTAAATAAATAAAAAAACTTAAGCAAAAAACGCCAAAAAATGCCCTTGTCTATTTTGTATAACATAATTGTTTAAATTGAATTACTAGAACACTAATTTTTTTTTAATTACAGTAGTGAAGCTGGAAATGATGTATTGACTTAGTAAGTAGGTAACACTTTTAATAGCTTTCAAAAAAATATAAGTAAAAAAAATCCTTTTGGTTTCAAGTATAATGTTTTGAAATACTAGGAATTAAACCTTGTCGTATATGTTTATTTACTTTTTTTAATTTATTCTACTTTTAATTGAGTGATACTATTAAAAAAGATTTGCTCCGGATCAGGGATTGAACTCCAAATATTCAAGTTAATATTAATAACCTTTTGTGCAGTTTTCTCTTGTTATCAGAATAACAGTTAGAAATACTTCGTATTCCTGGCAAATCCTGAAAATTATTTGAAAACATGTATTCAAAAAATTTTTAAAATTCTGAGAAGCTTTGGATTCCGAAAATTCACTCTCGAGGTTAATAAACAACATTATGTGAATGTCGAATCTTTTAAATTAAATTATATGAAAGAAAGTTTTAAAATATGACCGAAAGTTTATATGTTAAATATAAAAGCACTTTAAATAAGCAAAATATTAAAAAAGGTCAAAAATATCACTACCTTATTTTTCTATTTAATTATTTGAATTGTTAGTATTTAAATTTCTCTTGAAAAATTCAAAAAATTCAAAGCAACGATAAAGAAGCTTTGATTTTTTATGCTCTTATAGTTTTTCTCTTTCTTATGCTTTGTTCTCTTATGCTCTTTCTCTCTCTCTCTCTCTTATTTGTTCTTACGCGTTTATGTGCTTTCTGTTTTTCTTATTATACTCATTAGAACATATGCACATGTTTTATAGCTTGCGCTCTTATGCGCCCTCTATTTTTTGACATTTATTTGAATTGTATTTGAAGTTGAATTAGAGAAAAATTGCTGACTTTATCGGTGCCGCTACACCACCACACCGTCGACAGTTTCCCTGCGCTAATCCAATATATTCAAATATTCCAAAAGTTATTTCTCGCGTACTTACGTTTTAACATTTTTTTGGGTGGAGCAATTTTAAAGTTTTAAATTTTTTCGATTTTTGGCAAGATTTGGATCGATTTTCGGCAGTTTTAATATTTTATCTTCAAAGAAATATTGTCCTATGCACTTAACAACTAATGACCAATTTCGCGTATTAATTTTAATGTAAAAAATTAAAGTTTTTTTATGATTGCAGAAAAATATGATTTTTCATTCATTCAAAAATGTTTAATCCCTTTTTCGTTCCAATTATTTTTCTGTTAAATGTGAAATTGTTTTATCATTTGGAATCACACGATTCATTTTTTTTGAGAGTAAATAGTTTCAACAACTATTTTCATTTCTGATATACTTACGCAATACTCACCATTTGTTTATAATTACAATTATATTTTTTTGCTTTGTGTTTAATTTCAATAAGATTAATCTAACGTTGTGCTAGAAACTAGAAATAGAAAAATTGCAAAAACGAGATCTCTCTACCTGCTGATATAGGTGTTTTACACATTGGGCTATCAAGCCTTTAGCAGTTGTTTCACAAAATATTTTAATTCATTAGAAGTCAGAATAGGACAAGGTTCGCACAAAAATAATTATATTTTTTATTTGAAATAAATATTATCGTAACTGCAGTAACAACTACTTGTGATATTTACAAACTGTTCAATAAATCACACGTTTTTAAATCTTGGACAATAAAAACATATCACATGTGTCTATACTACTTAATCATTCTTTTTATCCTGGACAACTAGCGGTTCTGTTTCTTCTCCCTCCAGCTTCTCCTTGTTTGGTTTCGTACCCTTGTCTTGCGCCTCCTTGTCTTTCATTTCCTCGTTCTGGAGATATTTGGGGAACCAAAAACAAGCACAAACAAGTTTAATGAAAACCCAAGCGGCACACGCCAACCCTAAATACGAACAAGACGAAAAAATCATTTTCCAAACATCAACCGACACTTTTTGAGTACGCATTTTGTTCGAATGTCTAGAAAATGGACATAACAACACGATCACAACAAATCCAAATCAATAAAAAGACAGTTTGATGAACTTGAGTATTCACGACCTCATCAATTACATTCTTGGCTACGCTCACGTTTATTTTTGACAAAAAAGTGGTGCAAGGATATTTACCATCACTCCGTCTTTTTTCAATTCTTCCATTATTTCTTCCAGGTTTTCGCCGTAGCTGATGCTGTTTTCGCGTTGGCGACGCTCGATTTCTTCTTGCATTCGCCGTAAACCGTCCTCGATTACGTGAAGATTGTTTCGTAATTGTCTCCTGCCGGTCATGAAACGGCTCACGAACCATAAACAGGCAAATACGCAAATTGATAACCACAAGCTTACACCCATTTTGAATTTTTTATTCGAACTTTCTTCATTATCCGACATTATAAGTCGGTTCAGCTGCAGTCGTAATACTTCAAATGAGAATAATTGCCGACATAGCAAGACTTGGGACACGTGGAAGAGAATAAGTCAATACTAGTTTAAAATTTATTATGAGAAAGTATCGAGTGGAAAGAAAAACTAGAGCAATAATAAAACTGTTATGCGAAAAAATCGAAAAATAATACACTACTCCAAAAAAAAATAAAGGAATAAAAATTTCCTAAATTTTTAAGCCCGTTTCCTGGAACCGTTTGATCAAAGTTTTGCGGAAGAATTAAAGGAACAATTGCACATATAAGGTGATTCACGAGGAATAATGAGCCTGACCAAATTCTTGATGCAATCACAATTACGTTTTCGCAAGTTGCTTTGCGACAAATGTAATGTTGGTTGCATCGAGAATTTGATCAGGCTCATTATTCCTCGTGAATCACCCTGTATTGTTTCTGAACATTGTCTAATCTTCACTAAAATGAAAAAAACATTTTTTTTCAATTTTGTCTTAGATATTTGCTAAAAATAAAAAAATTTAAACAAAA